TTCCGGACCGAGATCTGAACCTCAGGTTGCAGGCTTTTGCCATTCAATACATACATGAAAAATTGATTGGAACAGACGTATTGATAAACGGAACGTTCTTGATAACCGAGGAGAAGAGGCTGCTAAAATGTGTGACATGTCTTGCTAACGCGTTTAGGAATAAGTTCTGCAACTACAATGCAGTCAATGAGGGTTCAAACTAGCATTTTGAGGGGCGTCCGAAATTCCAACGGTCTTTTTTGCATGAGCTGAAACTCTTTTGCGCATACACGGAAAATTTTGATGACATCTTTGTTGAAGCCGCAAAACGACAGCTATCTGGAAAAACTTGCAAACACCCCCACATGGGGTTCATAATAAGGTTGACCCCGGGCCACCCAACCCTGCACCCCACGTCATCTAGGAACCTTCGGCTGTTTTTATCGAATAAAAATTAAAAAACGCTTAATCTTGCCGCCGATTACCCGGGCCAGGTGCTCCCTCCTGATGACGCAATGGCAATCCATTTTGTGCCTGCGACCGAAAATAAACTGGAAAGTTTGTTTTATGGTGTCATTAGTCTGCACGTTGCAAGAAGCAGGGCATTGTTCGGGGTGAAGCTTTGCATAATTGGAGAAGCGAGGTGAAAAGGAGGTAAAAAATAAAGAAGATGGGTCGACCAACTTCTCCCTGGATTCTATGGATTTGTTGTGGAGAGGCTGTTCTACACATCATAGTTCGAAAGGAAGAGGTTAAAAGTTCGAATGGGATAATGCAAAAGTTGTTTGTGAACTCATAAAGAGGGTAGTCGAAGCGTTTAAAAAATTTTTGGCCGGCTTAGGAGCTGCGTGCAAAGTTTAGACAACGCTGGCCGTCATGTGAAAGTCTCCCTGATTAGAGGATGGTAATTCCAATTTCAGTTTTTTTTCCAAACCCGTTAATTGCTCTGTACTTCAAACACCTCCGCTGACGGCCACCACAGAAATAAGTAAACCTGGGCCAACCTTCAAGAACGTTTAGACGCCTCAAATTAGACGTCCAAAAACAAGTTCAGCACGGTGAGTTCGACAAATTAATGGTCCTGAAGAGCCATCTAGGTCATGACGCAACTGTCATTACCAGTTAGAAGTAATTTTCAGAGCGAAAGAGTAATCGAAAAAGTAAAAATTACCAAAGTTCCCCAACTTTGCCATGAATAATTCAACCCCAAGCGTTTTGCACATTTGGTTATGCGTTTGGTTTTGTTTTTTCGTTTGCTTTTTCGCTTCTTATTCAATCACCGCGCCGGATATTGAGGCACAGACGCGAGAAGCCGGAGGGCAAATCCAATTCTTGGGAGATTCCGCCAACGTTTCCGCGTTCGCCCTGGGGCTGGAAGAGCAAATCGAATTGAGGGACATTCCAATAACGGTAAAATTTCAAAACTCAAAATGTTTGAGGAATGGGATTGATCCAAGTTTGAGACCAAATGGAAAGTTATGTAAAGTCATGAACAAAAAGTGGGTAAGGAAGGAGCAAGGACTGTATGAAAATCGACCCAAGTTTAGAACATTATTTTTCCACTCGATTATTTGCTGATGAGTCTTAAATTAATGACGGTGAGTCAGACTCTCCTCATTCCGTGTACTCTCTAGCAAGAAAATCGTTGAATATCTTGAAAATTCATTCCAAGCAATTGAATACCTTATTTAAAAGTTCTCTAGTCGGAAAATTCAAGACAAAATGAGTAAAAATTGTCTCAAGATGAGGAAAAAACAGCTCATTCAACTTGCCAAACACAACGCAGACATGCGTCATCCAATAGAGTAGGAGTAATCTCAAGTCCATTTTACCTGCGAAAAAAAACCATTAACCCAAAATTGGTACCCCAAAACGATGACCCCTGTAGTTTGGCCAATCTTTTCCGGCCAATAAATTGGCAAAAAACGCCTAAAGGTCGAAATGGAATTTCTCTCATCCGGAACTACTCAAAATGGGAGCAAAAGGTTTCTGAATATATTTATTTTTTTCCTGAAGAAAACTAGTAGGGATGAGAGAAGCGGGTTTGTTTCTTATTTGTCTATGCGCATATTTGTGCTGAAATCGAGCCAAGCAAACGGGATTATCGCGTTAAGGGGGATGGCAAAAGATTGGGCGCTATAATTGGAAGGCTGGGACAGTAAAATAGTAATGTAGTTGAGGGAAGGCCTCGCTTGATAAAACAAAGAAAAGCGTTGTAAACTCTTGCTCTTCGAAAGTAAATCTTTTAGGGGAAATCGAGTTTTGCTTTGTTGGATAATAAGATAAAAGTTTCTGGAGCAGCGTTCGGAATGTTTTGATGAAAAATGCACCCTTCATTTTGTTTGTGGCAGTAGCGAAGTGTATCATTCAACCGCCAGAGTGGAAATAATAACTTTCATGCATTCAGTTTTGCTCAAAGTTTGGCACATAGTTTTTGAACTAACTGTAAATGACCCCTAAAACTCTTATCTCTAACTTTTTAGCGGTAGCCGAAATTCAACGGTCTTCTTGGCAAGAAAAAAACTTGTAAGAATGGGTAGCCGTGGGTTCAGTCAATAGCTCTTCCGCTTCTTCGGGGAAAAATTTTACTTTTTGTAGGGAACTTGCTCGCTCGACTTGCCTAGTGTTTCTAAACTGAACTTCCCGTCTCAAGTTTTGACAATTCCCGATCACAAAACCTTAGGGGTTTCTGAAGTGCACGAGCCTCAAGCATCTACTTACTTCAATTTGATGACATTGATCAAGATTTAGAATAAAATTTTACTCCGGCATCTCCCAATCATTCCTCAAAGCAGAAACCAAAGGTTGGGGCCGAAAAGTGATTTTTTGCACCACAATTATTTGACGAAAGCACGTCAGAAACACCCAAAAGTCCGGGAATTTGCCCAACAAAGCCTTCCAGTCTACAAAAATGTTTTCTTTAACAAGATTATTCACTTCCGCTGACATAAGTGTTCGCAATATCCAGACGTTTCCTCCCCGTCGACTTCACGAAAACTTCCTCGGGCACTTTGGCAGAAATCTCCCAATGAAGTGAATAAAACACGGCACACCAAAGAGCATTCTAACGGAACGATTAGACGTAATGATGAACACAAAGTGAATATTTTTAGAGCCTAATATTTACGTCGGTATGTTTTCTATTCTATGATGACCTTTTGGCCTTTTTATTTGGCCACTTCCGGCGAAGAACTTTTGAGTTATACGGGGAATTTCGGTAAGCATTATCATCCGAGCGGCGAAATTAGAAATGATTTACATGTGACATCCTGCAAAAACTAATCAGAAAAACGAAACTATTCGAGCAGAGAAGAGAAGGGAAGTTTTTAAATTTTGAGGTTTTGACAATCCAAGACGACAGTTGTGACAAGTCGGAAGCAAAATTGAAAACCGACCTGGTGCAGAAAGTGCTAAGAGTTGGTCACGGTCTCGAATTACAGATCAAAAATCGACCTGACCAAAGATTTTTATATTGTACTAGACCGGTAAATTTTGTTTATGGCAGCGTATTATTCTATTCTAACTAACAAATAGCGCCTGATGATGACAACCTTGCGCAATAGTTTCTTCAAACAACCAGTTTTCAAGCTTACAAACGCCCAAAATCTCCCCCAAAAATCACTTAAATCCGCCAATATCACCTCCAAACCAAGGCCAATCGCACCAACAACCACTAAACCCCAAAACCCCAACTGGATGGGTCGTAAACAGCGGCCGAACAAGCCCCATGAACAGAGAAGATGTAGCCATAAAACTCTCGTGTTATCCCAATTAAAATGAATGATCGGCGGCCCAACAGATCAACGGACCCGGGCGTTTCGAGTCATTTGTTCGGGAACAAGCGGTTTTTTCGGCCGAATGGACAACAGAGTGGCATGTTGTCGGACATCTCGTTCCTCATTCCGCTTGATCTTTCAGTCTGAACAGCGGCTTTGATGCGTTTAACAGGACAATGTCTATCAAATCAGGGACGAAACGAGTGAAATCAACGTCTAAAACAGGGTGTTTTTAGGCCAAATAAAGGCTGAAACGTCCTCAGAAGCCTTCGAAATTACAATACGTCGATTGCGACTTTCTTCCCGATTTTTTGCCGTCTTGTCATCTTACTGCAGCATAAAACAAACAAACGCATTTTACTAATTCAAAAATTGGAACCCGGATGACTTTACAACAATTATTTGGTACTTTAATCTCTTATCCATAATTACATTCACAGTATGAATGTCAAAAAAGTAATGGCGATTAAACCCATGCGGGGCCAGACGGACTTAATTGCGGATACAAAAGTAATTTGGTCGAGCACGGATATTGTATCTGTTACCGCCGGCGAGGGCAGAGATTCATCCCACGTTGTTCTGAAACAAAGTTTCTTCTACCCCATACGTCTACAGTCAAATGGAAATAGTCTTTTGATTAAGTTTCTCTTAATACTCGAAACTGCTCTTTTCAGGGAAGGGCTTGGCACTCGACTCGGCAATTGGTGGTGGATTCATGAGTTTCTGAGACCGTCTTGATCAGTTTTGGAAGATATTAAAGAGTCGATTGGACTACTGTTTATCCGAAGGGTTCTGTCGCTGGCGCCAAGGCACTTTTTTGTTTCAGACGGTTGCGTCTAGACTGAAAAAATGAGCCGCTTTGCGGTTCCTACCTGCCGAGAGTTGATGACAACCGTCCGCGAAATATCGGCAGTTTCAGTGTAACTCTCATGGAGAATTATCCTGGAATACTTCCGTCGATTGGCCCGGATTTACCTAATATTAACTACTCTACTGCTTCATTCAAACCCTGATCGATAAAACGTTGTATTGTCGTTGTCTGTGAGGTATTTCTACGGCTGTTCCTGAAAAGGGAGAACATCCGTACCAATAACTCCCAAACAACATAACAACCACATCTCAGAAACCCCATGAAATGAGTAAATCATCGATTCTTTACGTTGCATTTACCACCAAATGATCTCATATTGACAATACCAGATTCCCAATTTATTCGACGGTTATTTCATAGTAAAATCACATGGATTAATAGTGATAGTGAACCTCCTTGGTCCACTTTTCTTGGGTGCAAATGGAGTGATAAAGACAAACTTCTTTGGTTTGCCATCCAACCAGATAACAGAGTAATTGACGGCCGTCTCGATTCAATTCGACGCATTCGCGGTCAACGTAATGATAGAGGCAATCAAAATAAGATGGACTGAAAGTAGAAGCAGGTAAATAAATAATCTGAATATAGGTAAGAGACAAAAAATTTACTCGCAAGGCCTTTCAAGATGCTGACTGCAGGTTCCTCCCTGCACAAATGAATTGCATTTGACCAGCTCCTTGGTGGCTGAAACCAAAAAAAATCCATAAATAGCAGTATGATGAACAACATGAATGGTTTAGATAGTAGACTTACCATTCGCGTCAAGTCCATTGCAAACTCCAAAAGTCCGCTCAATCGTATCTTTCAATTCCTCAATCAGAGAGTTCGGAACATTTTGTGAGCATGGTTTCAAAGTTCTGGTGCACAAAGTCATGCGCCAGAAGTTGCTAAAACCATTTGTATTGCACTACATCACATTAACTCCTAAGGTAAAAAGCCCCCAAATAACATACATGCATTTTTGCTTCCCGTAATCCTCATGAGTTATCTCTTTGAGGTCCTTAATCAACTTAGCGGTGGATTCGATACCACGCCCCGTACTGAAAGATTCCGTCACAACCAGCTGACATTCGAACAACCGCTAAAAAGGGTAAAACGGTCAGACGAACAACAAATTATTGAACTTGCATCATTGTCCTGCGGATTGCAATCTTCACCGTGTCCATAAACTTGTAAGAAAACAAGCGAAACGAACCAAAAAAGAACCAGCATGATAATCGAATGGTCGAAATGGAAGAGATCTCAAAAGATTCTCCAAACTGTACTCCAAAAAAATATTCCCCATTCATTATGCTTCTTCCCAACCGGTCGTTCTTATATTTCCTTCTTGTGTGTTACATCAATGCCTCTATCCAACATGGTCCCAACAATCCGATCGACGTGTTCTCGGACAAACTGAGGGATGCTTTGAGTGAAAAGGGAATTGTGATGAAGGAATTTAAATTTAACGACACCAGTACTGTACGGCAGATCTGCGAAGATTTCAATGCAGAAGTCGGCAAGATAAAGGATAAGGACTTGGTGATCTTCGTCAAATTATATAATTTTAGGTAAGCCCACATCAAATGCGAAATAAATTTTAGCGCTCCATGTTGGGTCATGACCAGTCAACGGAAAGAACATGTTACTGCCCAGTTTTACAGCGATGAAGGCACAGTAGACCAGTCAAATGTGTTCGTCGAAGCACTATCAACTCATTTAATTCTTCCGTTTGAAATGGCAAATTATGATGTAAGTGATTTTAACCTAAAATTGAATATTCAAAAGAAATGAGCTTACCAATGCTCAGCCATGGTTCTAAAACAAGCCCTATTCATCTCGTTTCATTTTCAGATCATGAACACCACCGAAAATGCTGTTACTATAATTCAAACTGCCATTCAAGGATTTTCAGACCCCGAATTCTTAGAAACATTTGTATTGCCCAGTTATGAAGTCCCCATTCCATATCAAGTCATGCGCAAGGATGTTCCAAGATCGTTCGATTACAAGTTCTGGATCACCTTTGTTTTAATGATTGTCTTGTTCGGAAGTCTCTTGATCACACAGACCCTTTATCAGAGGTTCGAACTCGGCCCTTCAAGTACAAGTGACGAAAATCTGGTGACTGGAATAGATGACGAAGAAGTGGATGTCGATTTCCCGCAAGAATTTGCATCAGAAACTGATTTCGCCAGATTGAATCCAAGTGGTACTGCAACAACCTAAAACAATATATAAAAATTAGCTTATGCACTCACGAGTCTTTTGATTATTTGAATATTCAGTGAATAATTATCAAATAATAAACTTTCTCGTGCTTCATCCGAAATATTGTACAAAAATGTTTTTGGCCAACTTTCCACCTGCAGTCTTGACACGAAAAAATCTGTTTTGGCAAGCCGTCTCAATCGACCGAGAATTTCACAGTTTTGCGGCAACCGTGAAGTTGGGCGGATCCGCGGAGTGAAAATGGGCTCACAATGGGACACTCATTCTTCAGAATTTCCGGACGGTCCAAGTCAACGTGCAGATGTGATGCAAGAAAGCTCCGCCATGACCACTCGAAGCGAGTCTCGGCAATCTTTGGGTTCTTTAGCCTCCGATGAAATTGTTTTTCATCCGAAAACTTTCAAAGGTCACTCTTCCCCTAAAAAGGATCCTCCAACTCCTGAACCAAAAGGCGATGATTGGGAAGCTTTAGAAGTTGGAAAGGAAAATGTGAACCTTGAAAAGGCAACAAGAAGGAGGTCAAGAACTAAAAAAGAGGTCGGTTTTGATTGTTTGATATTTTGATAACAGTGAAAGGTTGACAAATGCTTGCTATTCAAGATTCAGGATTGCTGGACCCCGATTGGGCGAACTTGTGGCGTTTTCTAAATTTGGGTGTCTGGACCTTACTTTAGGTTGCTGCCCGCGGTTCCTTGATTTTCAGCGTAATGCATTGAATATCATAGGTTAGTTTAATAACCTCTCAGAAGGGGCGTATGGGTGTTATCTATGGGTTTCGGATGAAGAATTACGCATTCGTATCTTCTTTCTCTCTCTTTAAACCATTCGGTCTTATAGCGATGTATTTAGCGCCAACCATAACAGAGAAAATAAATATAAGGCATTTTCGAGCCGACCTTGCTTTTTATGATAAAGCTGACCATTTTACCTGTTTTAACTATACATTTTTCCTTGTGATTTAGTACAAACTTAATTTTAGGTACTCAAAATGGGTGGATCTGAAGTTACAACTGCATCGAAACCCGCCAGAAGAAAGCATGCGAAGAAATTGAGCAGTGGAAATGCTCCATATAGTTATAGCTGCACTTTGAATGTATGCTTTTACTGGTTTTCTGATATTATTTTAGATTGGTTGTCTTGGATTGTAAGATCGATGTCAAAAGTCTCCTTATTTTTAAGTTTTACTTTCATATTCTTCAGGAATCTCACCAGTCTTCTGTCTACGGAGTCATGTTTAATCCTTACTTACCATGTGATGAGGAGTATTACATGGCTACTTGTGGAAGTAACCAAGTTAACGTTTATCGTTTAACAGATGATGGAAAGAAGCCAGAGCATGTGGTGCAACTTATTGATAGTAATGTAAGGTTTTTTTTGTTTATTTTGATTTTGTTTTTAGAAGGAGGAATGTTTCTACGCATTAACTTGGGCAATTGATGAGATTATTCGAACTTTTGTGCTTGTGGTTGGAGGGGCCAAAGGAATCATTCGAGTTATTGATCCTATGGCCAAAAAAACTATCTCTGTAAGTATGTTCTTTTGTCAAGAGGGCTCTTTATGTTTGTTGACTGCGTGTATTAAGATATTTATTTTGTTTTAGACCCTTCGAGGACATGGTGAATCTGTAAACGAAATCAGAACTTCACCAATGAATTCAATGATTGTGGCGTCGGCTTCGAAAGATAGAACCGCCAGAGTGTGGAATGTAGCGTTGCAGAATTGTTTGGCAATCTACGGAGGATCCGAGGGTCATCTGGACGAGGTTATTTCTTTGGTAAGAGCAATTTCGTATATTTTTAAGAATTAATAAAAACAGGGGATGTCAGGGAGAACGTGTTTTTGGTCAAGGTTTTTACATCTCCTCTTTTTCAGGACTTCCATCATACCCAAGACTTTCTTCTCACCGCTTCCATGGATCACACCATCCGGGTTTGGGACCTTCGGCCAGAAACTGAAGTCGGAAAACGAATTCAAGAAAGTGTGGACCCGTCTAAACACGAATCATTCGCCACTCTCCCGAGCATTGAGAATCATTTCTCGTTGGCGGTGGCTAAAGATGTCCATACAAATTATGTGGACTGTGCCAGGTTTTATGGAAATTTTATCATCTCTAAATCATGCGAGAATCAGATTGTTTTGTGGAGATTTGGTGGATTTGATCAGCCAGTGAGTGGACAAGGAACGTTGTTGAGAACGGAGACATATGTTTTACACACGGCGTGGGTTGAAGTCCCGAAAAGCAGCATATGGTTTATCAAGTTTGACATTGATCCAGATAATAAGGTAAGATAATTGTCGTAAATTATTTTTTTGATTTATTGATTATCTGGAGTAACCTGGCGTCTTTTCAGTACCTTGCAGTGGGAAATGAAGAAGGCACCGTGAAACTGGTTGATCTCCATTCGATAAAACCAGAAGCCAAGAAGCCCGATTATGCCCTTTCATGCCCGGAAACCGGCCGAGTTTGCGTAAGGCAAACTGCCTTCAGCCCCGATGGAAAAGTCTTAGTGTCCTCTGGAGAAGGCGGAGTTATTGTTCGATATGACAGGAAATGACTTTAACTTTTGATACTCTACTTGTAAATTTAATTTATTGTTGATCTCACATGTCCGATAGACCTCATAAATGGGGCTTACCACTCAATTTGTTGTTTCTTCATAATGTTAAAGTAGCCTTGACATAAATTAATTTTTAATGTTTGTCATATTTCATAATTTGATTATCTGATGTTATTTTCTGAATAAACTGATTTCAACCACCGTATGTCCAATTCTGATTCGAAAATGTGTAGTTATAACCTTTGTTAATATTGATTTGTGATGAATCGGGCTGTTAGATGGCCATATAATACTTCGAAACATTAATATTAGAGTTTTCCAAACGTCTTTTTCAGGGTAATGATCGAGAAGTTGGACAAGTTTTCGTACGCAATGTCAGGTAAGAAGTCGTATTTAAATTACGAGTTTGTATTTTTAAGTTGAGATCGCGTCTAAATCTGGCAAACCCGATCGAAGAACCATGGTTTCGGCGGAGTTCAGGACAAAAACGGAAGACGGGAAGGAGAAAGTTCATGTGATACGACAACCGGCTGATGAGTTCTTCAAATTCCTGGAGAACTTCCACCAAGTTCTCGATTCTGCCACGAATAATCTGTGATATTTTTATAATAAAGTAAGCGATTACTTTTCAGTTTAGCGTATTGCTTATAAGACCACGTTACAAAATAAGATACACCCTTCAATTAGCTAAGCCATTCAATTCCCGAGCCTTCAGAAACTTATCCATCACAAACTTCAAAGGACCGTACACAAGTTTATCGTAAGCCGCACTAAATAAATAATAATATAGCAATATACTCTTCCTAGGAAGAGGTTGTTTCATCCTTCGATTCCTTCTCTTTTCCATCCCCCTGTTCATCGACCATCCTCTCATTCTTCAATTTCTCATACTCCTCTGGTCTCTGCCGTTTGAAAGCGGGCCATTTGGGTTGACATTTCCAAAGCTCGGAGAGTGGCTTTAACAGTAAAAATTGAAATCAGGAGTTGACAATTAAACGGAGATATAAAGACTCTTACCTTATTCTGACACTGGAACTGAACAATATTGTAGACGAGGAATCCGGGGATGGTGCAGAAAGGAATGACCGAGATCACCCATCCAATAGCCACTAGCCAATCGGGGAAATAATAAAGACTATAATCCTTGCCGACACTCGGACGGTAGAATATCTGCCTATAGATGGTAGCAATGGTCATACCCTGAAATAGGACAATTGAAAGAAAATACTAAAGTTGAAAATGTAATTCACGGCCTGTTTCGATATAAGAGAACAAACTTACACCCCACAGAAGAGGACTTCCGACAAGCCAGATTAACTTAACGTATAGTCCAGTAGGCCCAAAAATTTTTCCCAACAAATGTTTTGGAGGTCCAAACATCGACCTGAGATCAGCCGTATATTTCTTGAGGCCGTAACAGTACGCGATCAATGCAGATTCAAACAAAACACACGCAATGAGCGAGAATCCAGCTGCATAGCTATTCACCAAGCTGAAGTAGTAGAATCCACTCTGAAAATTGAGATTGCATTAGGTGTAGGAAAATAATATTGCTGTAGTAAGGAAAGCTCACTCTTGTACACATGGACAGACCACAGAGGAAAAGGACAAAGCAGACCCCAATTGTTGTGAGCCCCTTGTTCCTATGCAGAATCGGGAATTGATCCGAGAACGCAGTAATAATAGCCTCAAGGAAGCCGAATTCGGTGCTGAATCCGAGCAGAAAGAGCATAAGGAAAAACAAGAAGGACCAGAGGCTCGGGATCGGTAGCCAACTCGTTGCTTCTGGGTAAACAACAAAGGCCAGAGCCGTTCCATCCTGAAACAAAATATATTTTCACAGTAGCCTACTACTTACCTTGACGACCTTTTCAATATTGACTCCAAGTGACTGACTCATGAATCCAAGCATGCAGAAGACCGCAGTTCCGCCAAAAACGGACATGAAACAATCGGCGCAGGCTATGACAAAGGCGTCCCTGAATACATTGTGAGATTTCTTGTTGTAGGTAGCATATGAGAGAATTCCACCAACTCCAATGGATAAACTGAAGCAAACTTGAGAAGCTGCTGCTTGCCAGGCCTGGAAATGAACAATCTTCCACTTGCAAAGTCATCAAGCAAAACAAATTTCAATTCATTTCTCTGCAGATCGCGCCCTAGTTTCACCAAAAAGCTTACTCTTAGATCGACGAGAACTTCCGGTTTAAACTCGAGTAAATAGTAATGCAATCCAATGTCTCTTCCTTCCAAAGTTATTGCTCGACCAAACAGAATCGCAATAATCGCGTAGGGCGCGATGGCCAAAAAATACGACAACTTTCCAATGATTTTGGGACCCTTATACATACCCACAGCAGTAAGGGTAAATGAGACGAAGAATGCTCCAATAATCATCCAATTCGGACTGAAATCATTGGCATCCGGAGCTCGTTGTAGGACGTAGTTACTGTAACATTACATGTACTTTAGATTACCAACAATCCCTACTCAAAGAATTCTTCGGTGGGAGAGACGGCATTCTTATCGGCGAACGTTGCATTCTTGATCAAGATGGCCGCGGTATCGTTGTTCAAAAAGCATGAGCGATTGAAATAGAATGAAGGTGCACCCAACTGTTCCGTACATGATTGGTTTTCTCTGTACGATTGACAATCTAAAAAATTAGATCAAAATCTTTTTGCCTACATATGGTGTTGTGATCTCCTCTACACTCAGACCATTTGTGATCCTGACGAATGATTACCATAACCATGTAGATCATTATCCAGGCCACCACGACGTTGTAGTAGATGGCTATGAAGACTGAATTCAAAACCATCGTCCAGCCAATACCATGGAAAGCTGGTTTGATCCGGCCGAAGACAACACTGGGGCCAGCACGAGCGAATTGACCCAGACTAAGCTCGAGGTAGACAACGGGGAAGCCAATCACCATGGAGCAAAAGAAATAGGGGATCAGGAAGGTTCCTGAAACAAATACGACCTCAAGGAAAGCCTTTATCTTCTCCTTACCTCCTCCATTCTCGTAGACGAGTGCCGGGAATCTCCAGATATTTCCCAATCCGACAGCAAATGAGATGCAGGTCAGCAGAAATTGAATTCCATTCCCCCAAGTCTGCCGGTCCTGATCTGACTCCTTCTCGTGGCTGATACTGTCCTCTGTAGGCATTCCGTCGGCTGTCACATAAACTGATGAAGTTGGCGGAGCGGACGATTCGACGTTTGAGATCGTAAGCTGCTTTTCAGATTCGAAAGTTTTTGCCTCAGGCATTGTTCTTTGCTTTCCTTCGACAGTTCCGGTGATTCTGTCGTTGGATGATTTGGAAAAACGAACTAATTGCAAGACTCTAGACTGAGTCAAAATGAATGAAAATCACAAACAAAAATGAGTTTCAATTCTTTTTTCATGTTTTGAAATTGAAGTTTCCGAAGAACGAAATTACTGTAATTTACATAAAAAATATATTTTTTGGTCCCGTACCTTTTCGCTAGTTATTTGGCAAACCACATCCCGAAATACCCCATGTTCAATTATTTTCGGAATATTATCCATCAAGAACTTCCAATAATTGTACCAAAGTTTACTATAAACCGGACAATTATCAGTAATAATATATAAATCCTTCTACGAGGTGTTTCGTTCTTTCTGAAGTTCAATTCCTGCTACCGGGAATCCGTCTCCTTCTCTTCCTTCTCCTTGTCTTCCATTCCTTTCTCTTTGTTCGTCTCCTTCTCTTTCTGTCTCTCTTTTTCTTCCTTTCTCTCCTTCTTCAACTGCTGATATTCCTCTGGTCTTTGCCATTTGTAAGAGGGCCATTCTGGTTGGCATTTCCAAAGCTCGGACAGTGACTGAAGTAATCAAAATTAATGAATTAGCACCCATATAGAAATGCAGCAGATATAAGGGACCCTTACCTGATTCTGGTTCTTGAATTGAACGATATTGTAGACGAGGAATCCGGGGATGGTGCAGAAAGGAATGACCGAGATTAACCATCCCATAGCCACCAGCCAATCGGGGAAATAATAAAGACTGTGATCTTTGCCAGCACTTGGACGGTAGACGACCTGTTTGTAGAGAGTAACCACTGTTATGCCCTGGAAAATTGAAAAGTAACAACTGAAATAATTTCAGTCTTCGCCTGCTCTGACTGAACAAAATCGAATCCACGTGATTCTCAAGCTCCGGCATTTTTTACATACCATAAGATCAGTTAGTTAACTTAACAGTTAAAATGATCTAAAATCTCGCAAAAGCATTGCCAAAATAGAGGAACTGGTTGCTACAATCTGTCGGGAAAATAATCAGCACATGTGACAAATTTCGCTGGGATACAGTTCGTTTTTCACTGCAGCGACCCGATTGTCCACGCCACATTGTCCTCATTATTTTCCCGACAGATTGGCCATGTTTAAGAAGGTTTGAATTCCAGCCCAAGATTTTGACGAGAACCGTATGGGATCCTGGGTTGGGCTAACGTTGATTGGCTACCCAACTCATAAAGTTTTAACGTTATGCCATAATCTTTGCTGGACCACAATCAATTTTTCTTTTTTTCTAATCACATGGTTTCGGTTTTACTTTGTCAAAACAGACTATGATTTACTTTTTCAAAAAACTTGAACTTACCCCCCAGAGAAAGGGACTCGCGATTAACCAGATGAACTGAACGTAAAATCCAGTAGGTCCAAACAACTTTCCCAGGAAATGTTTTGGAGGTCCAAACATTGCCCTTAGATCCACCAAGTACTTTTTAAGGCCGTAGCAATGAGCGATCAACGAAGACTCAAACAAAAGACACGCTGTGAGCGAGAATCCAGCCGCATAACTATTCATTATGCTGAAGTAGTAGAATCCGCTCTGAAAGTTGAGATTGTATGATAGTACACAGAAAGAGAGCAGTAACAGAGGGAAGACTCACTCTAGTGCACATGGTCAAACCACACAGGAAGCAGAAAAAGCAGACTCCGAGCGTTGTGAGTCCCTTGTATCGATGGAGAATTGGGATTTGATCCGAGAATGCAGTAATAACAGCCTCGAGGAAGCCAAATTCGGTGCTGAATCCCAGCAGGAAAAGCATAAGAAAGAACAGGAAAGACCACAGACTAGGAATCGGTAGCCAACCCATTGCTTCAGGATAAACAACAAAGGCAAGAGCTGTTCCATCCTTAAAAACAAAGGTCAAGGTACAGAAATGGTAAGATTACATCACAAAAGGCTCTACAAAACAAAAGATATTGTCCCACTACTTACCTTGACGACTTTTTCAATGCCCACTCCAAGTGACTGACTCATGAACCCGAGCATGCAGAAGACCGCGGTTCCACCAAAAACGGACATGAAACAATCGGCGCAGGATATAAGCAAGGCGTCCCTATACACATTGTGAGATCTCTTGTTGTAAGTGGCGAAAGACAAGGTTCCACCAAATCCGGGAGACAAACTGAAGCAGACTTGCGTAGCTGCCGCCTGCCAGGCCTGAACATAAATTCAGCTTCTTGTGTGTGATAAACTTACGTTTGGGTCGATGAGAACTTCCCATTTGAAATCGAGTAAATAGTAGTGCAGACCAATGTCCTTTCCTTCCAGGGTAACAGCTCGACCGAACAGGATCGCGATGATAATGTAGGGCACCACGGCCATTACATACGACAGCTTTCCGAGGATTTTGGGACCTTTATACATGGCCAACGCTGTAAGGGCAAAGGCGCCGAAGTATGAGCCAACCATGATCCAATTCAAACCCAAATCATTCGCCTCTGGAGCTCGTTGGAGGACGTAGTTACTGAAATATAATATAACTTTACATTAATCCCTACTCAAAGAATTCTTCGGTGGGAGAAACGGCATTTTTATCGGAGAACGTTGTATTCCTCGTCAAGATGGCCGCGGTATCGTTGTTCAAAAAGCATGAGCGATTGAAATAGAATGACGGTGCACCCAACTCTTGCGTGCAGGCTTGGTTTTCTTTGTATGATTGGCAATCTAAAAGCGATGATTGAAATTGTAAACATAACACAGTTTGCTTACAGATGGTATTATGCTCCCCTCTGCACTCAGACCATTTGTAATCTTGCCGAATGACTACCATCGACATGTAAATTATGGTCCAGGCAACCACGACATTGTAGTAGACAGCTGTAATGAATGAATTCAAAACCATCGTCCAGCCGAGTCCATGGAACGCAGGCTTCATTCGACCGTAGACAACGCTGGGGCCAGCGCGAGCGTATTGACCAAGACTCAGCTCGAGGTAGAGAACGGGGAATCCAATGATCATGGAGCAGCAGAAATAGGGGATCAGGAAGGTTCCTGAAACAAAGGCGACTTCGTGGATTGTCTTTATCTCGTGCTTACCTCCTCCATTCTCGTAGACGAGTGCCGGGAATCTCCAGATATTTCCCAATCCGACAGCAAATGAGATGCAGGTCAGCAGAAATTGAACTCCATTTCCCCAAGTCTGTCGTTTGTGGTCCGGATCCTTGCTTTCGCTGATACTGTCATCCGTAGTCACTCCCTCAGCCGCCATGTAAGCGGACGGGGTTGGCGGTGCTGGCGATTCGGCTGTCGAAACTGCGACTTGACTGGTTGCTTCAGAGGCTTTGGCCTCGGACATTTTTTCCTTTCCTTCCACGATGTTGTAGGAAGACTTGGAAGAACGAACTGATTGTCACACCATGAACCAAGCCAAAATGAATGGAAACGAAAAAAATTTCATTTCTTTTTGGTTTATTGCTGAACTTGTAGAACTTGTTCCCACATGTTTTCGATGCTTTTCGGGATTTGTAATCTTTGTTTCAGATATTGAATACTGACCAAACGTGATCAAACGAGACCAAGTTAAAAATTTTGTATAGACAATTGGGATTGAAAGTCTAAACGGTTCAGAATTGCCACTCCTTTGTCTGTTGGCAAATTCGGAATTGTTTTCCCCGTTCGACATTCTAATCCAGCCTGATGGATTACAAAATTTCGGACCAACAACAATGCATGATAATAATACGACTGCGTTCAGTTTTCGACGCTATTGCGCGACATCTGCCTATATTCTCAAATGGGAAAACAGAAATATTTCTTTTATCTGGGCGGGCAATCGCGTCGGGGATCAAAGAATTCCAAGGGTCCTTCTGTTTGTGACTTTTATTGGCCGCGTTTTGGGACTAAAAGTCGGAGGGGTTGGGCCAAAAGAATGATCGTTCTGAATTGATTCATTCTGCTCTTAAAAGGCTGACAATAACTTTTCTGGGATGCTTCGGATTTTTGATGTGTTTTAGTCAATGTACTCTTATTTTTTATGTAAACTTGCGTCTATAGAATTTCTTGTTTAACTCAAAATGTATTATCATCAAATTTAAAACGTTTAAGATTAATACCGACAGTTTTTACGCGAATTTTAGCCTTCTGAATCTGTCGAAATTGGGTTAAAATCATTCCAGATACCAGCTATGAGATCTCTGCTTGTCATCGCTGCTCTTTTGGCTGTCACTGCCCTTGCTGCCGACTTTGAACCCGTCAAATACAAAGCCTGCCGTTCCAAATTCGAAGTCAAATCCGTTGAAGCCATTGGCTGCCCCAAGGACGCCAAGCAACGTTGCCTCTTCAAACGAAACAGCGAGCCGGTCATCAGAATCGGATTCGTTCCCGATCGCGATGTCGACGCTCTGGAGACCAAAGTCCGCGCCAAGATCGAGCAAACCTTCAGCGAGTTCAGTCTGGAGAACACCAACGCTTGCAAAGGCCAGAATGTGACCTGTCCATTGAAGGCCGGCCAACTCTACTACTACAGCCAGAAGGTCAAGGTCGCTGAGGAATACCCGACCGTCAATGTGCTGGTCAATTGGCTTCTCAATCATCCCAGCACTTTCGAGGACCCCAAATACAAGGACGAGGAAGGAAACAGAAACCTCAACGATCTCTGCATTCTGTTCCACGCCAAGGTCGAGGCCTAAAGGAAAGTGAACACAACCAAGCATATTTTCGATTTTGCATTTGTATCATTGCTATGGCATTAGAATAATCTCAGTCACGGGGCTGTATTTCTGCTATCATGTAGACATCGAACGCTTTTGGACGTTTTATAGTTAAATAAATAAACAAAGGCTTTTCGAATAGTCTTAATGATCTGAGTGACCAAAAATCACTCGGCTGTCAATTATTTGAAATATAATGCCGTAAACTTGGGTCCGTCTGGTTTGTTTTATAACTTTTTTAAAACGTGATAAATTCGATAAAAAGGATATAGGAGTCCCTTTCCATTGCAGGTTTAATAACTTCCGTGCAACAGAGGTATTGATACCTGCCATGAGCAGATTCGCCATGATGATCTCACAATCAGTTCGGATTTACCTCTCCAAAGCTGAGATTTGGCGTAGACCTTTGCGGCTCGCTGAACTCACAGTGGATAGTGTTACAACATTTTCGTAACCTCAGATTATATTTCAATATTTGAAATTATCAAGATTCTTTTTATCACTAAAATCTTGTTTACTCAAAGCAGGTTAACTCAAGTGACGTCACTCATAATTATAGAAAATATTATTTTGATTCCTTTGAGCTCTCATCGGACTCGGTTGAAAGTTCTGGTCTGATCCGTAGCTTCTCAATGTCCATTTCAATTGATTGCTTACTGTGGGTGGGCCATTCCGGCTGGGGGCGCCATAGTTCTCTGAGACCCTGAAAGAGAATTTTTTATTTTTTCTTTGCCCTACCTTTCCCTGTCTTTGAAATTTGACGACATTTATGACAATGAAAAGTGGGATAGTAGAGAAAGGGATCAGCGAGATCACCAGTCCAATGCTGGTCATCCATGAGGGGAATGCATAGAATCTTTCGTCTTTTCCGACACCGGGAATCCGAGTCGATGAGAATTGTTTGTACACAATCACCGCGGTCAAGGCCTGGAAGTAAACAAGATAATGTAACCTGTTACCAAAAGAATAGTTTATTAAGTACGACTTTGCCTTACCGTCCAAGTGAGCGGACTCACAATCAGCCAAATAAATTGAACGTAATATCCAGTGCTGCCAAAAACCTTGGCCAAAACATGCTTGGGAGTTCCGAACATCCACCGCAAATCCTTGATATACTTTTTGAGGCCGTAAAAGTAGGCAATCAGAAAGGTCTCAAAGATCAAGCAAGTCGTAATTGAGAAGCCCGCCGCATATTCGTTTACCAGATTGAAGTAGTAGAATCCACTCTGAAAAGACGCAGATTTACAATACAATATAGGAAGAGTATATGCTTTTTTAATAAATGCTTTCATTAGAAAAGAACCGACCCTTGTGCACATAGTCAACCCACACGCGAACATAATATAACACATCCCAAAAGTCGACCATCCCTTGTGCCTATTCAGAAATGGGATTTGATCCGACCAGGCAGTCACCACGGCTTCGATAAGACCAAATTCGGAGCTCAGACCGAGTACAAAGAGCATGAAAAAGAAGAGGAAAGACCATATAGCAGGTCTAGGAAGCCAGGCCAATGCCTCTGGGTAGGCCACAAATGCGAGAGCAGTCCCATCTTGCACAACTTTGTCGATCTCCACATTCAGCGATTTGCTCATAAATCCAAGAACACAAAAGACGGCAGTACCTCCAAAAACGGACATAAAGGAGTCGGCGACGGTGATGATGAAGGCGTCTCTGTAGATGTTGTGATCCGGTTTGTTGTAACTGGCGAACGACAAGACTCCTCCAAAGCCAGTTGTAAGACTGTAACATACTTGAGTTGCAGCCGCAATCCAGGTCTATAGAAAGTGAAATTAAAGGACCTAGGCTTTACAGTCTTACCTCCTTTTTATACAAAACATCTGGTTTGAAGTCCAACAAATAATAACGAATCCCAATATCCCTTCCATCCAATGTAACAGCCCGAACAAACAAGATTCCGATGATGATATACGGGGCGACGGCGACGAAATACGACAATTTCCCGATGATTTTGGGTCCTTTGTACATGGCGAAAGCGCTGACTGTGAACACAACGAAATACGCTCCACATACCATCCAATTCATTGTCAAATCTTCGGCTGTGGGAGATCGTTGAAGAATATAATGGCTGAAAATGGGAAATAATATAGTGTAGCTTACTCGAAGAACTCTTCAGTCGGCGATACTGGACTCTTAATCGAAAGCGTTGCATTCCTCAGGCCTTGTCCGGTCAGATCGTTCTCAGCGAAACACTGTCGGTTGAAGTAAAAGGCCGGTTCTTTCAATATTTCGGCGCATTTTCGATCTTCTTGAAGCGATTGACAATCTGCAAAATGCAATTTCAAAGTTTTCGAAGCTTTCTAAAACCTGCAAAAGGAGACAGAACTTACACACAGTATTGAAATCGTTTCTACATGTCATCCACATGTGGCTTTGTTGCGCAATGATGAGGACAACATAAATCAGAGTCCAGGCCACGACAATGTTATAATAGACCCCGACGAAGAAGCAATTCATGGCCATGGCCCAGCCAATTCCTGAAAAAAAGTATTTTTTACGGATGCAAGGGCAATTGTTAACTTCAAGAAGTAGTAAAACTTACCATGAAAGGCTGGTTTGATTCTGCCATAAACAACGCTTGCTCCGCACCGTGCAAATTGCCCCAAACTAAGCTCGAGGTATAGAACAGGGAATCCAACAAGCAAAGCGCATGTGAAATAGGGAATAAGGAAGGTGCCTGGAAAATAAATGCAAAAAAATTGGAAAATAGAAGATAAATTCAAGTAAAAATTGGGAAAAAGTTCCTTATTTTGGCCACAACAAAGGTACTCCGCGAACTGCGCCCAAGCTTGGGCACTAAAGTTGGGATTCCGGACATGTTTCATCGTATAAAGTGTAGAATCACAGGCTGCAGCCGTTTTTGAAGGGTAAGATGGTACGTAAAAAAGAAGGTACCTCACTAACTAAATCCTCTGTCCGGGCATTGGCAACGATGAATTGAGCGTGCACGCTAAATTTGGGCTAATTCCGACTAGTTTCCGCAAAGGTATAAGGTGTGGCCAAAATAAGGAACTTTTACCAAAAATTGCCATAATAACGTCATGTCAAATAAAAATTATTAATTTTTTTATTTATGTCATCAGTTTTAGGTATAAAAACTGAGTCCCGCTCACCTCCTCCATTCTCATAGACCAACGACGGGAATCTCCAGATGTTTCCCAATCCAACAGCCACCGAGATGGACGTCAACAAGAACTGGATTCCTTGGCCCCATTGTGGCCGTTCATGCCCATTCGATGAGTCCGTAACAACCTCTGAAGTGACTCCTTCGGACTGTAGAAAAGCCGAAGGCTCCGGTGGTGAGGGTGGGATCCGCTGCGTTGGACTTGCTTCTGCAGGCATTCCCATGAGAATCTGGCCAGCTAGCGGTGATGGAGAAGTGGAAAAGGATGAGAGGAAGATCACCGCTCTGTTACAGGGAAGTAAGCAGAAATGAGTCAGATTTGATGAGGTGGCTTGCAAAAGTGTGTCTTCAACATGAGAAAACCAATTCTGTTGTTGCAAAATGATTAATTTGATAACTTCAGCACTTTGAGCTTGAACATTGCCAAATTGGAAAATCAAATTTGTTTTTACAAAATGAATAATTCGGAAATCTCCTCCTTGTTTTGTGTCATCAAGTGTGTAAATATCGACATCGCATCTTTTAGAATTTTCAAATATAAAGATACGATTATTTTTTTCTTTTTTTGAGGTTGATCTCTCGATTTTCGGAATACCAAACCACTTTCAAGGATCACGGAAATTTACATAAATATTTTACAACATTTTAGAATTATAAACATTGCAAAAACATTTTACATTGCGCAATCCGCAAAAAATATTTGCTCGTGTTGAACCAGAGCACAAGTTCAATGACCATTGCCATAACTACACCTGTTAAGTGTGACAAATGACGTGTATGGAGTTGAATTGACCTGCAAAGGTTCTGACACTTCAATGCGCAGAAATGCAATCGCTTTACTTTGATAGAATCAAAGAATCAAAAATTCCTCTCAAAAAAACTCCTTGATTACTAAATTTGTCATTATTTTTGTTTGCAAAAGTTGTGCTTTGCGATGACTGACCTAAAATTAAAGATCTCAATGTTTAACAAAATTCTGTATGCAAGAAAAAAAGCTTCACCTGTCCAGAATTAGATGCTAAGTCGTGCCAACAGTTTATCCGAATGGAATGTGGAGGATTGTTAAATGGGGGTATTTCTGAACAAATCGGAACTGCCTTCGGACGGATTGCTAGTCTTCTATGGGGTCTGTGAGAAGGTTACGTTAACTGTCTCAACAATATTTGTTGGTGTTACCGCTACCGTAGTTTTAAAAGGTAAAAATCATGGTTATAATTTAAACCAAGGCACTTTGATGGGCAGTAAGTATGTTTTTTCAGGCTCGACCAAAGCTCTATCAACCTACAAATATTACATCCTCCATGAACTTGTATGGTAAGATCTTTAAGACTTTTTCCGTTACTAGACGTCCTCTTTGTTTAGGTCTTATATTTTCGATGTCTTCGCGACTTTTATGGGGATTGTTGCCCTCTTCCCGATCCCTTGTTACTATTCAATCTCAACGCTTCAATACTTTGACCTTACATGGCAGGGTCTCTATTTACTGCTAGTTGTCGTAACTCTGATGGGAAGGATTTTTGGAACCGCGTATCAAATTGCTTACCGTTTCTTTAAAGCGTTGCCTCAGGAGTCATTGCTGCAATTGATCAATTTTACAAAGCATGGACTCATATTTCAAGTCGTCGTTTTAGCAATTGTGTTTGTATTGATCACTGCCATTATCACAGTAAGCAGATTTTATAATTGCTTTGAGTTTGCTCTCAGTAAGAACAAAAAATGGGTGTGAAAGAATTATGTTAGCGTTACTTTACAAAAAATTGCAATTCAGACACCCGTTATCCTTCAAATCCCAAACCAAGGCGATCAGCGTGCCTACCTGACCAATTTGGACTCTGATATAGCCAAGATTTTTCACCAGCATCCTAATACTTTTTGCTTTGGGAAAGGTGACAACTTGAAGAGTCAAATCGAGATCGCCTCATATTTCCTCTTCCTAACGCCATTCCTGATATTTTTTGTCATCTTAAGCACTTACTTTTACATTCGCCGTGGGCGACATATTGTCTCTTCTGCCACGTATCGCCTGCAAATAATGTTATTCCAATCTCTGGTGGCTCAGAGCATTGGAACTGGGATCTTCCTTATCATCCCGGCAATCTTTTACTTTACTCCTACAATTTATGGCGTCCGGGATGGGCCAAAGATATCAGTAGTCGCACTAATTTGTTATCTACTTCATGCTCCCTTTGATTGTTGTATGATAATTATCTTTATCAAGCCGTATCGGCAATGTTTCCTTGGTTTCTACCGAAGAGTTGCGTATAATGTATACAACATATCGGCTGACAGGAAAGTCAGCTTGTCTCCAAATTCAATACTATTTGTGGAAAAGAGCATGTGAATAAAAATGTTTGATGGAATGTTAAAGATTTTGGATTTTTTTGGGCAAAGCCTACAAAAACACATGCAGCAACAACCATGGATCAAACTGACCACTGACAATGAGTTATGTCTCAGCAGCATTTTGAAATTGCTAGAACCTCACCACCTTGCTTTCGTCCATAAAAAAAAGAAACATGATGTCTTGCGAGCATCCTAGACTATAATTGAAGTTACGTAATCTGATTTCAACAAACATATCCAATCTCCGTTTTTTCACAATGAAGTGTGTTAAAGAGAAGTCCCATTCATGTTGCGTAAAGTTTCTGGTCTATAAAATTAACATTTCCACCTGTTGCACTTCAATCCTGACATATTTTTCTAACGTTTATGTCTGGCATTCTGGATGGGGGTGTTTTTGAACCAATCTGAGCTCCCGTCAGACGAATTGATCGTATTTTACGGTATCTGGGAGCGATCGGTTTTTGTCATCTCGACCATTTTTGTTTCAGTTACTGTGTTTGTAATCATCAAAGGTAAGATTTAAGTAGCTTTGAAGTATGAATAAAGTTATTGGACGAGCGATATGATAGAGGATTATTTCAGGTTCGACAAAGCCGTTATCCATCTACAAATATTATATTCTCCATGAACTCTTTTGGTGAGCTGAATTATTATAAATATCAAGGAAAAATCGGCAGAAATTATACGAAAAGAAGTTTTCATACTGCTTTGGCCTCTAACCGCCCTGATTGCATAATTCCACAACATTTTTCAGGGCATATCTCTTCGACTTTATGGCCACTTTTCTCGGGTTTGTCGTCCTCTTCCCCGTCCCTTGTTTCTATTCAGTCTCAACCTTGGCGGACGCAGACACAACGACTCTCTCAATCTACGCTCTAGTAGCAGTAATCACTTTGTTTGGGAGGATCTTTGGGACGGCCTATCAGATTGTATACCGTTTCTTGAAAGCAACGCCGCTGGATTCAATCTTCTGGTATATAAATTTCACAAAGCACTCGCTACTTTTCCAAGTCACTGTTCTAATAATTGTATTCATCGTTCTCACAGCAGTCATCGTGGTGAGTTGCAGTTTACTTCAAACTTGTTTAAAGGACAAATTACGAACATAATTTCAGACTCCAGTTGTCCTCGAGATCCCGGATCAGAAAGAGGAAAGGGCGTATCTTTCCAGCCGTGATCCCTTCCTGGCTCAATTCTTCATCGAACATCCCAATGCCGTGTGTTTTGGGAAAGGGGAAACTGTAGAGGATCAGCTGATGATAGCCACCTATTTCATCTTCGCCACTCCGTTTTTGGTGACAGGAGCCAACCTCTACACGCATTACTATGTCCGCAGAGGCCGGAACATGGTCTCAGCAGCCACTTATCGGGTTCAAATTATGCTTTTCCAATCCCTCGTGGCACAAAGCATTGGATTAATAATCTTTCTGATCATCCCGGGGATCTTCTTCTTCACTCCGACGGTGTTTGGCTTTCGAAATGGACCGACTGTCTCGGTGATTTCATTCTTATTCTACCTTCTTCATTCACCATTCGATTGCTGCATAATCTTGATATTCATCAAGCCCTACCGCCAATACGTTGTTGTTCATTTCAAAAGGGTTGTGAAAGTCTCTAAGGAGAAGAGAGTCAGCTCAGCTCCGCAAACAATATTTGTAGAAGATATGTAAACATTTCTCTTAATTTATACTTTTATGAATAATTAAAGTGGTTTTCGCTTACAAATTATAAAATAAACATACAGTGAGTTTTATTAAAGATCTGAACCAACTCACGAGGGAATGGTCTGAACTTCCCCCAGCGTTTGGGAAAATGACTAGTACAGGTGGATAGAGCAGGTCAACTTTGGTAAAAAGAGCCATTTTCCAGCTGCGGAATAAGCCCGGCCGACGAGAAAAATCGACCGAAAGTTCCACAAAATTTCTCTTTCTCTTCCCTCGGAAAAGAAGAGCGGTGTCCAGTGGTTCGGTTAGCCGAGTGGATAAAGCATCCGCTCGATATTCTTTTGGGGGTTGGTTCGATTCCGGGGTCTCGCGAAGGGCCGTGATATGGCCTTGATGAGCAAGATCAAACTCTAACAACCCAAAAAATTTTTTTTCCTTTTTTATACGTTTTATAGGTTATGTAAAAAATTTTTAACAATAACGAAGTGGGGGTACAGAGCGTTTCAAAAACATAGACATACCGTTTTCTATCAAACGAGTATAACTTCGACGTTCGTTCGCTTTGAAAGTTTGGAAGAACCCAAAAAGTTCATTTTTTGACAATTATCGTTTTGGTATAATGCCCCTAAAAAACGTATGAAAATGGCAAAATGTTTTTTTTGGGTTGTTAGAGTTTGATCTTGCTCACCAAAGCCTTATCACGGTCCTTCGCGAGGCCCCGGAATCGAACCAACCCCCAAAAGAATATCGAGCGGATGCTCTATCCACTCGGCTAACCGAACCACCGGACACTGCTCTTCTTTTCCGAGGGAAGTGAGAGAGGAAATTTTTGTGGAACTTTCGGTCGATTTTACTCGTCGGCCGGGCTTATTCCGCAGCTGGAAAATGGCTCTTTTTACCAAAGTTGACCTGCTCTATCCACCTGTACTAGTCATTTTCCCAAACGCCGGGGGAAGTTCAGACCATTCCCTCGTCAGTCGGCAACTGTTTCCCAAAAAATTTTTATGCCATTTCCGGGGATTTTTGGCGTGTTTCCTAAAGATTTTTCTGTAAGTCTCCGAAAAAGAATAGAGAGAACGTGTCTGGTCTAATACGACATGCCACACACGTCGAGTGACTCGGGTGCAAGTCCGTTTAACGACCCTGGAAGTTTGCTTAGACGGTGAAATTAACATGAAGCATTTGTGTATCGGCTTAAAATGCAATTAAACTTTTTTTTTGAACGAGAAAAACCAGTTTACATTCACTAAAAGCCAAATGTTCCAAAGAAGTTGTGACGTGCCGTGTTTACCAAAACATTTTCCTCTTTCAATTTGTTCCATTTCCTCCTGAGGGTTTCCAATTTGTCCTCAACATGCGACATTCCCAAAGCTGTCCAAACAATTAAGCCCCCAACCAGATAGATAAAATGTTTAATCTCCCACAAACTTTCTGCTTTCCCTGTTTTCGCTGCTGCTTTACGTGATTTACCAAATCTGTGGGAGGCTTCAAAAAAGCTGTTTACGATTTGGAAACTCGATATTTTTTGTGTTTCATAGAGTTCGTATCTAAAGAAAGAAAAAACGTATAACTGTTTTGTAATCAAAACATTTGAGTTTTTTTAACAGTGTCAGCGGAAGCCTCTGTTTTGTCACATTTATTGGCACCTCCCGCGTTTGTGACGTCTATTTTCCCACAGCTGTCACCCCCCAAATCCTCTTAATCATAACCTTCCCACTCTAAATCAACGCTTCGTCTGCCGCACACTGAATTTCTTATTTTTGCTGAGGTTACTTTTAGTTCTTGATTATTGTTGGCTAAGTTAACAGCTTTTGTTTTTATTTGCTCTGGATATCGATTTTGTCAAGGGTGTCATATTGTGACAAATGTTGTAAACATATCTTCAACAATGTCATCATGTCCCCGTTTTATGCTAATTTATGCGTTTAAGGGTGCCATGAAGTGCCAATGGCTCTGAATTTGGAAGAGACGAAAGCCGCACGGTGCGGACAGCTGGGGGATGTCCTCTGTTTTATTAGGTTTTATTATTTTTAAATAGGCGTAATGGATGGCTATATGTAGAAGAAACAACGGTTCGTACTGTGGTCTATTCAAGTTGACAATTCTTTTACCCAGCTAGAGGTTGCCAGGTGCTTTTGCTGCAATTAAAATCATTTAGCTTACTTGTTTAACTTGCCATGTTACTCAATATATAATATTACATACTAAATATTTCCATATCTTTTTATAATTTAATGCCTATTGAAGGACCCCAAGAACCCAAAAATCCTGAAACAATTTTTGCAACCTTTTCGTGGAAATTGGAGGTTTTCGGAAACACTGGGAACTTAGCCTTCACTTTGCTCTGAGTGCACCCAAGTTGGACCCTATAAATGAAGCCGGAAGGTCGCACTTCGACTGATAGGAAGTCCGCCGATCTTTAATTGGGTTTGTTATGGACCTCTGCTGTTATGACTGCGAATATATAAAGAGAAAACATAATGGATTTGAGATTTCCTACGTGTCAACAGCAATGTGACAAAACAAGATTGTTTTTGTTTTGTTTCTTTTTCTCATAGGAAACTGCCGATTTATTATTGCATTTACTGGAATTAAAGGGTTTCAGCTATTAGTAATCATCGGATTACAGTATAATTAATTCGCATTGAAGCCTATGATGACACAAAGATTGGCAATCTTCAATCACTAAGTGTTTTGAGCTCATCTTTAAGTAATTGTGATTTGTTTGTTTGTAATTTATCGAAAGAGTTCGTTCCCTTAACCAAAACCCTAAGGGTCTGTTCCGAAAAACCAATTTTGGGATTCCTTTTCTGAAGTGCGGACATTCGCATGTTTTTAGGGCAAATTTTGTCTAGAAAAAAGATATCCGTCATGGTATCCGGACGAATGGTTGACCTGCATAAAAAGCACGTAATCTGATATAAGTTCGGGCTCCTATTCGATTAAATTTTTGCATGTGGGTACTATGCTGTCGATAAATTTTTTTCTTGAAAGTGTTGGCTCGCGTTTCTGAGCATATATTCAACGGTCTTTTTGCGAGAGATCACACGAAATGAGAGAGGTGGATAGACGAAAAACTCATTTGTTAATAATAACTTGTCCATTTCCGCATCACAAAAATTGATTTTTCGTTGTAACGTTGTTGCCCCCATTACTATAATAATTGAGCCTGAAATGTAATATCGTAAAAGAAAATGGCGAACTTATGGCAATTTAGAGAAAAAAAATCTCAGCCAGATGTAGAAAGTGGGGACTGGGAATAACACATTTGCCGGATATAATTTTCAAAATTTTGACCTGTGTTTATTTAATTCTTAAGCCACACGTCCCTTGTAGACATACAGTAAAACTTTCCTTAGTCTATTAACCTCCCCCACTTCTATTTTCGCTTTACTCATTACGCGCTTTCTAAAAATATCCCCATTGTACTCATATTACTACTTACTCGCCCGCCTTATCTCATCTCTCGTCATTGATACTTTTCGGCTAAAAATTTTTAATACGTTGTCTTGAAGAAGGGGGAGGCTCTCTTCCCATTTTCAGTTGAGATTTCGGAAATGGCCGGTTTTCTGGGAGTCGCGGGGTTTTAAGTTTGTTTTTGCTCCACCACAACGAGGAGGATTAGTGCACCTTATTTGTTAAACCAATTTAAAAAACTGGCTTAACTCTGGAGCGGGTGGAAAATTCATCATGAGCTGTTGTTATATTGGTTACTTTCCTTCAATTGTTTTCTAATTTTATTCCAATTCCCTTAATTTAAATGTGATTTTAAGCAATCTCCGGTTTATTTTATCTTGTGCGGGTTATCAAACACAAGGAAATTCAAAATTGTTAACTTTTTCCCTAATGAATTTTTTACTGTACTCATTGTCACGAACACTTCGAACTTTTTGAGACTCTTCAAATATTCCGAACGTTCCATGAATACTCTAAATGCGACTTTGGAGTGAGTTCCGGGCTTTCAAATGCCATTCATAAGCTGGGGTTTCCGAAAACAACAAAGATTATAGCAACGAGAAGGAAGCTTGTTATGGATTGTACCCAATATGTTAGTAAAAAAGGGGAAGTATTGTAGTTTCATGGTCTGTGGGCGTTGACCTGAGTTTGTAATTTAAGAATTGACACAAAGAGGGTGCGGATTGGGAAAAAAACTTCAGTAAGGGGAAGTTGTTCAGTAAGGGTTACAAAATTTAAAAAGAAACCCAAATTTACAACGTGGCACGTCTCTACAAAGACAGCTTTGTAAACCGCAGCTGAAATTTTCAATGTTTGATTTGCGGCCAATTCTAATCCATACAAACTTTTCAAGTTAATTTGGATTGCTTACGTAAAAGATTTTTTATTTTTGAGAGAAAAAACGATAATCGCATGAAAGATCAGCTTCATCTTAGCTCTATAAACAATCTCAACATCCATTCCACTCCAATTCGTTCGAGCTCAGACGTTTTGATTAGCCCATGCCTTCTTTTTTGATCATCCCTGACATCCCGTCCTAATTTCTTTTTGTTTTTTTCCATTTCCCGGCTTCCAGTGACAAATGGCATCGAATTTCAATGGAAGTCAAATTAGGGACGTGAAATTTAGGCCGTTCAACTTTTTTTGTTTGTTCTTTTCCTAATTCTTCATAGTTTTGGATTTTCGCCCGTTCTGCGGAGATGGGGACGCCTTTTTCGCGGGGTTTTACTTCAAATTCTGAGGGGATTTCAAGAGTTTCATGACGTTTAATGTTGCCGTTTTCCCATTAAAGACTTTGCTCGCCAATATTGACAGAATTTGGTTGACTTTGTTGTTTTGAAATTTGATTTGTGGCGTCTTATAATTGCCAAAATTCCAAAAAAAAACTCATAAATTTCCTTATTCAATAAGGTGTTACCTTATTGTTAGTTGTTGGCCATAAAACAATTGTTTACCTTAAGAGTTGAATCACATGCCAATTTACGTAGTTTCCCCGATTTTAAATATAGCCATTTCACCTCCACACTAAAAAAAACTTTTAAATTGGACACAATTTCCTTTTCAGACACATGCACATTGGGAATGCGATCTTGAGTTGTTTGTTATTGCTGGACTTGACCGTGGTGGAGGCGCTTTTCGCTCCACTATTCCGGGAATTCCTCAAACTGCGATTTGGAAGCGCGTGGGAGCAACGACTGACTCGGGAAGATCTCGTCGCCACAGGCTGGGACCCCTCTTTCGGAGGGGGAAGCCACGTGGGAGGCGAGAGGACTCGGTAAAACTTTATTTTAGGAGTTGTGAAATATTTTAATTCATTTCAGGAAAACCCCGATCATTTTCGCCCCATGTTGGCAATGCACGGCCGATTTCTTTGCTCCAATCGTGAATTTCTTCCGAGAAAATAATTATACAGATGCGGAGATGTACGGGACGACGGTTGGGGAGCTCCAGAAGGGGAGATTGTACCAACCCGGGTATAAATGCGAGTATGTTGAGTCGGTAAGTTGACCTAATATTCCAGTAAATCTTACTGTGTTCTTTGCAACAAAACTAATAAAGTTTTAGTCATCGTTTTCTTTCCCAATCATTCAATTCTTTTCAGTTTCGTCAACTCATCAAGGCCGTCATGTTATACACAAACACCAGGATTGTTCACATCTTGGCCTTTTCCTACAGCGGAGCGTTGACTCGAAAAGCAATTCTAGGCGGGAAATGTGTGGACAAAGATTTCGATCTGGGTCCCCCCTTAACCCAACATATCGATGTTTATTTGAGTGTGGCTGGCGTCCAACAGGGCGCTTTATTCTGCGAGAATGTGAATGATAAAACGCTGTTGGCTTGTAATATGTTGACCGGGATGAAATGCGGCAGCCGGTTTCTGCAGGATATAAATTCAGTGTGAGTTCTGGCTTTTATTTAATGATATAATGAATGTAAAATACAGATTTCAAACACTATTCCGTTTTTTCCTTTTCCAGGAAACACTACGAAGGCAAGCGGCCAGTGATAATTGAGACAACGGCCGATGAAATGGTTGGAATCCGGGTTTGTGGCCGATTTGCCAGTCAATTCGCGGGAGCTGAGATCATACGGGTAAGTTATCTTCGTGGTCGAATTTGTACAGCATTTTTGCCTTGCGTTTTGTAGCATTTTAGATCAAAATATGATGAAAATCCGATAACTTTTTAGCAATTTATGGCATGAACACGTTTACTGTAGAGAACGGCTTTTGTAAAAGCTTCCCGGTCATATAGATTGTTGATTGTCTCGACAGCTCTTCTATGGATCAATTTTTCAGGTAAACAAGCTCAGTCACGTGGATGTGCTCATGGGGACGATGGATGTCCAATTGGGGATCTTCGATCGAGTCCAATTCGATTACGGTGGATGGTTGAGTCTCAGTGCCGACAACTTTACATTCTACATGGTTGTTCTCAGCGAGGCAGCGATTCTGATATGCGGGTGTTTGTACTACACACAAATGAGACGTTCTTAATTCAAATGAGCATAAATAAGAAGTTTATTGTCATTAAATAGGCTCAAATCTACGCTAGAACTTGTGATATTAGTTTTGTTTTGGTTGTTACTTGTTACAGTAATAAAACTTTATTCTAAGAAAACAAGGTCTTGTTTATTTACCAGTAATATACAGTAATATAATCTCAGTTTATCTTGGGTGTTTTAACGTAAATACTTTGTAACAATCTGTTTTCGTAAAGGCTGATATCATGTATAATATAATATAAGGTAATCTCAGGTGGATTTCAAAGCCGTATCCAAAAACGGTCTCCATAATGAGGCCGCATTCTTTGAGTCTTTCTTTTGAGCGTCCGGTGAGTGTGAATTGAGCGATGATGAGGTAGTTGAGGCAGTTGAGAGATTGAATTCATCGTCCGTGGTCTCCACGTCCACGTGGATCATTTCTTGGGTGTTCTCGGAAATCTGAAATATCTTTTAAGACAATTATATATTATTTATAGGATATATATATTATATATACCAATATGTATATGTATGCTCTAACGCAACACTACGCGCATTGAATAAAATTTTGCACATGACACCTGCAGTACTAAAAGATGATGTATTGCAAGGGTTGGCCCGAGCATGCCCGACGCCACTTTGTTTTGTAAACCATTATACGTATACATATAGTAATCATTTATTACTCACCTTTGTTTTTTGCGTCTCCAATTTTAGTTCTGGAGTTCTTCGGCTCTTTGGCAGTTTATCGCCACTTTCATTGGGATCACTCGCTGAACTTGTTGGTGTCACACTTTCTTGTCGCTTTATCACCTTCTTTTCAGTGGATTGTTGAACATTGGCTAAGGTATTTAGCGCATGCAAAGGGTTGCTTAAATGCCCCAATCTGGCCCATTGATTAATCAGATCCGGTTTGAAATTGAGATTCGAGTTGAACATGGCATTCGAATTGTTTTGAACTCCATACAGAGCCATTGCAGCGGCAAATGATTCAAGGATTGCGGGGTTAAATGGGACTGTAGAGCAATGTGGGACCATGGTCGGGAGATTGGAGGGAATGAATGGAGGAAAAAGACGGGGCTGCTTGAGGAACGGGGGAAATCCAAGACCATGGAGGGGACCACCGGGACGTTTTCGGTCATCTGCAAGGGAGAGATTTAGCAACGCTCTAATGTCAATGGTAAATTTTGGGTGTGAAATTAACAGGTTCATGGTGAAAGGCATTTAAAACTTACTCATGGAGTTCCTATTGGGATTCCTCGAATCTCTGGGACCATCCACGGTAACCTTGATAATATTATTCACCATAACGACTTGTTTCAACGGCGAAGTATGAATTGTTAGGCTCAAATTGAAGTTCTTCCCTGGAAAAGTTATCATAGAATATTTGACTCGAAAAATTTAAAATTTTGAGAATAAAAAGCGTTAAAATTGCAAGGTCTCGAACATCGGCTTACCACGTCCACTTTTCCCCACAAATCGGAGATCCGTGAACCTCGCCATTTGCTGTGTCACTTCGGCAATATTATTCTTGATGTCCGGACTGCAGTTTTCTTCATTCCCTGCAGATACCGTGACTTTTGTTCCATCGGGCACCGGGTACAAAATAAGGACAGTAAATGGATGAGGAAGACTTTTATTCGACCTCCAGTGATTTGGCAGCGCCGAGCAAAAGACCTCGGGCGATGCGGTTCGAGCGAATTTGCATACCCCAACCATCCGTCGAAGCCATTCTTCAACGTTGTCCAGGGCTACTTTGAAGTTGTCCATCCTAAAAATTGAGAGTAAAATTAGCACTCAAAGTGGTTACTAAACCGCGACAAAAGAAAGAATTATAAAATGCATGGATAACATTTGTCTTAAGCATCAGCTACTGTTAGGATATGAAAAAGCGGAAGAAATATGCCACTGGGGAAGCCAATCAGCTCAAGGTTTTGTTTGAGGTCTCGTGGCTTCCTTCTTCCCCAGGGCCAAAAACCGCTTTGATGAATGAGCCTAATGGGCTGTGTAGACAGGGCAGATCAAAAAAGAAAACCAGCGTTTATTAGGGTTCGAAATCAAGGAGTCTCCATGACATAAGAAAATCTACGGATGCGTTGAACATACGTATATATACGTATGTGGTAAGTCCGAATAGGACGAAAACAGAAACAAAATCAGTTTAAAGTTGTGTCGAATAAAAATCATCCCACCATAATCAAAAACTATAGCCATTTCCACCTTGGTCTACGATAACATCTGGGCCACCTTGATCGAAAAACCTGGCCAGAAAGTTATTGAAACCACATTGAGCAAACCCGGTCCGTTTCTGTTTTTTTTTTCATCGCACGACCAATCAGTGTGCCCCTCGCCCATTAAACGACCACTTTTCGGCTCCGGCCGCTATGAGAAAAACGATCCCGGGATGTTTTGACCCGTGCCGAACACTACTTTAGACATTTATGTGGGAATCTGGAGAGTTATGGGCGAGAGGTGGCTTGATAGCTTTGCTGGGGATGGAGAGGGTAAAGTAAGGTTGAACCAGAGATAGCGAACTCAAAACTCTATTGATTTTGACGAAATGTCGGCGTAAAAGGTCTGATCGAACTAGAAAAAGACGGTCTCATAGGTACTACTCGCGCCAGAAAGTCTGTAGACTTTTTTCGCTGACGTTGCCCGCAAAATTTGCTGTCCTCTAGCGCATAAACACATGTTGCTTGAGCCAAAACGGGAAGTCGCGGCGACGGGGCGAAAAATCAAAGAAAGACGTAAAAACGCACTGTACAAATTCCACGGACTTTATGCCGCGAGTAGTACAGTAAAAACCCGTTTAACATGGCTTTCGGTCAAAATTCATTGCACATAGTCCTTATATTGGCGTTACCCCAAAACAAAGATCTTTACCATACCTCTCTCAAAAACAAATTTAAAGTTCGAAAAAAGTTTGTACTGAAAAACGCCGAGTTTTTTATCACTAACACCAATCGGGACCAGGTTTTTATCTCCTTTTTTTTGGCCCGAAAAGCCACCCCAACGTTTTCGGCGGCCACATTCAACATGATTAATTAGCGGCGGTTCCGTCGGCCACAAGCGCCTCCGGCTATGATTTCTCTCTACCTGAGGGCCGCCATTCCAAGATCGATGAGTGGAGAGGGATTTCCGAGGGGGATGAAGAGGGAGTTCGACTTGTTTGCAGGGTTTTTGTCAAACATTCGAGTACGTTGAGACATTTCGTGTGGTGAATGTGGGTCATGTGTGTGATGTTCGGATTGGCTGATGTTACGGTGGGGAAGCGCTCATAAGATTATGTATCGGGAAAATCAAAGGGATCTCAGAGGACCTGTGCCATGGTAACAACTTTTTATATGTATAATACAATTGATGTAAACCAAATATTACGGTTTCTTCCGATGCCATCGGAGGATACCGTGATCACTCACAGCACTCTTCACTGTTCCCAAACAGACGCCAGGCCTACCTGATATTTTTTGCCAAACCTCATTACTCTTTGCCAGAGGGGGCTGCAAGACATGTTGGCAGAAGTTTCTTTTTCCTAGCGGTACTTGATTAAGCGACCAAAGGGCCATTAATTTGCGGACATGGCAAAAAACGAGTTCCCAATGGGCTGAGAAATGGGCGATAAAAGTGCAATACCTGTCCGTCGGGAAAATAATGTAGATTCGGCGCGCCTTGGAATCAGCCATCATCGTGTTGCGACGGCTAGCCGCGGCTGGATATTTATTGCACGACTGAGACAAGGAGAGACATTTTACTACGACAAATCCACATTAGTTTTCTGTCAGATTATTTCTAAAAGATTTACATGACTTGTTATGCAATTCAGCGCTACTTGTGCCCTCCAGTAAATGATGACACAATGGGAGATGACGAATAAGTGCAAATTCCGGAAATAACAGAGAAATGGATGTTCGACATGCTAGCTGATCTCTCAAGACCACTAGTTGGCTTAATGGAGCCAATAAACACCAACATACCCTTCAAAAAACAGCTGCTTCAAAGGGATTGTGGCCGAAACGCGGTTGTCACAAACCTAAAGACGTCAGGATCGCTGAATTGCCTAACCGATATTGTAAACATGGATTTCGAGCGGCTCTTTGGACAAGGTAAACTTAAAAATGACAAAGGAATATAAAGCTTGAGGAAAGCCAATATGATAAACATATTTGAAACAGTCGGAGATTCAAAAAAAGTCTGGCAAAACGCCGATTAATGGATGGCTTTTTGAGTGAGCCTTTTTCAAAAAAAATCGTTTTTGACACCGCGCAAGGTGAGGAAAAACCCATAAAGACAAATGGACAACGGTTCTTGGAAAACTCGAAACTTTCCCTTTCGGACTGTAATTTTCAAATTTGGACGCTAACTCATTAACAGTTTTCTTGGAACTGTATGCAAGAAGTTTTAAGGTTTACTGAAGCTCAAAGAAGGCGCAGAAACAGTAATCCACTCTCCAAATAAGTGATCAAGAATTTTGGGAAAACTTTTTTGCAGCTGATGAATATAAAAAAACAAATCTATTCTACCGTAACCACTCCCACCGAAACTGCTTTCGCTCTCTTCGCCGCTTGGTCTTTTCACACCCCAACCCCCGAATATCCCACTCGGAAACCGCGCGAATCGCAGAGACCGGCGAATGATCAGCTCCTCTTCCCTCCCCTTATCTGCACCTTATATGATCCCCGTAAAGACATTTGTTTTGCTTCGAACCCCATATTTATGGTCGTCACCTGGGCCACGGCCTTGTCACGGACAACAGATTGCAAGAATATGGTGGTGGAAGCGGCGTGATCGAAAGGTCAGACAAGTGGGAGAAAGTTGCCAAGTTCTATACATAATAGGAAAAAGCGACAAAGGAAAAGTAAACGGCTTTATTATGTCTACAACGATGTTATCAAGAGATAATCATGGCCTCGAGTCTAAGATTGTTAGACCATGGAGACCAACTCATCCACTCTCAGAGAATTTTTGAGCCCTTATTTCCCATTTACGATCACCCCGACCCTGATTTGTCCCCATAATATGCCACCTCGTAAAAGCGCAACCTTTTCGCCTATGCAAAAACACCGACTTTCTCAAATTACAGGCCAAATCGCTTTCCGTCTTTGACTCCGTCCCGTTAACCTTTTGCGTCGAAGGACATGAGATCTTGACCGATCGGCTAATCGGTTATATCGGTTACGACATGCAGATTAGAGGTTTTTCTTGTCACGCTGATGAGGGAGATAAGAAAGTTTAAACGCAAGAAACAAGAATAATGAAGGGCTGCGGATGAAACCAAAAGCTCACCAGAAAAGAATCGTGGAGTCATACTTCTAAACCTAATAAGAAAGTAAATGACATAAAATTTTAAGAGTTTTTGGCACCAAGAATATACCTGATGAAGCCGAGATTACAGTGACCGCCGAACTGTTTTGACTGTTTTGCGCCAAACTGAGGAGTAAGCCGAGAAACCGGCCCCCCGCCAACGGCGGCGAAGATGCTACATCGATAACGTCGCCCAGCCTCAAAGTGCAACGCCGCCGGCTGTTTTGCACTCAAAGGCGCGGCGAACTCATCTTCACGCATCACAAAATGGCGGTGTTCCGACTCGCGGCGAAAGGAGATGATCGGGCTTGAGGAATGAGGGAATGACAAGGTTACAGGGAGTTGGAGGACGTGCAAGACATAGCTGGGCAAGTGCAGAGTTTATGCGGACTAAATTAGATTCCAGGAAGCAGTATGAAGTCTTAGAACAACAAGGATAAAATGAATGTAGAGGATCTTGATATAAATCCAGGTATTTTGGTATAGTAATAAAGCTACCAGAATGACAATTTGCAAACTAAATTTTAACTTCAATCTTAACTGTTTAGCGACAACCAATTACAGTAACCTAACCTCTAACCTCGTTGTTAACCCATGAATGCCCTTTGTTTCAGTCATCTCAAATAATCCGTCAACGCACACGTTCCATCGACCTCAACCTCCGCCTCGCTCTCCTTCACGCGCTTGCAAATCAGAAACTGTCATCGGCTGTAGAAACAAATTTACGTCAAAGTTTGTGCGCTCAACCGTTCCTTTTTCGCCAACCGACTCTTCGTCGGTTTTGGCAAGGCTTCGATAAGGTGTTTTAAGCAGAGATAATGATAGAAGATGAGGTACGAATCCTTTAAAAAATGTTATAAACGATTAATATCGCCTATCAATTACGCACACACAAGATAAGGCAGTCTTTGAGAAGCCTAACCACTCATTACATCCAAAAAAAGGAAATAAAAATTTGACAACCGCCCCGACCGAACCTCATAAAACAACATTTCGAAAAGTTGCTCGCCCTTGAGTAGCGCAGAACCCCCATCTGAAGACGACTCGCCCACAAAGCCAACATGAGTCCCGTTGTTGCGCCCGAAGACGCGCACTGATTGGCCGCCGATAAACAAAACCGCGAGAAACGAGAATCAGAAACGGGAACGGCACGATTACATCGGCACGGGCGCTTAATTTATTTTTGGGCTTTTCTTCAAAAGACCCTCGGGGTTTTTTTGCGTAGCCAAAGCAATTACCGCGAAATGATCATAAATTATTGGGAAATAGGATGTAAATGAAAATAAATGGCTTTCTGCTCGTTAACCTCAATAGCCGAGGCTGAGGTCGATGGGGTTGATAATCAGATGCACAATTTCAGATTTTGGAATCAGAAATATGGCTCGCCAAGAATACAAGGGCTTTGTGACATCATTAGGAAACATACTGTCATAACCTTCGTCATCAAAAGGATTCTAAAGTTCCAGCAACGCATTCAGCACTTTCTCTACGCACACCGAAATTTCGTAATTGCGTAAGCTCCAAGACTTCTCATTTCGACGACAAAACATGAAAGTTTTCGAAAAGCCGACTGTCTCTTATCTTCCACCTCAAGGCCATCTCATCGCTTCCCTCAATAATCAACACAACGAGCCTTTTGAAGACGATGAAAAAGCGGTTTCCAACGAAGCGACGGAGCTTCTTTGGCTTCCCTCAAAACCTCGCTCATCGAGTTGTGTCTTCATGATCTTATCTCTGGCTTCATCATTGCATTGGAGAGAACTTGGGGGGAAGAAATGCAAGGTCTGAGGGTAAATATGGCTTGAGATATTTTATCATCTTTAATAATCTGGCGTATGTCTCCTTGTAAAGAACAGTTAATGTCGACAACTCACAGAAAAAATCTCCCTCAAAGACTACTCTTTTACGATGCAATTTCGATTTTTTTTTCTGGCGGTTGAAGCCTCAAAAGGGAACCTTGAGAGCGACAAAAACCCGCCAATCATGAATCGAACAGCCCTCGCGACGCTATCTTCAGACCCTTCGCCTTTTTTCGCTCCGCGGCCGCAAGAGGAAGCCGCCAATGGCAGTTTAGATTGTTATCGGGTGGAATGCATGGTTACAGACGCAAGAATATGTTGACAAGAAGCGGTGTTTTCAATTTATAATATAGTCTATTTAAAAATACGGGATAAATTTTCAGCATATAAGCCTTAGAGACGCGACTTAAAAACTAGCCCTTAGAGCTTCTGGAGGAACCTCTGGAGTCGGCCCCAGAGGGTTTACTGAAGCTCCACCCAATGAGTTTCGATGAAACCAGACCCGTAATGCCCTCAGGACAAAAACTCGATAAGGCTTAATAAAATACAGGATCATGAGACAATCAACCGGCGTGTGGAATAAAAAGAAACAAAAACAGATTGTCGTAACAATGGGGCCATTGCGAAATTCAAAAATTGGCATTGCCAGAAAAACTAATCCCGGAATTACCATGAACATTATAGCAGCAATCAATTGAAAGACAAGAGATCGAAATAACATCATCTGAAGGCGATACGTCGTGGACGACCAGTTATTCCGATGCATTGTGTGATACATAACAATGAGAAAGAAAATTGTAACAAAAGGCGTCAAGAGTAATATAATGAATGTGCACAGAATTGAACCCCTGGGATTGATGCCTGAGGTGATGCAGATGGCATCTGGATGATCGATGAAGATTCGGAAAACCAAGGGGTCTAGCAATGAGAGTTCTTTTTGTTGGACCTCTTGATTTGGCAAACTGAGGACTAAGGGAGTCTGCAACAAAAGGGTGAGTTTATTTATCATATGATAACATGTACATCGGTCGAAACATGTCGGAAATTTAGAGGTCAAAAACTTACCATAACCACCACTAAAAGCAAGGCCAAGAATGCAATGCGTCTGCAGATGGCTCCTTGAAATGTTCTCATCGTGAACACATTTCTAACTCTCGAATCGAAAGACAAAGAGCGAATAAACAAATATTCGAATTGGAAAAAAACGGAGCAGTCTTTTGTGGCCATCGTTGCTATACCGATCAAATAATATGCGACTTGCTGATTTTCTGTGAGATTACTTGCGATGTTAGTTGTGTAATAACACGGAAGAGGGAATAACACGACAGCGCCGCTTAGGCAAATAAATGTGTCCAAGATAAGTGACCTAAGCACTGTTGAAGGCATTTTAAGTACTTACCATAGTAGTTCATTGACCAAAAAGAATCGATACCGATTGATGATCCTGTTAGAAGCTGCAAACAAAATTTATGACGCCTTTCCAAAGTAAGATTGAAGTGACTTACAAAGAACGATCACAAAGATTGTAAAAGGCACCAGGACAAGACTAATTGCAAACAGGATCGACTCAAAGGCCCTATAAAAGACTAAAAGTTCGCTTGATGGTAACTCCGAGGGCTGCAAGAGCTGCCCCATAAAGCCAGAACTCCTTCGACTTTTGTGAATAGCGAAGAAACAAACCCGACATCCAAATACAGTAGACACATGGAGTTGTTGAAGAAATGAAATACAAAAAATGCAGATTGTAACCTTACCTTCTCTTCTTCGTTGTATTTTCAAGAAATGCGGCTTATTTCTCCATTACAGAGAACCAAAATCCTAAACCTTTGATCTGACGTTACCTTAACGAATTATATATTATCGCATCTACTGAGATACCATTCGGAACATAGCGGGTTTGCAAGGTATCACACGAGATTTATTTGAGTCAAGACTTGTCAAACTCTGAGTTCTTGGTTTGTTCAAAGGAAAACAACTCTAAAACGGCGAACGTTAGTTGCAAGAGTAATACAAAAACTGATACCGAACATTTCAGAACTTTCTGCGTTTGTAGTTTACTGGAACTAATGCATACCCCACGCAAACGTTCTTCGGTCTGAGAAATAACTCTTGCTTTGCTCTGCGGTTTTCTTGCAAATGTTTAGAAACTTCTCGAGGCTTCAATTTTTTTATGGCTGGTGAGTTTTTTTTCTGTATGTTATCAGTTTGTGGGGAAAATAATAAGGAATCGTCGCAGCAAAATGTCTCGCCTCGTCGCAAAATTTATGCAGTTTCCCAATTCCAAAACGCAACAAGTTAGCCTTATTTTGCCGACAGACGGATAAAAACCGAAGCGAATCGTTAGAAAGTTTCGAACAGACTAAATGAACCGTATTCTGTTGAAAATTTTAATATCCAAACAGTCCAATTAGTAAATCCAATCCTTCATATTTGGTGTTCCTTTTACCGACTTGTCCTTTACTATTTATTTCTGAAGAATTTTACAAATCGAAGATTGGAGGATAGAGAACAAAAGGAGAAACATAAATGCTTTTCTTGGCGAGTACAACCATTATTACAATCTGACGTTTAATTTTATGTTTTTGGCAGATTGTTTACAATAGATACAGGATTTTTAGAAATGATTGACTGTGGCTGATGCCCTGAGAGATCAACTGTTGACTTGCGTTGAAAGAACTGTTGAGTCAAGGGGAACAACCGATGAGTTGTATATTGTATTTTTGTATCTCCATAGCCCTGCAGAAAATTGAGTAAATTCGCTACGACGCGTCGATAGGGCTTGATGAAATACAAGATCATAAAACAATCAAATGGAGTGTGCATCAAGATGAAACAGAAGCAAATCACAGTGATAATTGGACCTTTGCGAAGTTTAAAGAGGAGCGTAATGATCATCATCATGCATGGAAGACACATGAACACGGAAAATGTGATTAACTGAAAGACAAGGGAACGGAAGAGCATCATTTGAAGACGATAAGTGTTGGTTGACCAATTGCCTTTACGCATTGAATAGTACATTATGATCAGAAAGACGAGCCCAATAAACGGAGTTGTGGAGAGAACGATAAGACCGACTATAATTGCTTTTTCTGGGTTTGTTCCACCTGTAAAGCAGACGACATCGGGATGGTCTTCGTAGAGTTTGCCGATAAATGGATCAAGTGATATGAAAAATAGTTTCTGTTCTTCTTGATTGGGCAAAAAGTAAATTAGTGGAGTCTAAAAATAGGGATAAAGTTAGCCCTCATTTACAGCTTCGTATGAATATAACATATCATTGTCAGCGGTCGGTAAAAGACTCGAGATAATAAAATGGTTATCGAATGATTCTCGGCCATCAAAACGCTTGCAAAATGTTTAGAAAATCTGAAAACGCGCCCTTCCTTGGTGAGCCTTTAGTTGCGTTCAGATGACCGCGCCGCGATTGTGCTCGGGAATTCATTAACCAGCCTGACTTACTAATACTGCCCCGAGAATAACGACCATGATCCCGACATGCCTCATCACCAAACGCCTCTTTGTTTTGAGTCCAAGGAACGCTCTAGTCTTCGAATCCATCGCAAGCGATTTCACAAGAATGTATTCGAATTGGTAAAAGATGGAGCAGTCTTTCATTGCATAAACGCCGATTCCGATAACAAAGTAAGTTAACTGCTGCGTGTGGGAGAGGGCACTGGTGACGTTCACACCGTAGTAACAAGGCAGAGGGAATAACGATACAGCGCCGATTAACGAAGCCATAATGTCAAGCAGCAACGACCTTGAACAATATGATATCTGTGTTTGTGAATTGTGATCCCTTACCATAACAACTCGTTGATCAAGAGTAGTCGGTAGACGTTGATGACACTGTTACTAGCTAAAAACAAGAGTTTTGAAAATGGTAATTTAAGACTTACTGAAAAGCATGACGAGAATTGTGAAGGGAACCATAATTACGGTAACCCCGAGGGCAGTGTCCTCGAACACCTTGTAGAATTGAAGAAATTCAGCGGACGGTAGGTCAGATTCATTCAAGAAGACCCCCATAGCAGACAACGTGGTCAGATATGAACCGTACTCGATACCAAATGTTTTAATATCTCTGAAGAAGAACAAAAAACGTAAGTTTGTGTTTGTACACTGCCAGTGTCCCACAGTTTCATCACATCCGTCGGATATGGTGAAACAGCCTAAAAATTTGTAGTTCAGCTGAAAAAAGCTTTTTCAGTTTCAGGAAATCAAATTCACATTCATTATGATTTTACGCATTACAGTAGAGTGAATCTGTGGCCCACTACAGTGCTCGACAAGATTACAGCACTTTTAAAATAACTTTTGTGGTTGTCGAAAAAACTGCCATATTTGGTCCCAATATGCATTAGTGTACCATAAATCATGTGCCAAAAAATTATTTCGAGAAGTTTCCACAATATGGAAAAAAGTTGAAAAAACCGAAATTTTGATGATTTTTTTTGCGACAAGATTATAAATGCACGCAATATTTTGCAATTTTCTTGTGGTTGGTGCTGCAGCAAAGCAAGTTATTCGCCTTTGTTATATTCTTAGTTGTCCTTCTGGGTTTCTACGAGGAAAAACGTCAACAGAATTTGAAGAGGGCGAAATTGCGGCCCTGAAATGGCAAAGACCTCCGGTTTGGCAGATTTTGGCTCAGGTAGGCCGTTCGGCTGGAGTTGTTAAGAACTACCGTGCTTACCCGGAGGTCCTCCTACAACACATCTAAACGTTCTGGCAAAAAAAGTATACCACTGCAGAGAAAAGGCAAACAAATCCGCCGGGCTTCCATCTCCACAATCTCTGGGTCTGATATAAAGGTGGTCATATAAGAGTTCACAAAAATTTTTTCCCAAATCGCGATTTTCGGTGCACAAAAAAGTAGACGCCCAAATCGAAAAATTGCCGTCGACTTAATTTTTTCAGCACCGAATTCCGAAATAAAGCAAGAAATAGTTTTCTTTGCACTGTGCAATAGGCTTTTTTCTGCTGTCGCTCGACTTTTTTCGCACAGTGCACACGCCAAGAATCAGGCGACTTTGCGGAAGGACTAGTAAATTTTCTTTGAACCGGGAGAAGACCACTAATGTATTCTATTATAGCTAAAATGATTACAGTTACCTAAGCCTCCCAAAGTTTATGAACAGTAATTAAAACGTCTGAAAAGTAATGCTGTTGTAGTTTAATCATAATTTAGTTCATATACCTGTATATTATTATGTATAACATATTCGACCCAAGTTGCCACCGCTGGAAATAAAATTCATGATCCTTTTTCAGTTTAAAATTCAAGTGAGTTACAAAGAACGATCACAGCGATTGTAAAAGGCAGCAGGACTACAGTAATTGCAAATAGGATCGACTCAAACGTAGGTTGGTGAAGAAATAAAATACAAAAAACGCAGATTGTAACCTTATCTTCCTTTCCGCGTTGTATTTTCAGTAGATGCGGCTTATTTATCCAACGCAGAAAAACAGAATCCTAAACCTATGACCTGGCATTACTTTTAAGAATTATATATTATCGCATCTACTGAGGCGCCATTCAGAAGAGAGTAAGTTCTGTAAGGTATAACACGAGATTTATTTGTGGTCAAGACTTACCAAACTCTTTGAGTTCTTGGTTTGTTCAAAAAACAACAACTCTGAAACGGCGAACGGTATAATAGTGGCAAGATAAATACGAAAGCTGATACCGAAAATTTCAGAAATTTCTGCGTTTACTGGAACTTATGTAACGCCCACGCAAACGTTCTTCAGTCTGAGAAGTATATTACACGACATCTGCTTTCTCGGCTTGTAATTGCGGCCATTATCAGTCGCTTTGCCCACGAGGCAAATTGTGCAAAAATTTAGACCAATTTATCCTTGCAATAACGATCCAATCGTTCGTCTTTGGTGTTAGCTTTAACGAATTGTCTTTTAATATTGAGGTGACATTTACGCATCTAGAAGCGAACTGCCTCTGGCTTTTGGATCCGGCGTAAGCGACCTCACAAAAATGTATTCGAATTGGTAAAAGATGGAGCAGTCCTTCATTGCATAAACGCCGATTCCGATAACAAAGTAAGTTAACTGCTGCGTATGGGAGAGGGCACTGGTCACGTTCACACCGTAGTAACAAGGCAGAGGGAATAGAGTTACAGCGCCAATTAACGAAGCCGTAACGTCAAATACCAACGATTATATCTGCGTTTGTGAATTGTAAATAATCCCTTACCAGGACAACTCATTGATCAAGATTATCCGAGAGAGGTTACTAGCTAAAAACAAGGGTTTTGAAAACGGTAATTTTGATGAAATCGCAGATACCCGTTCCCCGGAACACTGACCGTTTTAAGAATTATATTTACCGTGTCCCCGAAGAAACCGAAAAATTTTGGAGACGAACTGTCGATACGGTTTGATAAAGTACAAAATCATAAGACAGTCGGTCGGAGTGTGCATAATAAGCAGACAGAAGCAGATCACAGAGACAATTGGGCCATTTCGAAGCTCAAAGATAGGCATAGACAGAAGCATCACGCTTGGAATGACCAATGACCATGAACAAAGTAAAGGCGATCAGTTGGAAGACAAGAGAGCGAAACAGCATCATCTGAAGACGACGTGTGTTGGCCGACCAGCTTTGCCGCCGCATTGAGCTGCGCATGACGGTCAGAAAGAAGACTCCGATGAAGGGAGCCACGGAAATGGCAAGGAAACCGACGATCAGTGATTTCCTGGGGTTGGTTCCGGTAGTAAAGCAGACCATGTCTGGATGCTGAACAAAGAGTTGGGCGACGTACGGATCAAGCGAAGCGATGAACTCCCTTTGAGCATCCTGATCTGGCAGAAATAGGATGATTGGGGTCTGAAAGTGGTCCTATTAGGTAATCCTTTTTCAGGGTGTCGCTTGACTTTTTTCGCACAGTGCAAACACCAAAAATCAGTCCCACGGCTTTCCGGAAAGACATGTAAAAACAAACAGAATACTTTGCAGCGAAAAATGGGTGTAAATTTGTAAGCGATAGAAGCTTCCCTTCCGGTAGTTTTAGCACCTGTTTTCTTTATAATTCCGTGTGTTTTCGAGACTGTATGTACTGTCTGATCACAAAATGACAAAGGTCTAATTGAGGGCCTCGATATCAGGATTCTTACCAAGATTGTGGCCACCAGGCAGATCATAAAAACCCCATGCCTTATAAGCCAGCCTCTCACTGTTTTCGTTGTAAAATAGGGCCGAACTTTTGAATCCGACCCCAGAGATAGGACAAACAAGTACTCGAATTGATAGAAAATAGAGCAATCTTTCATAATTAGTGTCGCGGCGCCAACAACAAAGTAAGCGATTTGCTGCGAATGCGAGAGTTTGCTTGTCACATTAATACCGTAATAACAAGGTAGCGGGAAGATCGTAACTGCACCGATTAAACTGGCCATTGAGTCAAACATTAAGGACCTTAATTGGAATGGAAATGCAAGGGGTATGTCGCCTACCATGTTAGCTCATTTATAAGGAATAAGCGGTACCGGTTGATCACTTTGTTGTTGGCTGAAACGACTCGTTTCCTTGCAGGGAAGTGCTCAAAAACCGAATTTCTTTCAATTTTTGGTTCACGTTGGGCACAGGTCAAGTATAAAACCCCAGTGTGCGCTTTCCGGGAGGCCTCCGATTACCTGTAATCTTTAATCCCGCAAGAATGCGCAAAATCCGAATAAATTGGCCAATTCTCACCAAAAAATTGATGTTTTGCAGCAGCTAGTCAAAACAAATTTAAAGAAAACCTGAGCATTTTGAACACTTCTCTTGCAAAGTGTTGAGCAAAACTTACACAGGACCATGACAGAAATTGTCAAAGGGACCAAGAAAAGTGTAAATCCGAAAATAATGTCTTCGAAGATCTCATAGAAGTGCAATAAACCTGGCGATGGTAATTCCGAGGCATTGAGGAAGATTCCCATCAGCCCCCGAGGCTGAAACAAAGGCAAAATCTTTTTATGAATTGAGGGTTATATTTCATTTCCGTTGCTACAAGATATAGTACAACACACCTCCAAATCATATCATACATCTGCATATCAATTTTTGTATTCAGTGAAAAGTTTATAGTTGGAGAAACATTGGCAGATATGAAACCCTGTAGGAAGGAAGTGTATTCCGTGTTTGTAATCTAATCAAAAATCAAAGACCGTAATCGCATTTATTTACGTTCGCATTTACACTAAATAACGGCGAGTTCTAAGAACAGCCGATTCATTTACCATATCCATGTCCCTTAGAGTACGTAATTATTTACACATCATGTGGGATCGCAATGCATTCTAAAACGGAAAATGTCACGTATGCACATAAAATATGACTCCGAGCTGACTCGGTGAAATTTGTAAGGCCTGGTATGAAAACCATGGGATTCCATAATAATCGCTGCAATTAATGAATTGCCTATCATACCCCATATCGCAGGTTCAAAAAATGCTCGAAACGGAAGCTCCGCAGGCCTGCGGCGGTACTACATAACTTACGATATGGCAGGCTGCCGGTGGCGCAAACTTTGGTTGCTTTTGCTCTCCAAACGCCGAATACGATCTCTTTATTCGAACCTGGAGCTTCATCTTTGTTTTGCCTAATGTTTTCAAAACAAGGGATTTGAAGAACCAGCGCCTTAAATTGTATCGAGCTGTTTTTATTGACGTTATCACTCAGTTTATTTTGTCAACAGCTTGTGACGACGGATGGATACATCTTGCTTTTGTGATGCTTTGACGGAAAAGCTGACTTTTTCCCCGGCACCTGTGTCATACTGAAACTTCCTGTACTTGAAGTATAGACTTGAAGACCGGGAATATGTTTCAACAGGAAGACTCGGTAAGGTTTTATAAAATACAATATCATAAAGCAATCGACCGGAGTGTGAATTAAAAACAAGAAAAAGCAAAGAACAGAAATGGTGGGGTTGTTGCGAAGACCAAAAATAGGACCACCAAGGTAAAAAAGACCCGGTAAAATCATGAGGAAAAACACGGCGATCATCTGCGCAACAAGAGACCAGAATAACATCATCTGAAGACTATATGTGTGATGAGAAGTCCTGTTTCGACGGATGGAGTAATACATTAAAGAGCATAGTGTAATGCAAAAAACTGGAGTTGCTGAGACTGCAATAAACGCTGCCATCAAAACGGCGGTCACCTCGGTGCCGCGGGCAAAACACAGAGTGCCTGGGTAATCAATAAAAATCTTTGCCACAACCGGATCCAACGATGATAAGTAAGTCCGTTGTTGGTCTTGGTCGGGAAAACTGATAGCAATTGGAGTCTGAAACATTTTGTTAATGTATGCAGAATTCACGGTGCATCAAGAGCTCCTAAAGTTGCTCCCAAATGATTTGGAAATGTTTTTTCGAACACGACATGTTCCACAGGTTCTACCTCTGCTCATTTCTGCCCACACTGAATCAATCTGCAGTCGCGAGGGCTTTGGAGACTGTGTTCACGGTCACCCGGCTCTCCCATGGTAGTTTCCCTGAGGCCCTTAGAAGTACTGACAAGGTAAAGGAATCACCGTCTCTTCGTTCGTAGAAATTGTGAGCAGAACGGCTAAATCTTTCAATGCGGACAGAAACGTCTTTCGTAATGATGAACTGGGAATACAAACGGATCCAGTTTTCACCGAGCTGCTCCAAATCACTTAATTTACAACAACTTACAAAAATAACAACTGATAGAGTGAGCATTATTGTCCCCCGCACCATGATTTCTCTTCCCTGTCTAGGTTTCTCCAAGAATCGTCGAATCGATGAGGTCACGGCCAGAGTATTTAAGAACCGGTATTCAAATTGGAACAAGATTGAGCAAGATTTCCCCAACAAGGAATTAATTCCCACAAAGAAGTAGATGATTTGTTGTGTCCCGGTGAGCTTGTTGGAAATGTTGACTCCGAAATAACATGGTAGAGGGAACAGAGTTACAGCACCAATCAAACTTCCCATTGCGTCGAAGAATAACGACCTTAAATTGTGATTGTTTTCATTGGAGAAGGTCTTACCATGCCAACTCATGGATCAGAAACCAACGGTATTTGCTGATGGCACGGGTGGTGGCTGGAAATAGGCAATTGTAGAAACAAATGAAATAAAACAAAAAGCGATGTGGGGCATTCTCTTTATTGTAGTCTGAAGAAGCCATCGTATGTTGACGTTCTTGCCAGAAGTTTTCTTAGATACAATTCTTAAGCAAAAATATTAAAATAGAACTCACAAAGAAGCATGACGCTCATTGTAACGACAACCATAATGAATGTGATCGAGAATGCGACATTTTCGTAGATCTTGTAGTAGAATAAGAGAGTTGGTGATGGAAGTTCGGATTCGTCTAATAAAACTCCCATCGGATGGGCATTCCAGCGAGTACCTGATATTGTAATTCGTTAAAGTAATCAAAAAATGAAAACGAATGAATTATCGACGTTTTTGCATTGGATGCTGCTATAAAGTTGACACGATCTATAAATATTAAACAATAAATAATGTCTTGTTGCCAGACACGAGCACAACTCGTGCGATAAATTCACCCGAAGAAAGAGACCCAAACTCTTCAAATTTGCGTTTTAAAGTACAGACATTTTTGAAACATAGACGACACTTTAAAAATGAATCTGATGTCTTCAAAGCAAAAAATGCTTTAACAACATTAAGCCAGAACAATGGAATGTGCAGTGTAAGACCCTCAATATCTATAATATTTAATGGGTTGTTGTAGTCATCAGGTTGCCGGCCAAATAACCAAAAATAAAAAGTAAAATAAATGTTAAGGAAGAGGAATTTCTGTCATGCAAAAGCATTTCGCTAAGTATTCTTCAACGTTTAAAATTACACTAAAGCATTCCAAAATTTAAATTCCGTGTCAGCAGACAAGACCTTAAAGTTGCCGTGGTTTCCCATCCAAATGTAAAAAAATACCGTAGCCTAATCGAGGTTGTAGCACATAAATCTTTCAACAATAGAGTCTGGCGGGTAGTTTGAGAACAATAACAGGATAACAAAAATAACAAATATTTGTACAAAAACTACATTTCATTTGTTTAAGCACACCGTAAAAAGATTATGTAACTGACGACAACATGACAAGGTCATCCATTGTCTGAGCCAAGACACATTACAATAGATGAAACTAAATGTACCAAAAAAGAAATGCCCTTACGTAACCCCTTCTCAGCGTTTTCTTTACATAACTTTTGAAGAAAACCGTGCCTGGAATTGTCAAACCAAGATTTTGGAATTTTGGAACAGGTGGTAAAATTCAGCTATTATAATTTTTTATCCGCTTGATGTGCAAGTTGTTTCTAAAAACTGTAGCTATGAGGTATCTTAACATTTAGCTCTTGAACTTCATCATAAATTTTGAAGAAAGTACCGCTGTTTTCGAATCAATTTGTGTTTACTTTATGTATGGGTTATTTGTAAGAAGATTGAATAATCTACTGTAATATATTTCGAAAGGTAACCAAGTTTCCGTTTCTTCAAGTGTCGAACAAATACGATTACTTTGTGTTAAAAATTTTATTATACAACTAAAAGAAACGAATTCCTATCTTTTCTTTTACCAAAAATTCAGGTAGTTGGAACGAGGCTCAAAGTTGATAATGGAGGCTTTCATTGTGAGGCTTTAAACCAAATCTTGGTCTACCAGTAAGAATTATCACTTAAGACAAAGAGAGCGGCAGGTTGGGCCCCTAACAATCGCAAAAATGCCATTTGATGACGAAGAAATTAAATGAAAACAGTTGCAGATCGACGTTGTGTCATTTTGCCAGCCATTAATTTTACAGACTGCCCAACACGTGCAATTCAACAAAAGAATGTGCATTTGACTACATCATAACGTTTCGTCCACGTCATCTTAAGCTCTGTTAACATTTTGAAGGAATTTGAATCGTTGTAATTATTCTGTTTATTCGATCCATAAAATTGTCTACATAGATACGATACATTTTGAATTATGATTCTTATTTGTCACGTAGACGAATGAACGAATTAGGTTCAAAGTTTGTTCGCACTTATGGCTGGCAGGTGAATTTAATTTTTCAAATTCGGTAAAAATTAAATTTGACATAAATCTATAAATCGAAAGAGTTCTTTGTAACTTTTAGATTTACAACCCGGTTCATAGAACAAAAACATAATACAACTGTTGAAGTTGTGAGGTACGGTAACGAAAGGCGGTAACGACATTTCCGGTATGTATAATCTTACACAGTGTGCTAGGAACACCGGTCGACAACTTAGCAATTTATTCCACGCATCAGAGCTTGAGGGCCGATTGCAACTTAGGTAAAACCTTCCGTGTATTCACGTTTGTATGGCTGACACTGCCGCCGCTTTGTCTCGATGTAGTGCGTAAAAACATCATATGTTTGATTAGGAAGCGACGGTACGGCCGAATAAAATATAAGATCATGAAGCAATCCACGGAGGTATGACACAGCACGGGAAAGAAACAATACATCGAATAAATAGGAAGATTTCTGATACCGAGAAGAGAAGCGCCAATAAAGAATAACAAAGGCACGATTAAAAGGACGAAGAAAGCACCCATCTGAGCAACCAAGGACCAAAATAACATCATCTGAAGACGCTGGGTATTCGCTGAGAATTGAGTTCGAATCGAGGTATAGATAATGTACAAGGTTAAGCAGCAAACAAAAGGTATTATTGCAACAATGATTGTAGGAGGAAGGAGGACTGTAGATACATCTGTGCCGGAAGAAAAACAAAGCGTTCCTGGATGCTGGTCGAAGATTTTTGCGATCACAGGATCCATGGATATCAGCAAGGCTTTCTCTTCCTCTTGATCCGGAAAGAATAAGGCAAATGGAACCTGAAGTAAGAGAATCATAAGTTTGGCTTTAGACACCCTGAAAATTGACAACTACATAAATCTCTCATACCATAACGATTATCATAAACACCACAGTCAAAAAGAACCTGACCAGAATCTCTAGGAAACCCTGAACACGACTGCACATGTAACGGTACGAAGAATGGGCGGATTGCGTTTGGTAATATCGATGTTCGAATTGAAAAAGCAAAGAGCATATCTTCCCAATGACGGCTGCAACTCCGACGAAAAAATAGACCGTCTGGGTAACTTTATCAGTATTTCCGGCTGCATTTACCCCATAATAACATGGGACTGGGAAAAGAGTTACAGCACCAATGAATGTTCCCATCGCGTCGAAGAAGAACGACCTGAAATTTATTCGATTATCAATAAATCGAGCTACCCATAAGACAGTAATCAAAGCTTGATGGTACCCGAAGGCAGCTGACTCTTTCCCGGGTCAATTGTTTCTTTATCAGGGTAACAGTTGGCCCAGGGTTTCCTTCTCGCGAGGTTTTTTATTTTTCCCCTGTTCGAGATGTATTTGCTGAGTGAATTCGAACAACCCACCAATAGTTCGGAATGATGTGATGTTTGTTGTCCCATGAATAATGTAAGTAAATTTTTTTATTTTCAAAAAATGGGCAGATATGAATTTAGGACAGGGCACTTAGCTTCATCATTCAAACAGCGCTAGTTTCATAGAATAGTAGCTTTAACGAGGGAGCAAACACGAAAACCAGGTACAATGTAAAATTCACCGTTTCTGGTTCGAAATTTATTCTAGGTCAAAGCTAACAGTCTACTCTACAATTAGCGATAACTAGGTTTGAAGAGCTTCGGTCGAAAAAATGAGAAAATACCACTTACATTATCCACGTTTCAACAAAGTCGCCTCACAACATTCCCAACTTTTAGTGGTTTATCCGAACAGAAAATATTTCTTCACTCTTAAATAATGAAATTGTAAACTTATTAACTACTCGCTTTTGGTATTCGGGTCAAATATTTATTCAAACATAAGAATTTCAAGGTGAACCTACCAAAGCAAAGTGTGTATCAGATACCATCGATATTTGCTGATACCTTTTGTTTTGGCTAAAATAACAATGTATAGTCAAGTAAACGTCAACAAAAAATACCTCATCTAAAATATGCTTACAAAAGACAATGACCGCCATGGTGCTCAAAACAACAGCAGCCGAAATTCCAAACGCAGTATACTCAAAGCGATGATAGAATTGCACAAAGTCCGGCGTTGGCAGTTCACTCTCATCCAGGAGAACTCCCATCTCGACATCTCCGGCCTTACAGTCTGTGGAATTCGAAAAATATGTGGGAATAAAATAAAGCAGGTGCAAAAACGAAATTGTTTTATTCGAATAGGACTGTGGGGGTGAAACAAGAATGAAGAACTTGCGGTATGGTCAGCCAGACTACGCAAGGAACAGGATGCAAATTTCTGAAGGGCGGGACCAAACGAAAACTACAAGAGTAATGTTTTCGCTCTGAACGTACAAAATTACGTATTCTTTTCAGATCCCAATAACATATGGTCAATTGATGCTTGTCATTAGAACAAAGGTAATGTTTTACATAATGTATGTCCTTTAGAGTGAGGGTATGTTAGCTATTTGCTGCGACAACAGCCAATTTAATTTCTGAAAGGAAGTATTTCTGCTCAACATTTCGTTGAAGTGTTCGGGAAACATTAAGTGCCAAGGTTACAGCGTCATTTCAGAAGTCGCAAAAGTCTTTCAAACAACCGCTCGATAGAATTTTTGCGGGCAACCAGTTCGCGTGCAGATGTTTGCGGGCAGCCGATTTTTTGTCCATATGCAAGCTAGATTATAGTGAATTTAATATAGTTACTCAAACCCGAGGTAAAGGTTTCAAGAAATGCAGAAATTACACTGTGACTATAAAGCCATAAGTTTAATATTAAAAAGACACAGTAAAAATATAATGGAAAAAGAAGCCAGACATCATGTAGGTTTAAACCAGAAGAAATTTGTCAGGTTAGTGCTGCCACCATTACCGAACGAATATGTCACGGTAAAACTGTAATCATTATCCAGGTTTAGCTCCCGCGGAAACAATAAATTTGAAAACAAAAACCATTTTCCCCATTTTTGAGGCTTCTGGACTAGAGATCTCGCTGTTTCGCCAATTTAGTGAGGCAACTAAAGTGAGTTGCTTGGGATTGACAGAGAAAGGCTCTCGTTTCCAAAGCTGAAGATGATTTTTGAAAACGTTATCTCGAGGTTTCGATACTATAATTTACTATAACATGGTTCGTTCAGTTTCCGTCTAGCTTGCATATGGACAACATCGACTGGCCGGAATGTCGGCCTTGATTTCTAAAACTTCCAATCTCTTTCTTCCCTTTGCCGGCTAATTACGGATGAACGCAAATTCCGTGACGCCGTTTATAACAACTATGTGGTAGTTTAGTTATTTATTTCATAAATCGGAGCTTGAGATGGTTTTTGGCCAATTGCAACTTAGGAGCAATCCTATTTGCTTTCACGTTTATATGGCTGATAGTGCCGCTGGGCGATAAAGTGCGTAAAAGCATCATTTGTTTGATTAGGAAGTGACGGTAGGGCCGGATAAAATATAAGATCATGAAGCAATCCACGGAGGTATGACACAGCACGGGAAAGAAACAATACATCGAATAAATAGGAAGATTTCTGATACCGAGAAGAGAAGAGCTAAGGAAGAACAACAAAGGAACGATTAATAGAAAAAAGAATGCTCCCATCTGAGCAACCAAGGACCAAAATAACATCATCTGAAGACGCTGGGTATTCGCTGAGAATTGAGTTCGGATCGAGGTATAGATAATGTACAAGGTTAAGCAGCAAACTAAAGGTATTATTGCAACAATGATTGTAGGAATAAGGAGAATTCCAGATACATTTGTGCCGGATGTAAAACAAAGCATTCCTGGATGCTGGTCGAAGATTTTTTCGATCTCAGGATCCATGGATATCAATAAGGCTTTTTCTTCCTCTTGATCTGGAAAGAATGTGGCATATGGAACCTGGAATAAGATACATTTGGCTTTAAACATCTTGGAAAATGACGATGACAAAACTCACATACCATGACAGATATCATCACCCCCACGGTCACAAAGAATCTGACGACAATCTCCATGTAACCTTGAACACGACTGCACATAATACGATACGAAGAATCGTAGGGTTGCGTTTGATGATACCGATGTTCGAATTGAAAAAGCATAGAACATATCTTCCCAATGACGGCTGCGACTCCATTAAAAAAATAGACTGTCTGGGTAACTTTATCAGTGTTTCCGGCTGCATTCACCCCATAATAACACGGGACTGGGAAAAGAGTTACAGCACCAATGAATGTTCCCATCGCGTCGAAGAAGAATGACCTGAAATATAATGATTATCAATAAAACGAGCTACCCGTAAGGCACGGATTCCTCATCCTAAAAGATTGGCGTTTTTCAAGCGCAGCTTGCCGACTTCATGCCTTTTTATCTCGTGTCGGTCTCATTTTTACCGTTCTTTTTTTCAAAAAAATTGAGGAACGCGTTTTTAACGTTTTTTGAAGAAAAATATCGCTGCGGCACAAACAAGTTTCAACTGTGTCGCCGCGTCGAGTCCAGAATTTGCACAGTGCAAGAGGCTCCTTTGAGGTTTGCACTGTGCGAATAGAAAACAATCCACTATGCGTTGGCGACAAGCGTTGGAGAAAGTCCAAAATGCACTGTGCGAAAGAGAAAAAGTATCCATGCATTCTATGAAAATGTTTATTTATTCAAACACAACAATTGCAAGTCAAACCTACCAAAACAAAGTGTGGATCAGGTACCATCGATATTTGCTAATGCCTTTTGTGCTAGCTAAAACAATAAGGTTTCGCGAGTCACCCAAAATACCCTCAAAGCCTCTAAAACAGGCTTACAAAAGACAATGACCGCCATGGTGCTCAAAACAACAACAACGGAAATTCCAAACGCAGTATACTCAAAGCGATGATAGAATTGCACAAAGTAAGGCGTTGGCAGTTCACTCTCATTCAGGAGAACTCCCATCTCGACATCTCCAGCCTTGCTGCAGAAAATATGTAGGAAAAAAGCTGTTGTAAGAGTGAACGGTGAGACTGTGGGGGTGAGCCGCAAGAACGGAGAACTTGAGATACATATGGTCAGCAAGACTGGGATATACTACAAAAGAAATGTTTTCGCTCTGCTCGTACAACCGTTTCAGATATCAAAAACATATCACGTCAATCCTTAAGGGAAAAAATTTCCCGCCCCTGTTTGGTAATTCGTTCAAAACGAAATGTCACCATCCATCCGATAAAAAGCGTTTTCTCACCTTTCTTCATCCTTTTCGAGAAAAAGCAGTTATAGTATTTCGGGTGAGAAAAAGTGCCGATAATTTTGCGTCTCTCTTTTAAAAGACGATTTCTGAGTCACTGAAGCAAGCCGTAGTTAGGCCAGGACATAGGATTTTTTCGATGTTGAGTTTTTTGCATAAATATGATCCACACCACCAGTAAGAAAAAAGCGAATCACAGTTTTCCTCAATTCCTCCGTTAACTGTACTTTTTATACAATTTTTTGTTTATACAGTAATTGGTCATAACTTTCTACAGTGGCGTCTCTTTTGCATACAAATATGGCTAGTATGGTTTTTGGGTATGACGAGTACAATAAAACCAAAAAAAATTTGATCAGATTACGGTAACATACAAAAACACTGTATCGGTCGATAAAAATCGACCATAAAAAGTTTGTTTCAAAAAACCCACAGCCAATTTTTCCATATTCATAATCAGCATAAAATTCTGGTCTAGAATCAATTTTAAAAAGTTTAAAAATAGGACCCCCATTTTCCGTGGTGTAGTGGTTTTTGGCCAAAACTGGTAAACTGACCACCCAGGTTCGAATCCGGGTGGGTGCGAGTGTAGAAAAAAGACCTCAAATCACTTTTAATGAAAACCTGAGAGTTATTTGAAGCACGCTGAGCAATTTTAGGCGTTAAAACTCTCTGAATTTGGGATTAAAACGATTTTTATGTAATTTTAGAGGATTAATACATGAAAAATAAAACTGCTTCAAACTGGTTGAAATTGATAACACTTATTCTATGGCTAATTGTAAGAAACTTTCCTGTTAACTTTTTTTGGTAGAATGCTGTATCATGGATTACTGTAACATTAAACCCGTTTTCGTTTATGGTATGCCACAGGGCGTATAGACTTCAGTGTACCGCAATTATGATAGGAATGCTTGAGAACACGTTGGTCATCACACAAATGTGCTTTCTATGTCCGTAGGACTTGAAACATGTCAGTTATAATGCGCAGGTTTCCAATCGATAGTGATGTCAAGATGCACTATATATCATGGGAAATTCTTTTTTTGAAATATGGAGCGTTGAGATTTCTTGCTTTTTAATAGATCTAATCAAAAAAAGAAAAACATTTACCTAAGAATTTTGAAGAAAACATCTGTTTAGTAGAATACGTTTTATGTTACAGTAATCCATGATACAGCACTCTACAAAAAAAAGTTAACAGGAAAGTTTCTTACAATTAGCCATAGAATAAGTGTTATCAATTTCATCCAGTTTGAAGCAGTTTTATTTTTCATGTATTAACCCTCTAAAATTACATAAAAATCGTTTTAATCCCAAATTCAGAAAGTTTTAACGCCTAAAATTGCTCAGCGTGCTTCAAGTAACTCTCAGGTTTTCATTAAAAGTGATTTGAGGTCTTTTTCTACATTCGCACCCACCCGGATTCGAACCTGGGTGGTCAGATTACCAGTTTTGGTCAAAAACCACTACACCACGGAAAATGGGGGTCCTATTTTTAAACTTTTTAAAATTGATTCTAGACCAGAATTTTATGCTGATTACGAATATGGAAAAATTGGCTGTGGGTTTTTTGAAACAAACTTTTTATGGTAGATTTTTATCGACCGATACAGTGTTTTTGTATGTTACCGTAATCTGATCAAATTTTTTTTTTGGTTTTATTGTACTCGTCATACCCAAAAACCATACTAGCCATACTTGTATGCAAAAGAGACGCCACTGTAGAAAGTTATGACCAATTACTGTAAATTGTATAAAAAGTACAGTTAACGGAGGAATTGAGGAAAACTGTGATTCGCTTTTTCCTTACTGGTGGTGTGGATCATATTTATGCAAAAAAAATCAACATCGAAAAAATCCTATGTCACGGCTTGCTTCACTGACTCAGAAATCGTCTTTTAAAATCAATGAAAACGATACGAAGTTTCGAAACGGTTCAGGAAATGCGCTGGATTGACGTGTGGTGGCTCAATTGTTAGCGACGCCGACTTGCATTCCGTCGGACCCAGGTGTGAACCATCGTTGCGCCCCACCAAGGCCCTTAGAAAGGAATGTGAACATTCGAGGTGCATGGGAACTCTGTCAAAATCGGATGTCAGACCTACTCTGGCACCGATCGATGCCGAAGGTCTTGAGGGGCACCTCATCGCGACTCGCTTGCATGAATGCCCCGGGCGAGGCCCATACGGAAAGCGCTTGGCGATATGCTCTGATGGTCTTTATTTGTACAAGCCTGAACACCCAAGTCTTGTAATTGCCCTTCATTTGGTGCAGACTACATCAATTTTGCGGTGAGACGAGACGTTTTTCTGCGACGGGACTGAATTACATTTTTATTTTTTAAAAATATTACTCCGATAGACTGGATTCGGCGAAATGTTTCAGACGTAAATTTTACATTACTGTTTATTGTATTATCCCAGAAAACTAATCTTTAAACGAGGAAAATTTCGGTAAAATTCTGATCACATTAACATGACTTATACTATAGGAATGAGTATTCGCAAACGTCATGTGTTTGATTAGGAAGCGACGGTAGGGCCGGATAAAATATAAAATCATCAAGCAATCCACGGAGGTATGACACAACACGGGAAAGAAACAATACATCGAATAGATAGGAAGATTTCTGATACTGAGCAGAGAAGAACCGATAAAGAATAGCAAAGGCAGGATTAAAAGGACAAACAAAGCACCCATCTGAGCAACAAGGGACCAAAATAACATCATCTGAAGACGCTGGGTATTCGCTGAGAATTGAGTTCGGATCGAGGTATAGATAATGTACAAGGTTAGAAAACAAAGTACAGACATAAGGCAAATAAGAATTATTGAAGGAATTAGAATTATGGCTACATCTGTGCCGGCTGTAATGCAAAGAAGGCTTGGATGCTGGTCAATCAAGCTGGCGACCACTGGATCAAGAGATCTGAGCAAGGCACGTTGCTCTTCTTGGTTTGGGAAAAATAAAGCAAATGGAATCTTAAAAACTATGTTACAGTTCTCCGTGATATTTACAGAGCAAAACATTGCGTTCAACAAAAATAACACTTCCACTTACCAAAACCAAAGCCATTGCCAAGATGATCAAACAGAATCGGACCACGATTTGCATGAATCCTTGAATATGGCTGCACATACGGTGATAACGTGAAGTGGATGATTGTGTTTGATAATAGCGATGTTCAAATTGAAAAAGCAAAGAACACAGCTTCCCAAGGATAGCACTAACACCGATAAAAAAGTAAGCGGTTTGTGTGGCGTCGCTTGTAGTTCCTGCCAGATTTACACCGTAATAACAAGGGACCGGGAACAAGGTTACCGCTCCAATAAAAGTCCCCATCCCATCGAAGAACAAAGACCTAAAAATTTATGTTTATTCTTACACGTTGTTTATTCCCGGTCCATGAAAAGTGGTTTGTAACTCGTTAACTCACCAAAGCAAGGTGTGGATAAGATACCATCGATAATTGCTGATCCCTTTTGTGTTGGCTAAATGCTACAGTAGGGTTGGGATTCAATATACTTATACGCAATTCAAACCGCACTTACACATTACAATGACTGTCATTGTGAAGATGACCACAACGGTAGTGATGGCAAATGCCGTGTACTCGAATAGGTGGTAGAACTCCTCCATTGCCGTAGACGGAAATTCGCTTTGATCCAACAGAACTCCCATCTCGACATCTCGACCGTAGACGTGCCGACTAATACATAGAATGGCCGTCAGCACAATACACATTGAGCAGCTGTTTCCGATGATTGCGTTAAGTTATTGCGGAGAGGATAGAAGGCATGGAAAATTGCAAATTTAATGCAATAATCTTTTATTGAAATAATCTTTGAGAGGCGGAAACTGAGAGGCTACAAAAAGGTGTTATGGGTTTTTGCAGTTGAATTTCGTATATTCTAGGGATTTGAGGATGCGTAAGCAAGCCTGCAGGTTGTGTTGTTGCGTGCTATGTATGTGTTACTGATCATGTATTTTCCCGCGAAATAACCTTTCATCTCACTGAACGCCCTCTGCATTTCAACTAAAATTCTCGGGAATAGATATGTGGCCTGGGCCCGTTGTGTGTGCAGTACTCCAAACACTTCTGTTGTCAGTCTCGGCCGTATCCTTAGTCAATACCAAAGCAAGGAATTAACTTATCTTTTCTTGTAGAGAAACGTCAATGCAACACCGTACGATGTTTGAACTACACTTGGATTAAATTATAAGCGGGACTAATTTACTCGTTTGTCTACGCAATTTAGCAATACGTGCGTCAACGCGTATGTAATACACCACAAGATTACTTAATTGAGCAACTCAATTTGCTTATTTCTGATGTTTACCAAACTTTCAAAATGTTCGCCTGAAAGCGAAAAAAATGTCATCAGCTACTTATACACATTGATTGTTTCTTTTGTTAAATTTGGATTGGTACGTTAGATAAAATATGGCTTGAAATATTCCCAGAATTTATTTCCGACCACCCTGTAATATAGGTAATATTGTATTGTTACTACTCCTCTTATGTGTACATTTCGAAGAAAAAGGTGCAAGCCAAGCTTGAAAAACAACTACGCTGAATTCATCAACTGATACGATTTCTTCACTAGAAGCGTGAGTTGTGATAGGTATTGTTTAATCTCAAACAAAAAATTCAAGTTCAATAGAAACTCTGACTTCAAAAGTTTGCTATAAGTTGGACTGACTATTTGAACTTTTCCTTCTGCAATCTAAAAATAATTTGGATTATATACTATAGAAATTTATTGCAGTCTTTTGCGTTTCTATGAAGCACTTCGAACTTTAAATTGCTCATAAACTTGAAATTTTTTTTGGGGCTCAAGTTGAACTTGACATTAATAATCTTTTCAGACTCCAAACTTGCACTTGAAGTCGAATGTGGCGCTAAAATACCAACAGGTTCCGACAATCGGAAAACTCTTTTGCAATACAAAACTAACGTTTACCTTTCAAGCCAATCGTGAAATGTATTATATTATTGTGAAAGCATATGCTATACACTAGACAGACGTATGATTGAAAATTTGTACATCGCTTTGACATAAAAGAATTATGTTACTTGTCATCCAAAAATTTTCAGTCTTTGGGAAATTGTAAGTTTTCTCCAACCACATTTTATTGAAATATTCAAAAAGGAGATAACACATTACAGCATACTACAAAAATTCTTTGACATCAATTAGCTCCGCAGACTCTGTACCTTCTGCTCAGACGTACAAGTTACAATCGATGGAGTAAAGTCACAAATGCGATAGAATCTAAGAACAGTTTCGAAGGCAGTTCACAATTGTCGAGTATGTCATCTATTGCACACAAAATACAATGGTTTAAGTTTGATATCCATGCAGTGCAATATTTGTCTCGGTTTTAGTGAAAAGACTACACTTTTGAATGGCAACAGTCATATAAAAAACAAAGGTATTATGTTGCCATTTTCAGAGAACTACCTTGACTCTAGACGGCTCGCTTTGCCAGATCCTACTTGTAACCAGCACACTGCTGCCATACCTTTCCTTTTGTAAGACGCCACAGAAAACTTTCAGGACAAACCGACGGTAAGGCCCGATAAAATACAAGATCATACAACAGTCGACAGAAGTGTGTACGAACAAGACGAAAAAGCAAAAAACATTGATCGTGGGCATGTTTCTCAGCCCGAAAATATGGCCACACAGGAACAGCAAGGTTGGCAAATACAATAAAGCGCTGAGATTTATATTTTGGGCAAAGATCGACCAGAACAGCATCATCTGAAGGCGACGGGTCTTGGCTGTCAATTGAGACCGATGGATTGAGTTGTAAATTAACAGCAATGCCCCCCATCCAAAGCACATTGTAAAGAAAATCAACAAAGATGGGCAAATGAAGATAAACGTGGGATCCACGCCCGGGGAGAAGCATTTTATCGGCCGTGTTCGGATAACTTCGGCCAAAACTGGATCACTTCTTGCAAGAAAAGACTGTTCTTCCTCTTGGTTTGGAAGGAACAAGGCGAATGGTCCCTATAACAGTTTCAACTGAATGTTTTGCCTTACCAAGACCAACAGGGAAATCAAGAGTATGTAGCCGGCTCTTATCAAGATTTCTGTTTTCGCCGACAACGAACAAAAGACTCGGTACTTCGATGAGGCTGGTTGAGCTTGCATATATCGGTGCTCGATTTGAAAGACCATTGACGACATCTTACCGATCAGGCTGAAGATGCCAACGAAGAAATATGCCATTAGTGGAGGGTCCTGTATTGTGCTGCCAGCGTTGACCCCAAAGAAACAAGGGATTGGAAAGAGGGTGACGGGGCCGATGACTGTGCACATCGTGTCGCAGAATAATGACCTTAAGCGCTATATTGGAGTAGAGGTAACGTACCAACAGAGTCCATTAAGAAGATACCAACGATACTTTCCAATACCTGTATTTGTGCCTAAAATAACATTCGCATTTTGCCAATCATAAATAATTTTACGACCGTGTAATATAAGCTTTCTAAAACGTACTGAGAATCGCAATTATTGTAAAGGCAACAAGTGTCCAAGTAATAATTACGGTAACATAGTCATAAATACGATAGACTTTTAACAAAGGTTCCGAGGGCAACTCACTCTCATCAAGCAGAGCCCCCATGGAGAGAATGCTATACAAACGGGACCAGGGAGAATTTAAGGCACAATTTGTACAATAGCACAAACATATTTATAACATCAAAAAAATCCCAAAGGGCATGCATTCAACGTTAGAGGACGGATGTTCAAGTTAAAGTACATAACAAATTCGTAGCTACAGATCTTTAGAACATTAGATTTCTCAAGACTTGTTCTTAAAAATAGTCGTTCTTGTTATTACAAAAAATTTCAAAAAAATCGCTACACTTTTTGCGTACATAAACGTGCTGCGCTAGTCATAATGGCTTCTTTGGTTTGATATGTTTAAATTATTCGAGAAACTATATTTAGCAATATAAAATTCTTGAAGTCATTTGGCAATCTTTTATCTTTTTATTATATCATAGTATAACGCATCATAGTGATGTCTTGGACGTTTTCTGAGAGACCCGTTGAACCGACCTGCCGGAGATCTGACTACATAAAGAGACTCTTTGAGCGAATACTGTTTCTCTTACCGTAATTTTTAATACCCGTATTTGGAGTCTTAGTACAATAGGATTATTATCTGACGGATTGTTTTTTACAACCAAAATTTACTCTTTTCGAAGACAGTAACAAACAACTGTATTATTCAGAAATAGTTCGTCTGCTTGTCACGAGATTTCTTCATGGCGAAAACGATGATATGGACCCTCTCTGAGTAACCAATTGAACCGATGCACTAGGTGTGATGCTAGAAAGATTCTTTGTCTTAAACCTCTGAAAGTGACGGATAACAAATCTCCGGTAAGGTCGAATGAAATACAAAAGCATTATGCAATCAATTGGAGTATGTAATAAGATAGGGAAGAACACGTAGATACTTATTTTTGGAGCATTCCTCCATCCGAATATGGGAGGACACAGGCATATAAAGAGAGGCACGATCATCAGAAGGAATAGAGTGGTCATTTGAGAGAAAAGGGACCAGAATAACATCATCTGAAGCCTCTTTGTCTTCGCTGTGAAATGCTGCCGTTCTATGGAGACATAGATTACAAACAAGGCGGCAGCGCCGACGAAAGGGAGAATAAATAAAATAGTAACTGGAACGATGACGACTTTAGTGGCGTCTACACCTGAGGAAAAGCATTGTAAGCTGGGATTCTGCTCGATTAATCTGGCAAGAAGGGGGTCCAGAGAGGCAAGGAGAGCAAGCTGGTCTTGCTGGTCAGGATAGAAGATCGCAAAGGGTCCCTGGAAGATAACAGTGACTTTTAGTAAAAACCCGTAAAAATTCACTACTTCCACATACCAAAATAGCAATCAGAAAAGTGACTAAAACTAATAATCTGACGCCCACTTCAGCCCTTCCTTGCAAATGACCACACAGAAGTCGATACTTCGAAGTGGACGACTGAGCTTGGTAATACCGGTATTCCATCTGGAATACGATCGCTGTCACCTTCCCAATTTCCGCGCCGACGCCACAGAAGAAGTAGATTTTCTGAGCGCATCCGCTGACACTTCCAAATACGCTGGTGCCGTAGTAACAGGGAATGGGGAAGAGGGTAACGGAGCCAATGAACGTGCAAAACCCATCCAAGAGCAGAGACCTGCAAATAAATCTATCACACTTCTTCAAATTTTAAACTTACCAGACCAGTCCATGAATGAGATACCATCGGTATTTACTGATGTCTTTTGCTGTGCCTGAATAAGAAAAGATTTTTTTGAAGCGGAGATCAAAGCTTACGGAGGATTACGGTCACTGTGAGGACTAATATCAGCAATGTAATGCCGAATCCCACAAATTCGTAGATTCGTAAGAATTGCAAAGTTGAATCAGACGGAATTTCACTTTCCGCCATCAAGGCACCCATTTTTTGAAGAGAAGTACAGCGAAAAGTGAAATACGCGCACTGCAGGTGGAACGTACTGCGGTTTTGTAATATAATTTGGAAATTCCGCTTGACTTGCCGCCTGTTTTATACCTGTGACATTCCTGAATGATGTTTCAGCGACAAAGACGATCATTTATTTAAAGGGCCGTGGAGCAGCCATATTTTTAACTTTTTGTTATGTCTGCAAGGACCACAAAAGAAATTGTGTAACACTCCTCCTTGATTTACAGATATTGGCAGTAATTACTAACGACACAAGGTGCAAGATATTAGATACCACACATAGTAAAGAAAACATTTTACAGAGCAACTCACCTTCCTCACAATCAGATGTGACCCATATCCGTTAGACGGGGGTTTTGAATAGTATCATGCTTTAATATTATAGTCACTGCCAACGTGCAGGACACGTCATTTCAGGCAGCTGTCTTTTTCTTATGTTGCGGAATTTGAATAAAACATTAGAAAGTAGGGTCGTTAAGTCGTCAGCTCAACGCGTCGGCCACTTGCCGAATCTCCGTCATTTTCGATCGAATGTATTCGTTTTTATTCGGAAAAATCTGAAGACACAACAATTTTGCCGTAACGAGAAGTATTTAGACATTACTTCACCACCACAACAATACTACTCGATTTCTCAGAAAATATGCTTCGAGCTTTTAAGACCCGTAAATATAAAATGAAGGTCCTTCGATAAGGGCGGATGAAATACAAAATCAGAAAACAATCGACGACTGTATGTATCAAATACGGATAAAATACGTACACGCTGAAAGCGGGGATATTGCGCATTCCAAATATTGGGCCACCGAGATAAACGAGGAGAGGAACAATGATCAGGAAGAAGAGAGCGGTCATTTGCGCGAAGAGAGACCAGAACAACATCATCTGCATCTTGTGTGTCTTTGCCGACATTTGATGCTGTCTGATCGAAGAGTAGATTAGAGACAAAGCAGCAGCTCCAACGAAAGGAAGACACATTACAATGCAGAAGGGAATGGCCAAGACAATTTTGGAGTCAGTGCCTGAGGCAAAACACTGAATGCTTGGATGTTCTTCGATTATCTTGCCTAGAACTGGATCTAACGAAGCCAGAAGAGCCAATTGCTCCTGCCGGTTTGGCAGAGCAATCAGGAAAGGAATCTGCAAATATGAGCGGCTCTTTTTTGTAATCAGGGATTGACACCTTTTCAAAGATCTAGTGCTTACGCCGTCGCACTTGAAACTCTTTCTATACTAATCTAAACTCGCAACTTACCAGGATCACAGCAAGGAAAAATACCACGAGAGCGGCTTTCAGGATTAATTCAGGCCACCCCTGCAGCAAACTACAAATATAGCGGTATTTGGAATGTGCCAGCTGAGCTTGCTGGTATCGGTATTCCAGTTGTAGCACGATCGCACAGACCTTCCCAATCTCGGCTCCAACTCCAATAAAAAAGTAAACTGTTTGGCTGTTTCCACTGATGGCGCCAGCAGCATTTATACCGTAATAACAAGGGATTGGAAAGAGGGTGACAGCTCCAATGAATGTGCACATCGCATCAAACAGGATCGACCTATAAGTTGACGATGATGGAATTTGTTTAAACTTGCCAAAACAACCCGTGGAGAAGGTACCATCGGTAAATACTGATTTCTTTGACCCTTCCTAAAGTAAAGATCAATACGAAGCAAAGAAGAAAAGCTTGCCTACAATAATTACCACAGTGAGAGCGACTATCCAAACAGTAACAAAAAAGGCCACATATTCGTAGATGTGGAAAACGGTTAGAGAAAATTGTGTTGGCAGTTCGCTTTCATCCAGCAAAGCGCCCATTTCATAAAATCAAGTTCAACACCTTCAAAATGCAGCTTCCAGATATGAAAAACAGGCGGAATTCTACTAGAAAAAACAGGGGTAACAAAAAAATAAGTCAAGAATCCATCAATTTTTCATACTGAGTACAAGTATGCAGTTTTGAAAGTAGAATTTTAAAGGTGTTCTGCAGAATGTTAATCAGAAAAGTATTCGATGCATTTTTATTCGGGAAGTATTTGAGCCCATGTAAGTAGTCGCAAGTATACAAGTGACATTTAAACATTCGCCACCACACGAATGTTGCTCGAACTCTCAGCAAAGATGGTTCGAGTTTTGGAAATTTTTAGACCTGATGGATTTCATAGAATGCCCATACTATTTATTGCTGCATGTTGCAGTTAAGAATCCAAATTTAACAAAAGTAACGGTCAATATTAGTCGATTTATGCGTCTGCGTGTTTCATTGTCCAAGTCAAAAACAATATACACTGTAAAATTTTTTGTCAAGGTATGCGTGTAAGATGCACGACATTTGTGGTGCGGACAGGCACAACGCTCTCGTGACTGAAAGAGGTCGTGATTCTGAATGTACGAAAACTGCGGACTAAAAGCTGCCGATAAGGCCGAATAAAATACAAAATCATCAAGCAATCGATCGAGGTATGCGTAAGAAATGGGAAGAAAGTGTAGACGATGACCCTAGGCATATTCCTGAGTCCAAGAATTGGAGCGCCGAGGAAGAATAGGCCCGGAACTATCATGAACATGATCGCCACCACAAATTGAACAAACAAAGAGTTCATTAACATCATCTGCAGACGGAACGTCTTTTTGGCGTGATGTTGTTGTTTGATTGAGCTGTAAGATACTCCCAGTATGCTCAAACCAATAAATGGAAGAATGGCGATTATCACCGTTGGCGTAATGAAGACCAAAGTCACATCAGTCCCAGCGGCGAAACAAATAACTCCCGGCTGTGTGTCGACAATGTTGGCAAGCACTGAATCAAGGGAAGCGATCATATTCAACTGTTCTTCCTGATTCGGGAAGAAGATGACGAATGGAGTCTAAATAATTGTCATCAGGAAAGTTTTTCCTACAAGAATAACCACGGAAAAGGCAAGTTGGACAGCAGCTCTAAACAAGAACTCCATTTTTCCCGTGATATAAAGATTGCAGTAGAACCGATAAGTTGAGGTTGATCCCAGTGATTGTTGATAGCGGTATTCGAGTTGCATAACCAATGCACTGCTCTTTCCAATAAGAGAAAATACGCCCACAAAAAAGTAAAAGGCTTGCTGGTTCTTTGACAATTTGCCAGCAGCGTTGATTCCAAAATAACATGGGACGGGGAACAGGGCGACAACACCAATGAAGGTGGCCATTGTATCGAAAAACAAGGACCTAAAGCGTTGCTAATGTATTTATATACGAGCATGACCCGAATTCTCGTAGTACCTAAATGCTTACCATATTAGGCTATTGATCAGATACCAACGATATTTACTCACCTCTCTAGTTGAATCTAAACACACTTAGATATATTTGCGTTGGCAAAACTTACAAGATATTACAACCAATGTAAGGGTCACAAGAACTACGGTGACGGAAAATGCGGCGTATTCAAAAATATGGTAAAAATGTAACAATTCTGGTGAGGGCAATTCGTCCTCTCCTAACAAAATACCCATACTGTTTCTGTTCTTTATTTCAAAGCAAAATGGCGGTATGACAGGTGGGATCGAGAATGCGCATAGTTGATTATGTAGAGATTGGCTGATGATATTATATTTTTTGGTCTCCGGTGAAATTGATCCCAAAATAACAAGGGAGAGAAATCAAGAAAACAGCACCAATAAAAGGCACCATTGCATCGAAAAGCCTCAAATAGTATGGTGGAACAGAAGTGTCAAGCCTTACCATACAAGACTGTTGATCAAATAACACCAATATTTTTTGAGTTCATTGTCAAAGACTGAACATTTTTTTGTAAGAGGTTCGAAACATACAACATGTAACGGCAATAGTAAAACCCACAAGCAACGAGGTAATTGTGAAAGTAGCGTGCTCAAATGTGCATATAACTACCGAAAGCTGCTTGGAAGGTAGCTCCTTTTCGGTTAACAACATACCCGTACTTGGCGTAGTCTTCAGTGCCAAGTAAAATTAAAATCTTGTAACCCGCCTCCTTTCCTGGCCAGTTCAATACCTGTAGTGACGTATTTTACTGCACTATGATCCTTACTGACAGGTGGAAATTTTTTTTTCAAAAATGTTAAAACCACTTGTCATAGTTTATTATGAGCTTATATGCACAGGTTATTTCGGTAACTCAAATATTTGAAAACGCCCGAGGCTCGGGGCGGACCATGTTCAACTTCCTGTGATTGATGAGAATTGCAGATTTAAATGCTTGAAATTTTTTCGCTAAAAATCTGCGATAAGGCTTAATAAAATATAAAATAGTGGCACAATCAATCGAGGTGTAAGTCAGGAGCGGGAAGAAGCAATAAACAGTAACTACTGGGAGATTTCTAACACCGAATATTGGGCTCCCCAGGAAAATCAAACCCGGAATTATCATGAAAATCAGGAATGTGAGAAACTGAGCAACGACAGAGAGCAATAGCATCATTTGAAGCCGGTAAGTTTTGATCGATAGGGTACGGAGAGTGACGGTAAAGTAGGTGATCACCAAAAAGAGGATTCCAAACACTGGGATTAGGGATAAAACCAGGACGGGGAGAAGAACTAGTTTGATCACGCTCGTATCAGGGGCCACACAAATTAAATTGGGATGCTCATCGATTACCTTGGCCACAACGTTGTCAATTGAGGATAAATAGGTTCGTTGTTGTGATTGGTCGGGAAAGGAGATGATGATGGGAATCTGAAATGTAGATGCTGATTATTTCAACCACAAGAAATTCCTTGAAGTAGTGATTAACAATTTGGCATCGAGTTTTGTGGCAAGGCTTGCGGGTCAAAGCGGTTACCACCGCTGGCCAAATTTGGAGGTCTTTTTTAGCCCCGGCTTTAGTTGGTAAACATAGTCTGTCTATCCAAGAAGAACGTCAGGCGCGGAAACTGGTTTTTTAAGATTCGTTTTTAATTTCTTTTGCTAAGCCGTTTCTACTCCCAAGAGAACAGCAGATATAATTCCTTACTGTTTCCACTTCAACAGAAACGGCGAACACGAATCCCTTAAGAATAAATTCGTTGCTACCAAAGAGAAATTTGTCGTAAACCCAGCGATAAATACTAATCGATGGCTGTGCTTGCTGATATCGATATTCGAGTTGAAGGATAATGGAATATCCTTTTCCGATTAGGACAACAACTGCCGAGAAGAAAAAAGTAATTTGAATCCCCTCTCCGGCACTTCCAACAATATGAATTCCATAATAGCAAGGCAAAGGAAAGAGGGGGACGATTCCAATAAGTGTGGCTATAGCGTCGAACAATACTGACCTAAACAGCAAGGAAATTTGTTGTAACAAAGAGTGCTTTGCCTACCATATTAAGCTGTTGATCAAGTACCACCGATACCTACTTATTTCCTTTGTTGTGTCTGGAAATCTTTCGTTTTATTGGAGTTTTAAAACTTATCGAACAGCTGGTAAAAAGAGCTTACAGTAGATCACAGTTATTGATAGTGAAACCATGATCAGAGTGATGACAAATGCGACATGTTGGAAAATATGATATACCCATAGTAATAAAGGTGACGGCAGTTCGCTCTCATCTAGTAGTATACCCATAACAAATAAAAAGGATTGGTGTGGCCATAACAGGTGAGATTGAATTCTTGGATTTATTTCACGGAAAAATAATCGTACAATTACATGAATATTAGAGCATTTGAAGAAAGAGGCAACGTTTGAAAAGAGTCTTTAGGTATTTAAAATTCTGATTGTCAGGGAAAGTGCCTCAAGTGCGACGCTCAAAATTTTTGAGGACATTTGGCACAATTTCGACTAATTTTTCCTAACAATACATATGCGGGACTCGTATCGTGCCTATTATAGAAACCACCGAGGCTTTGACGTTGAAAGTTGGTTATTTGTTACTCCTTACAATAGCCAGAAAGCCCAATATGATGAAACAGGCGATATATCCAAAGCTGCGGTAGGTCTGTAAAAGTTGAAGAGAATACTCGCAACAATATTACCATGTTATCAAGAAACCTGTGGGCATAATAGACGACAGATGTTTTTAACGAAAACATTCTTTATAAGCACAGCACAAAGAGCTTATTGGATTGAAAGTTCAAAGTTTTCAATTAGTTAGTCTCAAATGAAATTGTTACATACATAATTTAATAATTCATTTGAGGGCAGTTAACTTCTAGGAATGAGACTTCGTATTGTTTATTATAACACATAGAAAATCTAATTTGACCCAGACAAACATTTAGGTATTGCGCGCTGAGCTCTTTTACTGTATTAAACCTTGACAAATGTGCCTGTGACCACCCGAATCGCCGGGCTTTGCGTAGTACTGTCTTCAGAGATACCGTAACTTTTTGTAACACACACGTGCTTTAACACAGCCCGCCTGTAGGGCCTGATAAAATATAAAATTAACAGACAATCGGCAGCTGTATGCGTCAAAAATGGATAAAAACAGAGCACCGTTACCTTCGGCAAATTCCGCAGACCAAATACCGGCCCGCCAAGGTAGAAGAGACCCGGAAAAAACATTAGAGCAAAGAGAGCGCCCATCTGAGCAAACAGCGACCAAAACAGCATCATCTGAAGGCGTTTGGTTCTAGCGGTAAAGTGTTGTTTTCTGATTGAGGTATAGATCACAAATATGGCCAGAAACCCCACACAGGGCAGGAGGACGACAAAAAAAGAACGGAATTATTATAACTTTTGTAGCGTCTGTTCCAGTGGAGAAGCAGAGTAAATCCGGATGTTCCTTGATGACTTGAGCAACAACTGGATCGAGGTACGCTAACTGGGCTCGTTGTTCATCTTGGTCAGGGAAGAATAGGGCAAATGGGAGCTGAAATAATCTTTATTTTTTTGTGCAGTGCTTTCGCTTCGTATAAAATGCGTTTGGCCGGTCATCAAGATGATCGATTTTGTCCCCACTTTTTGGGTTTCTCAGGGCCGGGTCCGGCCTGTCCTTAGTATTCAAGCCAATTTTGCTCTCACTGGAAGAGCTGGTGGCCTAGTACAGCAACTTCGCGTTGAGTTTAAGTCATTGTGGGTCCAACTAATCACTTGTCTTTGCAAAAACATATATTCAATTGGCCCTCACCGGAAAATCCCTTGAAATTAATGCAGCCCAAAGAAACCCAACTACAAACAAAAAACGGCCGATATATTCCCAACCTACCAATATCAGTATTATCATAAAAACCAAAATTCCCGCCCTCAGAGCCAGTTCCATATTACCGCTCACATAGCTGCACATAACGCGATACTTGGACGAACTGGACTGGGCTTGGTAATATCGATATTCAAATTGAAATATAAGGGCGAAGATTTTGCCAACGAGAGTCGCGACACCAACAAAAAAGTAAACTGCCTGGGTGTGGCCGGCGATGTTACTAGCCGCGTTGACGCCAAAGTAGCAAGGCAATGGGAAGAGGACAACAGCCCCGATCAATGTTCCCATCGTATCGAATAATAAGGACCTGAAGAACAGGGATTAAATTCTCACAATAAAAGAGATTCAATCCTACCAAATCAGTCCATGAAGAAGGTACCAACGATATTGACTGACACCTTGAGAAGTGGCTAAAAAATTTATTGAGTGGGATCATAATCTATCTTACTTAGGATGACAGTGATTGTGATGACCACAAACACGAGTGTTGTGCAATAAGCCACGTACTCGTAGGCATGGTATGCAGCCAACATTTCCGCAGAAGGAAGCTCGCTTTGCGCTAGTAAGACACCCATTATACATTGAAACGACGCAAATGGAAGGGATTAAGATTTCGGATACAGTTCCTCATCAGCCCAAATTTTATACCCGAAACCTACATATGTCCAGTTTCCATACTCGCTTACCCTTATTGTATTCTTCGGGCGACGGTGGGAGCAGGTGAAATTAATTCTCAAAGCTTTTTCATATTATGTAGGAGTGGCATCAAAGACACTAGAGTTCACCGTAGCGGCCCAAGTGATGTCATCTTAATTACTTTGATATATTTTCTTTCCATATTCGTTTATGATTTTTCAAAACATTGAACCTCTAGCCTTATCTTATTCGTGTCCAAGCCTCTTCCCCATTATTACTTCAATTTTTGCAGATGTTGAAGTTTGAAAATTAAACCGAATTTAAATATTTATTGGCAGTATTTTAAAACAGTACAGAAAATTCAACAAAAAAAATTAAATTGTGTGTTTTTTCGGGCAAAGAAACCCCTGAGAGGTGATCAAGACGGAGTCGGATGAGGTTTAACCGCGTTATTAGAGACGCTGGCAGTAAAACTTGAAGATTTTGGAAGACGTATAATCGACAAATTCCTCAACACAATAACTCGATATGGTTTGATAAAGTAAAGAATCATGAAGCAATCCAAAGGAGTATGAACAAGCAGCAATAAAAACCCATACATTGTATATCTAGGCAGATTCCTAAACCCCGCAATGGGCAAGACGACAAACACAAGGACCGGGCCCAGCAAGAACACCATGAATACCGAAGTCTGAGCAACCAAGGATTTAAACAACATTAATTGCAAGCGATATGTGTGTGGGGAAAAAGAGCTCCGTTTGATTAAATCGTACATGGCGAAGATGACGATCAAACTGAAGGCCATATAACCAACCAGAAGAAAGACCTCGGAAATCAAGGCTTTCCTGGCCGACGTGCCGTAAGCGAAACACGCTGCATTGGGATGTTCTTGGAAGACCTTGGCCATAACTGGGTCCATCGCAGAAAGCCGGCTCTTGGCTTCGTCTTGGTCGGGGTTGAGAAGGAGGAATGGCGTCTAAAATCAGAGGAGTTTTCGAAGGGAGGTGCCCTTAGTGCAAGGCTCAGATGTGTCGTAAATTTTGCATACAAGTTCAACCAAGGTCACGTGTCAATTTCAAAAAAAAATTTTCGCGTTTCGCAAAAGCGACCTTTGAAGACGAGGGAATACGCAAAGTAGCGCCCAATTTCAACGAAGCGTTTTACAAGTTAAGCTGTTAGCAAATAGAGTCTTCGCTATTTTTCTCAAAACGCATTTCCAATAAAACTCAATTACTTCCAAAACCTACCACTGCAGAAATCGCCAGCACCAAGGAAACGATGACACGGATGGTCAGCTCCGATTTTCCTGTCAGATTCAAACAGAATGCTTTGTACGTTGAGGTTCCTAAAAGGCATTGGGAGTATCGATGTTCAAACTGAAAGGCAATGGCGGTCAATTTGCAGACAATTGAAGCTATTCCACACATCACATACACTTGAACATATTCACTCGGCAAATAGCTAGCAATGTTCTCTCCGTAATAGCATGGAATTGGATAAAGAACAACGCCACCAATCAAGGCAGCAAAGGTATCGAAACTCAAGGACCTGAAAATAGTTTACATATGTGTTCATTACACATGTATACTTTTATGCCTTACCATGCCAACTCATTGATCAGAAACCAACGGTATTTGGAGAGGCTCTTTGGCGACGCTAAAGTAATGTCATTATATATGTAAAAACTGGTATAATGACAATTCGCACATAAAGGATTTTTGCAACCTACATATAATCATTATCCACATTGTTCCCACCACAACGACCACAGTAATCGAATACGCCAGGTACTCGAATCTTTTGTAAAAGGCCATAAATTTCTCCGATGGTAATTCCGATTCATCCATCAAGATCCCCATCCTTCTGTAAGATACAGTTTAAAGTGAGAATGCTCGTCAATCTAGGGTTCATCAATGGTCAATGTTTCCTCAATTAAACCGGAAATATGAGCTAATCTAATCGTTAGTTCACGGCAACCACCAGATCATAACGACACCACGTGACATCATCCCTGACGTTTTTCGTGACGTATTCTTGGCAAAACAATAGCTCAAAGTTTACATAACTTTTGAGTGATTTAAATCGTGTCCAGAAATTGCGTCACAACCACGCCCTCTTTAAATGTTCAGAAAACGTTTGTATATTAATAAAAGTACGTATACTCTGCAAGTTCAAAGGTCTAATTTGCTTGCTTTATGACAATTCAGAAACTCAATTAGCTAACAGAAATTGAGTTACTTTTATTTGAAGGGAAGCTGCACATTGGCCGGCTTCAGAAACCCGTTGATGAAATATAAAAGAGGGCTGGACAAGCTTGTAACAATAGAAAAACGGCTAAATTGGCATAAGCTAAATTCACCTCAAATTTCAAATAACCCTGTCCCACAGTATTCTCTAACTACGAAAAATGCAAAGAGTGAAGAATATTCCAAATGACTTATCACCAGACAAATTGTTATTCAACGTACCATTTCTTACAATTGGTTCCTTGAACAAGAATTGTGAAAAATGTATAAGGAATACAATTTCCGCGTTTTCTAGGCAACATCGCCGTGTTATTGTAACAGCACAAAATCGAAGAAAGTGTGCGAAAAACAGACGGCAAAGATGAGTTGAGATTTGTGCCTAAAAATCCAAAGTTGAGTACTTAGTCAAGAGTCTCGGGGATGGGCTTTTACCAAAGACACTTAAAATAAATTTATCAGCTGCCCTTCAAAGAATGTATAACAAGGCAGTGTAAACCCACAGGAATATGATAAATTGGGGTTGACAAGGGAACTATCAAGGGACGTGCTTCGTTTTTTATACACTTTTCGCTCTTATGAAAACCATATAACGCAGTATTAGATACCTAAATTTACAACGTTCTTTGACTACAAGAGAGTACGCAAAAGGAGGAGAAAGTCGTTTCGCCAAATCTTTGCACTGTCCAACCGGGTTGTCAGGGCTATGGCTCGCACCCTGACCTTTCTTGCACTGTACATGTCGCCGAAATCACTCCAGCGACTTTTCCAAAAAACATAAGCAAATTCACTATTATGCATACCAAAGAAGCCTATAAAAATTTCTTTGTTTTATTTCTTTTCAAAATAGAATTGTAGTTCACTTGCCAAAAAACAAAAGCGTTTGTTTTGTTAAAAAATTTCCCTTAAGGGTTTTAGAAATTTATTAAAAGTTTTGTCCAGTCATCATTAGGTTAATGTTAATTTAACAAACTGCAAACAAAACCGGGAACTGAAATTAAAACAATTGCAACATATAATGCAAAACATACATTTGCTCAAATTTTGGGATATTGTAGCAAACGACCTGTTGTTCTAGGAGGCGTTTTTTATGACGTATGCACAGGGTAATAAAAAAATGGACAAATTTTGAAGTCGGTGTATCCCATCACAAATACCGCAGTCAGTAGAAAAAGTTTAGCCCAATAACTTTTGAAAGCATTGAACTAGCTTTACGTATTTTATTCCTGTCCAAGTCTCTTCCCCATCATTATAATACTTCCATTTTTGAAGTCATTGTTACAATTCAAGCCCCGGCCGTTTCATGGTGGGTTAACGTTGTCGATGGCTTTGCGGGAACCACTTTAAGTGAATCCAGCCTTGTTGTACACTCACGTATAATACAGACACTCCTCATTATTTGCTGGAGATTTGATGCCACCAGTCTCCGGTACGGCTTTATAAAAAACAGGACCATCAGACTGTCGACAGAAGTGTGTGTAACATAGAGATAGAACCCCGCAACATTATAGATGGGCATGTTCTCAATCTTCATGATACCGCTCAGCAAGTAAAATGTCCCGGGAATCATATAAAGGCAGAAGAAAGCGACCATTTGAGCGATAAGCGAGCGAAATAACATTACTTGAAGCCGGTACGTGGCTGCTGTAAACTTTTGTTCACGGATGTTTAAATAACTCAGGATTGCAAAAACGAAGCATAAAATTGTCGAGGATGTAGCCCAAAATAGAAAAGTAAACTCGAAGTTGTAAAGGCCACTTCCGAAGCAAGTTGCGGTTGGGTGTTGCTTGAATAAAACGCCCATATACGGGTCGATACTTGCCAGATAAGCCTTATGTTCTTCTTGATCTGGGAGATCGAGTGCTTTCGGTATCTAAACAAAAAAATTGCATAACACGAAAAGGGCTGATGCCAAGGGAACTTCGATCGTTGACAAAGAGGCTTTCCCAGCAATTATAACAATGTTTTAAATCATCATCTTACCAAAACGGTTCCCAAAGCAACAAGTGTATATAAAACTCTGCAATGGAATGCATAACTTCCATGCAAAAATTCAAAGTTCTTCCGATACCAGGAGTGAATGGGCAGCGCCTGATAATACCGATATTCGAATTGATAGAGAAGAGCGAGCCCTTTGGCCACGGAAGAGCCAACTGCAATGAAAAAGTAGACCAATTGGGCATTCCCACTAAAGTTGGAGGCCAGATTCACACCGTAATAACAGGGCAGAGGGAATAAAGTGACTGCACCGATCAGAGTTGAGCATACATCAAATAAACACCCCCTAATACCAAGGTAATTGTTTTGTGTTGTAAACAGGCTCACCAATTAAAACAACTTACCACAACATGCCATGAATAAGATACCATTTGTAAGTGCTGATGCCTGCGCTGGCTTCTTCTAAAGTTTCTACTTCAGTCAATCCACTTACTATTTGACATCACAGACAACGTGTAGATGACAATAATAAACGTTATACAGAACCAGGTATATTCGTAATACTTATAAATCCTTAGCGATTCTTCCGACGGAAATTCCGTCTCATTGAATAAAATTCCCATCGAAAAGTAAGGACAAAACGAAGATGCCTTTAGAATAATGCGGAAATCAACGTTCTAGGTTTTGGACAACAGGTGAAACGACGAACATCAAAACAAGAGGCGGATTTTTCTCCGTATTACAAGGTGTTGCTGCGAATGTTTAATGGCTTGCTTGGGAAAATGGAACATGCCACAGAGCTGAAAAGAACAGCGGAAAAGAGATTGCCTGGATGACCGTTGAACGCAACCCCCACACACAGAAGACTAATTTCGACCAGAAAGCAGAACACTTCCGCAAACGACCAGGAAATACTGCCCGCGCTCAAAAGTCCCGACAATTTTCGCACCGTGCATCCTTCTTTCATTTTCATTCACAGGTGCATCGTTCGCATTTGTCGCCGCAATTTCCCGTTTTTGCGCTAGCGACTTGCACTTTTGCGCGCTACAAACACGAATTTGCGGACGCACGTCCAAAACCCAAAAATTGTCAGGACTTTTGGCGGCTCGTAGTACTACTAGTGGTTCCAGAAAGTGCGTTGACTTTTTGTCGCTTACGTCGCTGAGACTTTTGAATTGCTCGGTGCAAAAAGGCAAATGCAGTGCGGAAAATTTGCGACGAAAGGTGCACGCACTTTCTGGAACAACTTCTCCGACCTTCAAACGTCTCTCGAAAACCCGGCCGCCGGATTCCGGGAACTTACCGACCAGGATCAGCCTAGTTGACTGATTTCCCATTCTCGGCTTTGACACACGATACAAACGACATAATACCGACAGAAATGGCGCTTTTACGGCCGAACAAAGGATAAAACAACCCTCACGAACCCAACTGTTCTTCCTGGAGCTATTCCCCTCCTACGTATGCATCCTACCCTCCCACGATGCCAGTCTCCTATGCCGAAAATGCCCAACGTCCCACAGGATATAAGTAATTCGATCGATAAACCTGCAATAATCTACACTTCAACGCCTTTCAGGGCCAAAAACTAAAACAATTCTAGCTACCCCTCACTTCCAGACTAAACCATCAACATCTACGCTACCTGCTCTCTGCCAGCCCAGTAATAAAAATTTCGTCATAGGCCGCCCAACTACAGCATCGGCACCATTCAACCCAATTCCGATTACTAGGCGGGCCAAAAAGTCTTGACATGTTTTCGCACCGTGCGGGCGCATGAATTCGGTGTCGCGACGAGGTGTCGCGCGATAAAGACTTTGGCGGGGTGCGAATGAAGAACGCACCGTGCGTTGTTTACCCTTTTTCAAAACAATCTTTTTGCACTGTGCGGTGTCGCATTGCACCGTGAATTTTTCTTGTCGCCGCGCGACAAATTTCATGCACGACGGCGCACTGTGCAGACATGTCAAGACTTTTTGGCCCGCCTAGTACTTACCTTCTCCGCCCCTTTTCTCCCATTTCCCCTTCCCCTTTCAAAGCAAACAAGATAATATAAAAAGGAAACAAATAGATCAAATTAAAATCGTAGATTCTTCTTCTTGGCTGGAAAGTTGCCTGGACAGGTTTAATGGGACTTGAAGGAATCTGTAAGAAAATGGAGATTAGCAGGCTAAAAAATCAAAAATAAGTCCAACAATCTCATAAGTAATACAGGGATCTCGAAAAATTGTAATCATAGTGACTAAAATTCCCCCAAAAATAGTAGTCATATACTTTTATCGCATTTGAATTTACTTTATCCCCCTGATTTCACATTAGAGACCAAAACGTCAAACCAAAAGACATCTGATGTCATAGACAAAATAAGTGGGTCAAAAACTGCCACGATCCCATAATTCAATTATAATTTATTTGACTGATTTCCCCTGTAATCCACCTACGGAATTTCAGATCGGTTTAATAACCGATAACCCACTTACTTTTTAATTTTCTTGCATTGTGCAGACTAAACGATGATGACTTTGTTCTTGATATCCACTGCTCCATACTCAAATTTCTTCAATCTTATACCGATTGTCATTCATATACAAACTTTGGGTAACCTGGAAGCAATGTTTTACTTCAAAAATTTGAAAACGGAGTTTAACAATCTCATCAAAAACATAAAGCCCCTACAAATCTTTCATAAGCAAGTCCTTTACCACTAAATTAGATAATTCATGGAGCAAAAAGTGTCTTCATCAACTTTTAACCTCAAAACAAAAAAATATTACACCAGAGGGCTAGAAAATCCGTCATGACGACGAATTTGGCAATCCACATCTTTCAAAAACCCACATTAAAACGGATTCCCAGCCTATAGATCAACCAAAGTCACCCTCTATTAACGAAGCTTCACTTACCCCCAAGCAAATTGTACTGTACATACTCAAACAAGCCGACTTCCACGGAAGGCAGGTTTCGGCAGAGTGACTTGTTCTTCGTTTCCGATCACTCCAGCTTCCGGGTCGACCACAATGCAAACATGAAGGATGAAGATCTTTCTGAAAGAACAATGTATTAAGAAGCGAAAAACTTTTAAAAAACAATGTAAATCAGCAAAAAAATTCAGCCTAACGCAGCCTTATCCATTTTTTAACCCGAAAAAAAAGGATTAACAGGGGAAGTACCCCACGTGCGACGCTCAGATTTTGATGAAACTTGGCACAGGTTTAGAATAATTTTTTGTAAAATATATACGAGAATCCTAGCTTTGCAGAAACAGCTGAGATTTTTAGATGGAAAGTTGGGGAAAATTTAGGACCTTTTGCCGAATTTCGGCACGAAAAGTTTCATGTCAATTTCTGCCGTAAAGGGTAGCTTTTTCCACAAAAAAATCAAATTTTTCGGCACGAAACTGCTAAATCTATGGTCAAAAAGCGGGTTTCTCTCTAACCGCTCGCCACGTTTAGCATGTTCTCTAGGCGGCAAAAATCGTTCAATATTTCGGCGGCGTTTGCAAAGAGCGAGCTAAAACTTTCAGGAATTGATATTTAGTTCATGCCCGACATGCGTGCAAAATCTAAAGAAAATCTGGGCGTCGCATTTGGGGTACTTCACTTGCAGGGAAAATAGTCATCCCTACCGCAACATTTCAAAAAATATGTCGTAATGGCGGGCCTTTCACAAAACCAAACTCTTTCTCCATTAAACAGCTCCTAGTATCCCCTCTACAACTCGGTTCTCCACATTTATTCCTCCCAACTGACCTGATTCTTCCATTCGAGGATGTTCTCCCAGATAACATTGATTTCTTTGTCTTCGCCAGGCACCAAATGTCAGATTTTCGACGGATTTCATGAAAATAAAGATATTAAAAATAGAATGTGCAGCATCCGAACTCATAAGGAAGAACAAAATACTACAAAAGTGATAAAAAAGCTTACTTTAATCATCAAAGAAGCCTCTGATGATTGGGGGAAGGGGGGAAAGGGAGAGGGGGAGGGGGAGGGAGGTGGTGGGAGTAGAGAGAGAGAGAAAGGTGAAGATGGAGTTGTTGGAGCTTTGTTTTACTCTCTTTTTATTTTTTTAGGCTTTTCCTCTTTTCTTTTTTTTATTTTCTAGCCTTTTTTCTTACGTTCTTTTTTTTTAAATTAATTAACAAGGGAAGTACCCCAAGTGCGACGCTCAGATTTTCTTTAAATTTTGCACACACGTCGGGTATGGACTAAATATCAATTCCTGAAAGTATTAGCTCGCGCTTTGCAGGCGCCGCCGAGATATCGAACGATTTATGCCGCCGAGAGAGCACGCGAAACTCGGAGTGCGGTCAAAGAGAAAAACGCTTTTTGGCCATAACTTTGGCAGTTTCGTGCGGAAAAATTTGATTTTTTATAGAAACATTATCCTTTACGGTAGAAATAGGCATGAAACTTTTCGTGCCGAAATTAGGCAAAAAGTCTTAAATTTTCGCCGACTTTCGATCTAAAAATCTCGGTTGTTTCTGCAAAGCGCGAGCCAGGATTCTCGCATATATCTTTCAAAAATTATTCTAAATTTGTGCCAAGTTTCATCAAAATCTGAGCGTCGCACTTGGGGTACTTCCCCTGTAAGATTTTTTTGGCTTTTTCATAATTCTCATTATTTTTTTTATTTTCTTTTTTAGCCTTCTTTATTTTTTTAGCCATTATTCTTTTCTTTTTTTAATTTTCTTGGCTTTTTTACTTTTTTTTATGTTTTTTTCATACATTTGGCGGTGAATCCTTCCAAATGGGGTGAAATAACGGGTCTTGGTGATCGAAAATGCCTGGAAAATAAAAAATAAATAAAGAAAACGTCGAAACACGAATGCTAATAAGGGTGTTTCAAGAAATTCGGCGGAAAGTTTTTGTCTATTTCTTGGCGCTCAGTCAAGAAATATTAGTGTGATGACCGAAAAAGTGCCAAAATGTCTCCGCCGAATCAACTGCTTTCCGCGTTGGCGTAGAAAATGATTTTTTAAGGCAAAAAACCGCCCATCTTCTTTATCCTGCAAAAAGATTTTTTGGATATCTTGATTGAGCGCCAAGGAATCGACAAAAACTTTTCGCGGAATTTCTTGAAACACCCTGTATTATAAAAACATGTTTAAAGCCCTCTACATTCCACGATCTAACCAAAACTTACATTTTATATTGATTGCTTCGTGTTGACCAGAACTTTCTTGAATTCCATGTCTTTCCAAAGTATCGAGTTCTGCTGGCTGCTTGGTCGGAACGGGGGTAATTCATTTCGTAGATTTCCAAAAATACTGAAAGTAAAATCCAAATTACGTCATTTTAAACTAAAGTAAGGTAAAATATAAGCCGAAAAGATAACTTACATGATCAGGTCATACCAAGAATCCATAACAAGTTGGAGATAAATTTTCGGGATGATTAGCGACGACGGAGAGTACATCTTTTTCTTCTTTTTAAGTTTAATTTTTTTTTCTTTTTCTTCTTTTTTTATTTTTTTCTTTTTTTCTTTATTTTTTTTATTTTTTTCTTCTTATTCCTTATTTTTTTATTTTTTTTGGCTTTTTTTCTTTTTTTTTTGCCTTTTTTCTCTTTCTTTTTTTGCCTTTTCTATTTTTTTGGCTTTTTTTTTATTTTTTCATTTTCTTTTTCCATACAATTGGCGGTGAATCTTGAAGGAGCTTCCAAATGGGGTGCAAATAATCGGCCTTGGTGATCAAAAATGTCTGAAAAATAAAAAATAGATAAAGAAAACGTCGAAACACGAATGCTAATATTATAAAAACACGTTTAAAGTCCTCTACATTCCACAATCTCCCAGATATATATCTCTGACCACCTTTCAGCTCGGGCTGCACGTTCAACATTTTAACTGCCCTAAACGGAATTTTTCATCCCTGCACTTTGAGGGCAGTTTTTTCGACATTTTCAAAAAAAATGGTGGATAAAACTTTCTGATCACTTAGGTAAATTATTTGCATCTGCCGACAAATGTTTGCTAGGGGCTAAAACTACTAATGCTGCATATCACAGACACAGACGCATATATTTACGGCAAAAAATGGAGGAATAGCAACATACATCGCAAAGGGTTGTCAATTCCGCGCATTACACGGCTTTGTTAGTAAACTACAGGGTGGTTCAGCCGAAGCTTCCGCCCTTATTTCAAGAATTTCTCCGCCAATAATGCACCAATTTCTATAAAATTTATACCAAATTGAAGCTGAGACACTCCATTTCTTGTCCTCCAAATATGGCCCGTCTAACTTCAAGGAGGCCCCCGTACCGACCTTTGACATTTTCTTTCCAAAGTTTGGGACCCGAAATCGGTGAAACTTAGAAAATTTTTGCAATGATTTTCAATTGAGTTTCTCGGACTATTGTAAGAAAATTTTTGGATTTTTCGGCTAAAACAAAGTTGTCAAATTCGATGAAAAAATTGGAAAAAAGTGAAGTCATGGAAGTACCAAGTGTATAAAAAGCATGTTTTATTCTAGGCGAGGTACCAAGTCGGACGAATCATCGTCAAGCATGCGCAAATCAGTGCCAAATTGACCAGCCGGCTTTAGCGGCTTGTAACTTTTTCAAAAGTTGTCCGAACTGGCCGAAATTAAACATTGTTTAGCCCTACACAATATAGACTAAATTTATGTTAGTCTTGACCCGGGCTCTTGCAATTTCCAGGTAAAGTATACCAAAACCAAAACTCGAGGATCGTTTGGCAAATTTCTAACAATTTTGTAATTAGAAAATAAAGAAAAAATTGGTGGAACCCGTTTTCCTACGTTCTTCAATATGTATCAAAGAGAATTATAGAGAATTTTCAGCCAGATCTAATTAAAACGCCTGCGGTTATGATCAATTATTCAGAGATCGGCTATTCCCAAGCGATTTTTTAAGGCATTAATGGCGTACTGCATATCGAGCGGTTGTAATATCTTGTGTCGCTCACTCCAATGAGTCCTTTAACGTTTGTTCGAAAACAAAAAGATCGCGTTGTCGGTTCAAGCATGATTCTACCACAAAAAAAAGCGCTGCAATGATACGATATGCTTGAGGGAATAGGCCTGGTGTTAAAAAGTATACTCATCGTCTTTGTAGGTCCTAAAGGTTGTTTTAAGATAACTGAACCATGTCGCCTACTGAAGGAAAACCCTAGTTATTTTGGGTGATCAGAAATTTTAGTCCACCTATATTTGGAAAACTTGCATAACTCGCCTAAGGACAGAGATATAAAAAACATTTTTAAGTGGCAGATTCTGCTTGTCATGACTAGCGCACATGCCAAGCTTCAAAGCAATTGAGTTAGATTCAATTGAGATATGGACGGTCGGAAATGTCCGGGAGTATGACCAAAACTTACATTTTATAATCACTGCTTCGGATTGACCATGGACTTTCTTCATTTCCATGTCGATCTGAAGTCGAATTCTGCTGGCTGCTTGATCGAAAAGGGTAAATTGCCATTCATTTCGTAGATTCCAAAAATACTGAAATAAGATCCAAATTATGTCATTTTAAACTAAGGCAAGGTAAAATTCAAGCCGAAATTATAACTTACATGATCAAGTCCCACTAAGAATGCATTGTGACATAAGGAGTGGTGTTATATTTTTGTGATGACTAGCGATGACGGAGAATAAATAACATTGCTTGTATTTTTTGCCTTCTTATTTTTTAGGCTTTAATTAATATACATTTTTTCATTTTTTTTTTTATTTTTTATCTTTTTTTATTTTTTTTTTTTTTTTTTTTTTTTGGCTTTTCTTTTTTTTTGGCTTTTTTCTTTCTTTTTTTTGCCTTTTTTTATTTTTTTTTTTTGCCTTATTTTGGCCTTTTTCTTTTTCTATTCAATCAATGTCCACTTGGCTTTGAGAACATAGATCTGTCCATGGTAAAGGGATTGATCCAATCGGGGAACGAGCTCATGTAAACGGAAGAGTCTGAAAAAGGAACGAATAAAAATGTCCGCCAAAGAGACAAGGAAAAAATAAGGGCAGTCGAAAAACAGATTTCTCCATTTTTTCGAAGGGGCTTAGTACTACGTCTGGTGTCTACTATAAGAAAGTAAGTTAAACACAAAACACCACCTAGAAATTTAACCGAAAAGTGCAGGTTTTCGCCAGACTAGTTAAATGAACAGATGTCTACTACAACATGAAAAAATATGGGTGGTCGAAAAACAGATTTCTGCATTTTTGGAAAGGGCTACGGCAAAATACGCGCGCTCAAAAGTTCTGACAACTTTCGCACCGTGCGAAAGTTCGGGGTTTTTTAAGACGTCGCGCATGCAAATTCGGGTTTTATCGCGCCCAAAAGCGCACGCTGCTAGTGCAAAAACGGGAAATTGCGGCGGTAAATACGAAAGATGCACCGTGCGGATGAAAATGAAATAACTTTTGAGCGCGGGTAAATTGTGTCAGCAAAGCGTTCCCAAGTTTTGAACAAATCAAGATGCAAAAAAAAGTTGGTGTCTACTACAACATCACACAAAACATTTACATTTTTTAAAACCCATCAAGAACGTAAGTTAAAAACAAAACACCAAGTAGAAATTTGACCGAAAAGTGCAGGTTTTCGCCAAGACAAGTTAAATGAACATCTACTACAACATCGTAAAAAATTCTATTAAAAATGCTCTAATCACAATATAAAAACACCACCTACCTCATTTCCTGCTCGTGGGCTCACAATTCAAAGCTTCTGGACTGTTCCTGAAGGTTGCCAGCTCGACGTTGACCTACATCTTCATCAAAGTCGAGCTGGCCGGAGTGGAGACCATTTTGGCGTAATTCTAAAAAAATTGCAGATGACATACACAAATCATTAATGAGCTCACGTTGACAAAAAAAATGTTAAAACAATAGCAAAACCGTTACACGCCAATTTATTTTCTTCAAAAACTATTTTTGTGTGCTGCGCCCGAGCTTTGTGAAAATGTTGTTTGTCGTTTTATACGTAGAAGACAAAAGTTCCGTTTTTAGTGAAAACAACAGTGAAAAGCGAAATTAGTGTAGAATTTTATGTGTTTTCAGAAAAAAGGACTGTACTACCGCGGCCGTTAAGTAAAGAAAGCAAGCTTACCTCCATTCCGGTCCGAATTTTTCCATTTTCAGCGATTCGGAGAGTCCAATCTGGCAAAAACCAGTTGGGTCGGATCTTCTTCATGAAGAAACGGACTGGTCCAAGCGCAATTGAGCTCATTAATGGACGTTGAGGACTAGGACAGAGCACCCATTTAATTCCAGAGGCCCCCCGAGCTCACTCAGGGGGCGAGGGTGCTCCTCCTTTCCCGCAGTTCGTCTTGACTGAGGGGATTCTGAAAAAATAAAGGTAAAATATAATTTGAACATGATAACTTACCATACTTTAGTCCAAAATCCACAAAATTTACCATAAAAAGGTGCTTTATCTGGTCTTGCCGAGCACCCGTGATTTTCCAGAAGGCCCCCCGAGTGAAACGGAGGGCCGGGGTGCTCCGGCTCGACCAGAAACGTCCACACCAGGGCCGGAAACAAAAGGTGAGCACCCTTTTTGATATTCCGAAAGCCCCCCGGGCTCATTCGGGGGGCTAGGGTGCTCCACCTTTGTTTTATGCCTTCCTGTATTGGCATTGGCTGAAAATAAAAGGATAAAATTATATTTTAGACAAAAAATGGGGGAAAAACTCAAAAAAACTGTAAAGTCAGGGTGGTCCAGAAAAAAATGGAGCTTAAAGATGTTTACACGCGATTTTACACCTAGTTCTAGCACTATGTTCTGCAATTATATTATACTATACCCGCGAAATTCACCAGCGTATGGCAAAAAAGAGCAAACGTTCTTTTTTCGGGCGCAGTTCGCAAAAATAATAATTTTTTTGGAAATAAAAAGGAACTTACTTTTTCTCGTACTGGTCAACTGCACGATGTGTAGGTGGGATCTTGTGCTCCACAACGAATGGTTGGTCCCCGAATAGGTTTATGGTGAGTTTTTTTTTAATCCTGGGAGTGAATTTTTTGCCAATTACTGAAAAATAGAGGTTATTGAGGCGTGACTGCCAAAAACTTACGTAATTAGGTATAAGTTGTTGCATTTTGGTAAGGGCCGGCTGTATTCATCCTTCAGTATGGATTTTGAGCCCTTCTACCTGGAATGATAGATACTTTATTGAGAATTACAGGTGGATAGTGTCTGTTTTCTTCAAAAAATACCTCAGTGGTTAATTTTAGGGATTTTACGATAGCCAAAATAGTAAAAAACAAGGGTCAGTGAACTTACGAGGCACCAAGGAATTCCTTGTGGTTCCATAGCTTCGACTTGTCATATCCACGACAAGTCTTGGCGGGGGCTGACGGTTTCTCATGGGCCTTTCTTCTGTCTCTTCTTCATCTTGTGTTATGGGCCCAAGTCCATGAAGTTCCCTGGACCTTCTCGGAGCTCTTGGAAGGCGAGGGCCGACAGGTGGCTTGTAACAGCACCTTCTTCTGCAGTTGGGCATCCTTCGCAGGGGCCCCGGGGCCTCATGTTGCGGTCCTTCGTCTTCATGGCCTTCCAAGACCTGGTGTTCGACCGGGGGCGAGATGACTTCTGCGGGAGGCTGGACGTCGGGCGTTGGTGCCGTTCGCAGTGGGCTTCTGGATCGTTCTCTTCTTGATGGTCGGGCATCTGCTTCGGCGCTCCGCAGGATCTCGCTCAGACGTTTCTTGAGACGAGATTTTTCTTCTTTTTCCTTCTCTAATTCCGCCTTTGCCTCATCTCTTTCTTTTGCAGCTTCTTCGAGCTTTCTTCCAGCTCGGTAATCTTTTGTCTTCAATTCGAAGATGGCCTTCTGTGCGGCTTCCAGGTCGGCTTCGGCCTTCTGGGCTCTTTCCATTTCTGACAGCCACAGGGCTTCTGTGACCTTCTTCGACTTCCTCAGTTCATCGGCTTCTCTTAGGATCTGCCGGTTTTCTTCAATCAATTCTTCCATCTTCGCCTTCAGCTTGGCGTTCTCGTCATCAAGTGGCTCCGGCGTTTTCTCTGCCATCATCGCCTGATACGCGTCAAATTCCTCATAAGAGGCAATTGACGGGACTCCATGGAGAGTTGAGTTCCCGGTGCTGTATTCCGGCGACCTGGAGTACATCGGGCTGGAGCAGGTAGGACTAGCAATAGTGCTAAGTCCTCCCTCCCCACCTGGGGCGCCGGAGTGATGGACACCCAGGGGGGAGCCCGCAACCGCCGGCAGGTGCTCGGCCTGAACGGTGCGGGCTGGGTTTCGGCCGAAGCCAGAGGGGCCGGGTAGGGGGCTCGACACCTCTTTTCCTTCCACTGGGACGCCGGATTGGTGCTGGCCATCCAGTGGAAGGACCACGACCGGCGGCAAGACTTCAGCCTGCTCGGTGTGGATTTGGCGTCCGGTTGCTGGGCTCGGACGTTGGCCAAAGGCCTGGTCGACGGTGCTGGGAGGCACTGAAATTACCAAAATTAATCGAAAAATTGAAAAAAGTATGGTCGAAAATTCTAAAGCTACTACTAAGGTCCCTATTATGTCATATCCTGTCAATTTTCCCCACAAGAATTTTAGCCAATATCTAAAGTAATGTTTTTTGCTTTGAGGCGATGATCCTGACGTTGTTGATAAAAAAATTGGTTCTGAATACCACGATGACTGAAAACTCCACATTTGACCGAAAATCCCGTAAAGAAGTGACCAGAAAAAAGTCGAAGCGCGTCGAAAATCCATCCAGTATGACGTCCAGCGACGAGAATCACATTACCAACAAGAAACCCGAGCTGATTTTTGGTGTTGATGGAGACCAGAGACAGTATTTAAGAGTGGTGATCAGGAAAAGCGACAACACAGCGGCTCGAAAGCCGTAGAGCACTGAATGATCCGAAGATCGGATCAAACGACAACGTGGAACGTGGAGATCCTTCAAAAGGACTCCAGAAGATGAGATGAGATCAATTTAAAGGAGGTGGTCCGAAGCAAGACAATGATTGTTCTTCGGTTGATGAAGCAGGTGGACAAATTCTGGGTGACTTGGGGCCATTTCGACGTGAAAATCATGTAAGAACAGGTACTGGATTATATTCATCAAGACGAAAGTTGGTATGTAGATGTTCAAATTGTGCGAATAGCGTGAGTCGTGTGGTCGGATAGGCGGAAGACGTCTAAAAACTTAGGCAATTTCAGTTTTTCCTCCTTTTATCCGTCATCTAAATGATTTATTTCAGATATTTAATGATTCTTCTACCACATCCGAGACGATGTTGAAGGTCGTTACTCCAAAAAAATGGGACGAATATTGTGAAAATTGCCATTGGAAATGGAGCCTTGATGTAAAAACGAATTTGATGGTGAAGATGTTGATGGAATGGAACATTTTGATGGTAGAATTAATGAAATTCGTGGTGTAACTGAAGATGGAGTTGATTTGAAGTGATCATGTTGAAAACAAATGCCTTGGCGGCCGTTTTTTGTCACGGGGTTAAGATGAATTTGTTGATTGGAATCCGTCCCGCGTCATCTCAATTGGCGTCATTGTTGATGTTCGATGTTTACACGAAAGCCTCTGAAAAAGTCCACGCGACATGAAACCGCAAATTCGACGAGCCGGAACGACGAGAAGTCAAGTCCACCTGGAAACAGCACTTAGAACACCTCGAGAATCAGTTTCTACAAGATTTTGACAAGAAGAACGAAGACAAAGGCCAAGAAAAACTTCAATAACGTCCATCCATGGACGAGACGAGCTCCCCACCCCTTGGAATTAGACTACCCTAGTCCTAATTAATCATCGCAGACATGCTCTAGTTGATGTTGATCTTCAGTAATCAGCCCAGTGATTGAATTGCTCCAAAGATGAAGGTCCAGGTGGTTCATCCGTCATCAGGTGGTGTCTCACAGTAAAAACCCCAGTCATAAGGTAAAAAAGGCAATGGGCATGGGTAATGTAAACCAATGTAAGTAAACATTTATGTAAATACATAATAGAATACAATTTATGAAAGAATTTGGATCTTCAATTTTAATGGTTGATGTTGCAGGGCTCCAACAGGACTGGAAATGAACTCTTGGCCAGGAGAACGTGACCCATCGAGATCTAAATCATGTTGGAAGACCTGACTGGAACTGAAATGGTTAAAGAAATCAAAATGAAATTCTTACCTGGTCCATGGAGCATATTGGAGATGGAATTGGATGGCATTTGAGTATAACACAAAAGGTAGGACCATTTTGGCCGAGAAAACGAATATTTTACTGTTTGTTTGAGGTTTTTGGCTCCAGAAATGTTCCAAGGCTCGAATATCAGTCTATCGGAAAAATAACGGCGGATCGTCGCATCCAAATGTCTCGCCTCGCCGCTGTCGCGCACCAAATCCCAAACCGCGGCTTGCAGTCGGAAAGCGATGATGGGCGATTCCGAGGCGCGACGATCCGCCGTTTTTTTCCCGACAGACCGAGACATTAAATTTTAACAAGAAAATATTACTTTAGGTGATGAACATGAATAGTCGCTGGAAGTACCAGAGCCAACAGAAATGGTCCGGTATTCAACCCGATTATTACACTTCGAGGCTCAATAATGTATTTTCAAGGCTCTCAGCCCTTGTTATTGTCATCTTTAGCGGGGTTTACGGTAATAACCCACCAGCCAAAAAAGCAGTTTATGATTTTTCGGTTATCAAGTTTCAAATATAATAAATTGCTAAATTGAGCTCAAAATAGAATAAATTGCTAATTGAGCTTAACTGTTTTGAGCTCTTTTCGAGTATTTTACATCAAACTTGTGCTGTGTTAGACATCAAATAACAAGAATAAGAGAAAGAGATTTTTTATGTAATAGTTTTGTCCCTAAGCTTACTGTAAGTCATCTCATAGCATATCGAAGCGGTATTGGATTCAAAGCTGCGTTTTGTCATCAAGATTCAGAAAACGAGAGTAATTATCTACTACAATGTCATTATTTTGGGATTTTTATGCCAAAAAGAGTGTCATAAAGGGGTAAAAAGTCGTAAAATCGAAATTTCCGCATGACTTTTGGCAATTTAAAATAATAAATACGTAAACATGACGCAGTTTATGGGATTTTGATGACAAAAATCAGACTCTGAATCTTAGGAACCTCAAAAACCCAAAAAAAGAACCCCCAAAATCCCTCTGGACTTACCAGTCGACCCTACCCCAGGTCCAACCACCGGGACGGCATCGGTGGTGGACGCTGGGGGCTTCGCTGACGCGGGCTGGGTGCTTGGCATCGTAGGATGGTTCGCGGGGTTAACCAGGAAAAAATTCGACCGGTGAATGAGAGAAATCCAAACGAAATTTCGGTGAATTTCGAATATGCAAATTTCTAATTTGTTGGGAAAATACGTGGGAAAATTGACTTTTTTCGAATTTTCATTCAAATTTCTTTCATTTTTTTGGAAAGTTTCTTGCCACGTGTTGCGATTTCGGATGTATTTTTAGAATTTTGGAGGTATCAGGACGAGTACGGGCAAAGATTCAGGACTGGATTACACGTTTTGGGTAAGGTTTTGACAATTTTTTTTGATTTCCTTAGCTTTTGATGTATTATTTTTTGATTTATGTGGAATTTTAGATTGTTCTTTGCGTAATCTGATGCGCTAAGATCTCCAAGGATCTTCATGAATCGGAAAAACAGCCGGAAACCGTTAGGCTTGGACATAGATGACTACAGGTGGTCCGAATCGCCGCAGAAATGAGTTCTAGCTGATGGGCAAAATGGAAAAAGTAAGTTGTGTTTTGAGCTTTTTGGACTGTTCGGTGTTTAGGTAATTGCATCGGAGTTCCCAATCACGACGAAATAATGGGAGAGCATCTTACTGTAACCTCCAATTGGGCTTGGACAATTCGAAAAGCTTGGTCCAGGCTGGAGGAAATTATTCTGAACCCTTTTTGGGAGGAAGTATAATAGAATCTGCAATAATTCCATTGGTGAGGAAATGCCCGCTAGGTGGTCGTTGATTAATAGGAAGCCGGCTTAAAGGTAAACGTATTTTAGAAGATTTGGGGTGATTCGTGGGCATGGGTCGTAATTGAGATTATCCTGAGGATTTTTTGGACATTTGCGGAAGAAATTTTTGAGGTTTTTTCATAAATTTGTCGAGTTTTTGCTCTGTTTGGTTTAATTTAGCTTCTACATTGTCATGATTATTATAATTGCCTTATTTAGAGCTGCCATGACAAAATATGCCTTGTTTTTTCCTGGATGGAGATGGCCAGTGGTCCCAGCTGCACTCCTGCCTAATCTATAGCCTCAACTCGGATGATGCTTATGGTGATCGAAGTTGAAAACAATATTTAAATAAAGTTAGCTTTTATTACAGATAAATTGTGCATACAGTAACATGGGGTCCAATTTAGCCTGACTTGAACCGTGTGTAGAAATTGCGTAACGATGACGCCCATTTTAAATGTTTTAAAAACGGTGGTAGTATGCCCCGCAGATTCAAGGAGCTTAATTTGTTTGCTTCCTCACAATCCAAAAACTCAATTTTGCAACGCAAATTGCGTTACTTTTATTTGACTATAGGCGGCGCATTAGCCTGGCATCAGGAAGCCGTTGACGGAATATTAAGAAGGACTGCACATGCTTGCAATAAAAAACCGCTAGATTATCGTAGACAAAAGTCCCCTTGAATTTCAAAGTACCCTTTGGCTTATCTCACAGTACTCTGTAATTTACCGAAAACAAAATGCGACAAATAGGTTTAAAATATTCGAAATGACTAGGGAAATTGTTATTCAACACGAACTTTTATCGTTTTTTGAACAGCAACTTCTTGGTCAAAACAATACACAAAGACTACAATTCCAGTCGACGTTATTGTGTAATTGTTGACAGAGCGTGCAAAAAGCAGGATCTGCGGCAAGGATGAGTTTAGATTTGGACCCACAACTCCAAAGCGAGGAATTTAGATAAGAGTTTCGGAGATATACTAGTGCTAGAGTAAAAGAAAGGACATCTGAAAGCTTTATGTGTGTGCTATCTGCAGTTAGGCGATGCACTTGAGCTTTGAACGGTTTCATTCATTGCAATTTCAGCCATTATCCAATGCCAATTACAAGTGTAACCTTCAACAATAACGTAAAATTGCAATGAGATTCGGTTGTTCTGCGATCACATTTGACAATTGCCACAGGAAGGACATGCCTTCTCCTCTCGGTTGACCTGTTGTTGTCTTTATTATTTTCTGGAATGCCGACTTTTTTGTTTATTACTTCGGAGGATTCTTAATTGGAAGCAGGCCAGGTTGAGGGCATTAGTCGAAGATACTGTAGATTTTTCTAAGAGAACACAGAGAACAAAATTAGGCGGGAGAGATGCCCTCCAATTTTCGAGATGACGTTCGGTATTTTCGAGGTCCAAGAGCCATCTTAACCTTCAATGTAAGCGACTGACCGTTCCATTTCAAGAAACCGCCCACATGGATTACTTCAGACCATCAAAACTCAAAACAAACATCTTACGTGTGGATGACTCCTACTACTGTACAAATACGTATCTATCTTGTGGCAAAAAGTACATGGACCGGATGAAACTTTGTTTATTGACAATTACACTCTGCCAGTTAACCTAGACTTTGCTCAGACAGAGGACCTCTCGTTTTGGGGTTAATTAAATTCGCTCCTCAAATTTTCCCTATAGCATTCTACTTGTCTTTTCCTCGTATTCCAATTGGTCATCATTACAAGCTCAGAATTTAAAGTGCGAGTGTCAAATATGATTGTTTCTACGCCGAGATACGCGAGAACTTTTCATTAGTGCAAAAAATAAATATTTTTCCGAGAAAAATCCGTTTTTTTTATTTTTCCATGGCATATGCCAAAGACGCGGAAGCAATGACATTTGACGCATTGTTTGTGAAATCTATACGCTCAAGTTTTCGACAAAAATTCCGTATGTTCAGGTAATGGGGGTCATCTTGGACGAGTCGGAATTGCCGTCCGTGAGCTTTCTGGCGTTCTACAAGACCTTTGAATACGTTTGTTTTGGTGTCAGTGTGGTTATGGTATTTGGAACAATGGGAATCATGGTGCTGTGTGAGTTGTTTATGCTTATTAAAAAGTGTTTGTCGTACAAAGGATCCTACGACATAGGCTGGATTTAAAATGTAGAATTCCAAAAATCGTCCGTTGTAATTTTAGAAGAGAGCTGATAAAAGGGAGACGCTCGAATTTTGTCGATATCTGACACCGATGAAGGTTTTTTCACGTGTTTCTGAAACTCCCTGGCCGGCAAAACGTACCGAACATTTGCCCGCTTGCGAAGCGCAAACTAAAATTTTTGTTGAAATTTATGTGTCCTAAGCGTACCATGCACGCAAAATTAGACCAAACGTGATCCAAATAGGGAAGTTATTGTTCTAAGTTTCCTTTATTCAGCTTTTTCAGCATCCCCAAAAAGCCTGTCGAAATACAGATGGTATCTTATTCATGAAATGATATGGTACGTCCAGTCAAATTTCTTTTACTATAAAGATAATTGTAATGCCCCAAGGTTTCGTTCCAGGTCCCTAATTTTCGATTGGTTTGGCACTTTTATCGGGGCCATCCCCCTTTACCCCGCCCCGTGTTACTACGGGGAAAACCTGACCAAACATTTGAATGGTGACTACCAAAAAGCCTACTTCTTCGGTGGGATTACTGCGGTCGCTGGGAAGATTTGCTCGATTGTTTTCCAATTTGAACACCGATTCTATCAAACTCAATCTACCAGTTCAGCATATCGAATATTCTGCACTAGCATTCAGGGAAAGGGAGAGGTGATTGTTCGTGCAGGAGTTACTCTTGTCATCGTCCTTGCAGCGACAGTAAGTTGAGGGTCCGACAGAGATATTCAACATCTTTAGTAAACTGTTTCTTCGTGACGTTTTTTGACATCTTTATTTTCTTTATTTGCAGCTTCCCTTCTTCGTCATGTTTCCTGACCAAAGCAAGGCCCGGTCCGAGTTATCCGCCCTTGATCCGCTGATGTCAAAGATCTTCCAAGAGCACCCTAACACCTTGTGTTTCTCCTCATACACCAACACATTCGAGGTTTTGATTATAGCCTCTGGTCTAATTGTCGGTGTGATGATCTTCAGTGTAGTCCTCATCATCCTCATGTACATATCAATCCGGCGAAACCGGTTCTCTTCCAACACATATCGCCTTCAGATGATGCTATTCTGGTCGTTGGTTGCGCAGACCACAATCTTCCTGACTTTTATGGGAATCCCGGGCCTAATTTTTTCCGTGGCGCCGCTGATTGGAATCAGAAATCTTCCTCGGTACTGTGCCTACGGCTTCTTATTTCTTCTTACTCACACTCCACTGGATTGCGTGATGATTCTCTACTTTATAAAACCATACCGAATAGTGCTTGTGCGATGGCTGCCTTCGTCGCTGAGAACCATTTCTCATCGAGCTAGCACGAGTACAAATCACACCAACAACGGTGCGGTGAAGCCAATCCTGCATCGATTCTGAGGAAGTATTATTGACAATGAGTTCAAATGGTGCTAGGCAAATTATAGTGAATAAAGTTTGTCGTTTTAAAGTGGAAAGTTGTTTTTCGTTGCAACAAGCCTTTAAGAACCAAAAATCCTGGTCGCACAACTTGAACCCGGTACAAATTTCATTATTACATGGCGATATGGCTTGATAAAGTAGATGATCATCAAGCAATCGATCGTGGTGTGGAGCAAGAACAATATAAACGCATACATTGAGTATATGGGCATATTCCTGAAACCGAAAAGGGGAAGGCCGATAAAAATGAGGAAACGCAACAAAGATCTGCAGCGCAGCTGACTCAGCAACCAGCGACCAGAACAACATTAATTGCAACCTCCGGGTGTGCGGAGAAAGGGAACCCTTACGGATGAGCGAATACATGAGAACCAAAAGCCCAAACAGAAGATAATAAAAGAAGATTACGGCACAACAACCAAAGATTTTGAGCCTCTTTATCGTCTCCAAAGAAGCGTAGCAAAGAGCGTTGGGATGGCGTTCAAGGATCGCGCTTACGACTGGATCCAGGGCGGTTAACTGACTCTTAATCTCGGGTTTATTTAGGCTTACAATGTCAACAGCGCACTGCAAGTGTTATGGAAAAGTTGTGATGCCGTATATGCGCAATGTTCATCTTCAATAAGGAGACCTCTAGACGCCCTGCCCGAATATAATAGAAGGCTATTCCCAGGACAAAGAGCGTTCCGAATGGGCAAAAGCAGAGAAATATCATGGCTGCAAGAAGAGATTGCCTTTAAATCAAGGATGTTCGAGATGCAGAAGGTGTTTGGATACTGGGCCAAGATCTTGTCCATCACTGGATCAATTGTGCGGAGGTGGAATTAGTCTTGATTGGGAAGATGGTAGAGGACTGGTCCCTGAAAAATCCAGACTTATACTGTAACTCAGATTTGTGCCAAGTTTCATCGAAATCTAACAAGGGAATGGTCCCAACGATCCGTGGGATCCACAAATGAAACCTAGATATTCTGGAAGAGCAGGTAAAATTTAGTAGGAATCCGTTTTTTCTACTTGCCGAATAAGTCTGTGCGACGAGAAATGTCGTCGAAAAGATCCGACCAAAAAATCGAAAGAGAGAAAAGACGAACCGAAAGGCCTTCGAAGGCGTCACCAAATAGTCTAGTGGAAAAAGTTCCACCCACAAATCTTTTGGGGGAGGAAGTCTTTGGAGGTTCGAGTCCACCCGGAGCGGATATCTCCGGCTTGAACCTACGTGTTCATTACTGTATTCTACAGTTACTAGAAAAGATTTTTTTGTTTATTGACCTGTTTTGCAAGGTTTGTTGCAAAATTTTAAGAAAAGTTGACACTTCGGCAATATTTTTGATAAGCCCGATGTCGACATAGTGGTATTTTCAAGACACTTCTACTCGATTCTGGAAGGTTGTATAGGATCTTGCAGATCTTTTTCGGTTTCCCAAAAAGGATGTTGCCAAAATCTCACCTTTTCATAAAATTTTGCAAGAACAGTTGAAAAGAGAATTTTTGGGTCCTTGCATCAGCGTGTAGTAGACCCCGTGAATATTTACGAAAAAATCTATTTTGAGTTTTTTGGTTTAAAATGGCCGTGGACATGTGTTTAACAAATGCCCAAATTATTTTTGTCAAATTCTGCCCGGAAGGTATAAATTTGCATAAATTTGTCTTCTTTGGAACTTCGGACCTGGCGGCATCATAAAAAGAGGTAATGACCAGTGATTGCCAAGCCTTCGGATGAAAAAAATCTTGTAAAACGGGTTAAACAAAAAAAATTTTTTTTGTATAACTGTAGAATACAGTAATGAACACGTAGGTTCAAATCCGGAGATGTCCGGCTCCGGGTGGACTCGAACCTCCAAGGCCTCCCTTCCCCAAAAGATTTGCGCGTGGAACTTTTTCCACTAGACTACTTGGTGACGCCCTCGAAGGCCTTTCGGTTCGTCTTTTCTCTCTTTCGATTTTTTGGTCGGATCTTTTCGACGATATTTCTCGTCGCACAGACTTATTCGGCAAGTAGAAAAAACGGATTCCTACTAAATTTTACCTGCTCTTTCAGAATATCTAGGTTTCATTTGCGGATCCCACGGATCGTTGGGACCATTCCCTTGTAAGAAATCTTTTGCCATGGATTTTTATTATCCATGGCAAAAATTAGTCAAAAATCGCCAAGTTTTACAGAACATGATGTCCCAAGCGTCCCAAATTCTGTACACTGCCCTCAAATCCCTATCCAAGTCACCTTACCTCCAAATAGCGTCATCAAGAAGGTGTTTTTATTTTCCATTATCAAAAGTAGTCGCTTTGAAGATCAATTGAAGTGCCTTGTAAATATCATGTGGTTTCCATTCCACAACAGTATGTCCCAATTGTCTGAAGCTCTCCACAGTTTATAGGACCGCTCTCTCCACCGCCGGAGTTGCTTTGAACCATCCATCATCCACATAATACCCAATTTTCAGAGGGTTTTTGGATAAATACATTCCTTTGTTGAAATTGATTGGTGGAACATACGGATCGTATTTGTAGAAACAGTCATTGCACCATAGAGCTTGAAGCATTCTGACGCAATGTTTGATATTTGTGGCCATGGGGCCAATCGAGGCGTAAGTGTGGGATCGGCCGGGGACTGAACCCGGGCTGCTGAACTTGGAGAAACGGCGGTGGCTGGGCTAAAAAATCGATGGAATAAATATTATTATGATAACTTTTATCTACAGCAACAAAAACTGCCTCAATTTTTTTCACGAAAAATGCGCAGAGATTCGGCCAAAAAAGTTGTTTTCTGACTGCAATCCGAGAACTGAACTTCACCATTACCACTCACCTTGACCAAGGCAATTCCACAAAAGGTGAGGGAATTCGAAAAGTTCCTGGACGAGCAGGGAGTCTTCGGCTTGCGGTTTCTCCAAATTATCGGCATATCCGGAGAACAAATCGTGCCCTTGGACCTAAAATAAGAAATTTTATATTGCGCCAGGAAAAAAATCGAAAGATAGATAAAACTTACCGCAATACAAGATTTAATACTAATTGGCAGACCAAAAAGTTGGGGTTTCTTGTAGTCCGGGTCGGATCCAGCAGCATCTAGAGCTTCACCGCGCTTATCTGCCTCCTGAAAAATTTTCTTCTCTTACACATCGATATTCGAGATTCTTTATCAAAAAAAATACAAAAAAATTAGAAGAGAATGTAGTAACCAACAACGGGATTTCCTTCTATTCCGAGTCGTAAAATGAGATAAAAAGAGATTAGAGAAACACCAAATCGGAAGATGTTATCCAAGGTGGTCAAAACTAATTGTTATTGGCCGTTGCGCATAAATTGATGTAAATTTTTTCCGCTTGCCCCTCAGGTGAGTCTCACCACGAAAAAATCAGAACGCCAGTATCATCGAATATTCCACCATCATTTGCATAAACGTGGACAAATTTCGCGTTGTCACTGCCGTTCTTCCACGATTTTCTTGTTATACTATACGGCAGCCGACTTTTTTGATGTCGGATTTTTTCAATAATGTACCTTCCTTCTCATTGGATCTGCTAAACTAAACACTTCACGGTGATTTAGATACGGTAAGGGTTTGAATTGCCTCTTATTTGACATTATTTTTGGCATGGATAATATAAAATTTGTGACGCTCTTTGATTTCAGGGCTTCCAATCGATCTCCGCTGCTTTGTCAATGGATTCCCTTCTTCTCAAAGCTCTGTTATGACCGTCAGGATTTGCCTAATATTGCGCAATGCTGAATACAATGTCTCAATTTTCTGGACGTCGCATGAAACTGGATCCGGAGGATCAAAATTTCCACTGCACATCAAATATTGTGAGTTTTTTTAGTCTTTGTTTCCATGTTTAGAAAAAAGTCAAATTTCGAATAAAGTGCTGGCACAAAGGGCGCAGAACTTTTGTTTTTTCCGAGCTACGCCCGCAGTACTTGTTGCTCCTGTTGATTTACAGTCGTATTGGACAATTGTTTTATTACTTATCTTCAGATTTCGTCACATCTTCATCAACTTCGCTTCAACCCCCTCCTTCTCCTTCAACTTCTCATCAAGGATCGACCAATTGTGAACAACAAAGGACCTCTGCAACAAGTGAACCTGAAATTTGGACATCATCATAGTTTGTCAATAATGGAGTGGTAATTGATTTCTGGATTTTAATATATTATTGTATAAGATAACTAGCTGTTTATTGTAATTTTTTTGTCAGTATTAGTAATAGGAGAAAATTTTCTTCTCTATGAAGGGTTAAAATCTTCATAAAAAACGAAAAGTAGGACGCTAGTTTCGGGGGCATCAAAGTCGTGGCCACATTAGGGAGGAAGTCGGGGGTCTCGGAACTGTTCGGCCTTGGATGTTGGGAGGGTTGAGCCCATCTTATTCTTGGGGCTAGTACCGTTGGTCGAGGGCTGGTAATCGGAGTAGCCCTGTATTCCGTTGACCCGGGACTGGTAACCTAAGGCGGATCATAGGCTCTACTTTCACTAATCCTTGTGAAAATGCTGGGAAAAGTGGGAAGGGACGCTGGGGTATCGGTTATAACAAGCAAAAATGTTAAAAGTATATTGCGACTAGCCATCCCCTGAACCGGGCGGAGGCTGTTGATGTGGAAACCGATGGACTGGGTGGATGTTCAAGGCCTCTGGCCAAAAATATTAAATCGACCTAACCCTGTGGTGACGGCTGTTTCGGATAAACCAAGCTGGAGCCATCGATACGCCGCAGAGTTCGGTAATCGGTGGTGCCGAGACCTGGGGCGCTCGGCCGAAGTCCTCTTTCCCCTCCGAGCAGCCATGAGCGGGGGCCCTACGGCCGGCACGAAGTTAAGGCGGGTCAACGAGGTCCCCAACGTGGGCAATGTAGCGAAAGCTCGCCTCTATACCGCGGTCGTGCGCTATGGTTCCGGCTTAAAACGTCCCACGTGCCGGTACGGGTTATGAGGTCAAAACCACTTTGAAATTTCAGCTTCACTACGTAAGTTTTCGGAGGATCGTAGAGGTAAGTTTTGAGCAGTGCGCACAAAGTAGGGGGATGGCAAAGTCGCATAAAATATACAGTTTTTGTTTGTTTTTTTTTGTTATAACTGATACTCTCAGAAAGTCGTCCCGCTATTCCCAGCATTTTCGACCAACAAGGATTAGTGAAAGAAGTGTCGATGTGAAGCTAATATAAGCCACGACCGGCTAGGCGGCAATACCGGCCGAAACGAGAAGTCCGCCGCTTGAACCGACGGGAAACCTCCCAAGATAGGTGGGGATAGACCCTCCTTGACATCCCTGGCTCGGACAGTAATCCAGACCATGGGGCCTACACCACAAAAAGTGGTGTAGACACTGGGGCCAAACGTGTTTGGCTTTAGGGGAGTGCTTTTTCCCTACTGTGGCCTATGACGATGCCCAATGAAACCTAGAGTCCTATAATTTTTATATGTATTACCTTATATCATAAAGAATAAGAGAAGAAAATTTATTCCGAAATACTATTACAAAAAGACTTTGAATTGTAATTTACCATATTATATATTCCGATATTGTCATGATTGATACGATATAATACTATATTAATTTTCGAATTGTTTCTGTAATATATTTTTAAACGAATTTATCTCTCTTTGGTAAATTGTTCTTTTGGATTGCATAAAATAATCATAATTCGTTTTTTTTCGGATTTGGACTTGATAATGATGGATAATATATTGTAATAGGAAATCTATATTCTCTTTACCGTGTATCTCAACGTTAACATTATGCCTAGACGCTCGTCAAGCTTTCTGAGATTCTTTACCAAAAACAGTAAATGAAACCGACAACAATGAAACGTTATGTGTCGATAAGTCTCGTAATATTTTAGAAAATCTGCGGATAGCATAGAAGATTCATCAAGAAGTACGCCCATGAGCAGCACAAATCGATAAAGTAGAGGATCAGCAAGCAATCAATCGGGGTGTGGAGCAAGAACAATTAAAAGCATACATTGAGTATATAAGCGCTTACGGCTGGATCTAGGGCGGACGGCTGGCTCTTAATTTCGGCTTGATTTAGCTTTACAATGTCAACAGCACACTGAAAGTGTTATAGAAAAGTTGAGATGTCGTATATGCGTAATGTTTATCTTAAATCGTTGTATTTGCAGTCTTTCAAATTACTCACGAAACAAAAAATCATGACGGATTTCAAAAAGCCGGCACTTACAAACACTCCAACCGCCATAATGTTATTTTCAGATGGCAGCTCAATAACGTTCAACAGCACCCCCATATTACATTCATTAAGATTAATTACAGTTTTTTTTGTTTCTATAAGAAAGGTTTCATTCATGTCGATTTCTTTCATTGAAAACGTGACACATGAATGTTAGCTTCTTAACTTTCATTACGTTTTACATATTTTGCGCCACACGCAATGGGAAGTTCGGATCACGCCCTTGTAAAAGGTCTCACTTCTAGAACTTCTCCACTCCTGAACATACGTCGTATCTGTTGAGACAAACAATGATTTTGACGAAATCTCTCTCAAAAAAGCTCTATGGAAGTAATCTCTGTATGGCTTAATAAAATAGATTATCATAAAGCAATTGAACGGAGAATGCGACATGGAGAACATAAAAGCAACCGTGCTCTGAGCAGGCTTGTTGCGGAATCCAAAAGTCGGAAAGGCAAAGAAGAAAATGTTTGGAAAAATAATAAAGACGAAGGTGCAGAACATATGAGTTGACAACGAAGTGAAGAGCATGACTTGAAGCTTGTAGGTGGATGAGGAGACCTCTAGACGCCTTGCTCGGATATAATAAAAGGCCATTGCCAGGACAAAGAGCGCTCCGAATGGGCAAAAGCAGAGAAATATCATGGCTGCAAGGAGAGCTGCCTTTAGATCGAGGGTGTTCGAGATACAGAAGGTGTTTGGATACTGGGCCAAAACCTTGTCCATCACTGGATCAATCGTACGGAGGTATTGGTGGAATTGGTCTTGATTGGGGAGATGGTAGAGAATCGGTCCCTGGAAAATCTAGATTTAGACTGCAACTCCAAGCGAAGCTACAGCTGTACCAACCGCAAAAATATGTATAATAAAATCGCGGTCAGGGTAGAGAATAGCCTTGTATGGCCATTCTAGCTATCAGTTTATCAAAAAAATAATGAGTGCGATTAACTGCATCGCCCAGCGAGCACTTCCCATGTACAGGGTGTTCCGAGAATTATGGAAAAAACTATTCGTTAATAACTTTGTGCTCGATGGTCCAATCCGAAAAATTTTTTTTGCATTTTGCAGAAAAACCTTGGAGTTTTTAGAATCAAAAAAAAAATTTTTCGTTTAAGCGGCGGAGGCTTCTGTAATCCGCCTTGAATTCGGCGGAGTCCTTCTTTCACAAACGAGGCTGTGAAAATGGGTTAATTTTTTTCTCCGCCGAATTGCTTTTTTTTATTCTCCCAGTGAGCCGAAGGCATAACAAGTCGTATTTAGGCGCCATGCCACCAGGAATACCGTAAGTTTTGGTTTTGGCCAATTTTGACTAACCAAAGTCGAAGAAAAATCGTCCGCCAAGGTTAAAAAATGCCTCCGCCGAATGACAAAAATTTGAAATAAATGTCATATTGTATCCTCTGAATCCTTTCCCGCCCATTTTCTTCATACATACAACAATTTACAGCCTCATTTGTGAAAAAAACACTCCGCCGAATCCAAGGAGGATTACCGAAGTCTCCGCCGATCAAAGAAAAAATTTTTTTTTTGATTCTAAAAACTCAAATGTTTTCCTGTAAAATGCAAAAGAAAATTTTCGGATTGGACCACCGAGCACAAAGTTATTAATGAATAGTTTTTTCCATAATTCTAGGAACACCCTGTATAATAAACTCACCCCACATATGCCAATAATTCCGGCGGAGAACAGTCCAAGCGAAAACACTTGACTCATCGGCCTGCAATTCGTAAAATTTACCGCTTGAAACACTGAATTTCGCGGTAGCGCCATAAAGAATCGATACAACAGCAAGAACGTGGTCGTTAACGCCCAAATAAGTAAGAGTAGGCCTTGTAAGATCAGGCATGTCATCTGGAAGTTGTAGCCAAAATATTTGAACCAAGTGGTAGTGTAGAGGCAAGGAACAGGGAGCAGTGACACCAGTCCCATGGCATCTGCCAAGATATCATAAGCTAACGCACAGAACAGGTCGGCAAGAAGAAACCATCGATAGATTGTGAGAGCACGTGTGGAGACTAAATTTTGAATGTTTAGCCGTTGCAAGGCGTTGAAACGTATGTCTAGGATTACCGAGCTACCTTTCAAAATGATGAAAGCAGTAAATGCGACCGATATAAAGGACACAATCGTGGCGATTTGTCGAAATACGTTGTAAAAACCAAGAAAATCGTCTGATAGCAAAGCAGTCTCCTCAATTAGGACACCCATGACAAAGAGAATCAACGCTTTCTCATATCAAACATTTACAATTTTCACGGGAATTAACGGTATGTACGGAAAGGCGTAAAATCCATTACATAAACTTACAAAAATTTGTCATGGCAATACGATTGTCATTTGACTTTTTTTTGCCGGCGACGTAACGTACCTCTTAAAGACCAGGTGAATTTTTTTTGTCGACTTCAGTTTTTTACACTTAGGATTCGCTAAAAATTACAACAGAACAAAAGTTCAACCGAAACATTTTCTACAGTAAATTCTCGGTTTCCTTGGAAAGAGACCCCCGATTCTTGAAAGAAATACCGGGTTTATTCCAAAAAGTAATTTTCATGGCAAATTTTCGCTCGTAGTATTATTGGAAAATAGAGACTTCAGCATCGTAAAATCTGGAGCGATCTCTCTCACTGGCCTTGAGAAGAGTGATGCTCAATGAAAGCTTCAGCTTTACTTCAACATCATCAACAAAATATTTGAAGTCGACGATTTTGTCTTCCACTTGTTTCGGATCCAACTCAACGTTGAAGACATTCCTGAAGACCGTTGGAGCTGTGTGGATACTCTGAAATGACTTCTTATCTTTCTTAAAATTAACGTTTGCATTGATTTATGAACGTGGTGAACTTACAATTTCCTGGAAAGTGTAAATTGCGACAAATCTGATGGGTTCGACTTTGATTCCAGCGTTTTTTAACGTCTTTACAAGCAGATTCAAGTGTTCCCTGAGATGATAAATCTCTTCTTCAAACTTTGACGTGGTCTGAAATAAGTTTTTCAGTTTTCTTAGAAGTGACTTGATACAAAATTTTTTACTGCTAAAGTTTTTACAGGGTACCTGTAGAAACCATGGCGAACGTAATAAAGCAGCGCTCAACGCCATAGCCGACAGTGTAAGATGATAATTTACAACTGCCTGGTTTCAGAGAATTCCAGACATTTGGTATCTTGCATTATTTTGAACTTATGAAAAACAAATTTTCGTTTGATTATCGGCCCTATTTACAAACAATCTTGAAATGAGTCATTTGCAGGTGCTCACCGCAACATCTTCCGATCAACAGCGTTTGCAAAAGATGGCAAAGATTCGAAACAATCTCGAAAATATTGAGAAAGTTTAGGGAAAATTGGGTTTGGACAGAAATGAGGAGTAATTTTATAATACGGAATAAATATGTACATCATACGTACAAGGTTTCCACAAAAAATTAAAGCTTGAAACACCCCTTTTTTACTTTTCTTTCTCGCTTTGTTTCCAGTCATTTTCCATGGTCTCTCGGCTTCAAGATCGTTCAATATTTTGGGGAGAAGATTACGGTGATAGGAACTCGAAAAAAGCCCAAAATTCGGCTGGGGACAGCGAATTTGACTCAAATTATTATTACAGTGGCGGGCCCGATCCCATGGCAAAAAACACACAATTTTGCATCTGAAAGGTATCACAAATGTAGCAAAATAGCTCCCTCTCCATGTGAAAGAGCTCAATTTCAAAAGCGCGCCCGCTTTTTTTGTGCCTTGTATACTGGAGTTTTTGTAGTTGAAGAGGAAAGTATCTTGCTACATTTTTTATACTCTCCGGGTACAAAATAGTAAGGATGAAATCGGTTTGCCCGTTGAGTTCTTGTCTTCCAAATAAAAGGCATCTTTTTGGCCCGAAACAGCCCGATTTTTACAATAAGCTCACTGTTTTTCAATCTTTCAGGCTCCTTCCAAACATAGTCTAAAAAATAAACTTGCATCAGCCTCCGGGTTAAAGACATATCCGCCATCCAAAGCAATCACTTTCAACGACGGTGCGGACATTTTGAGATTTGTAACGGCCCTTGTATAAAATTGCCACGCCCTCTCGACTGATCCATTCTCAAAAGACACGGATAATGTCAGCTTCTCCAACTCGTATTGCGGCTCATTTCCAGGCTGCTCATAAAAGTCCTCCAAAAAGGTCTTGCCGGCCAAATTGATCTCCTTCTTTCCTTTCTCCAGGACTATTTTTGGAGCTAAAAAATGATTAAACATTACGGAGAGCAGAGTTGATATAAATAGTAAGCAAAATAACGGTGTGGGATGGGAAAGTTCATCGAAAATTTACCGTTCTCGGCCATCGAGAGTAGAAACAGCAGAAATACGGAGAAAAGTGAACTGGGTCGCGTCTCTGTGGGGTTTTAGGGGGAAGAATAAACCTTAAAAATGGGGTTGTTTGTTTGATAAGCAGAGAAAAATGAGTCAGAAAAAGAAAGACATAAAAGTAACATTTGATAAGTCAAGGAGAGCTGTCTATTTGTTATACGACCGGGCCAAAAATAGAAAAGTGAAAATTGTAAGCAATCTGGCGGCCTGATACATTTAAATAAGCAACTTTTATAATGTGAAAAATACGGGGTTTGTAGATTCAACCCATAAAATAATGGTAAAAACACGCGTTAGTCCAAGGCTCCACATCAATCTCCAAACATTTCACTTTGCACATTGTTTAACATGATATTAAACGATGTTTACCGACGAGAGAGTACGCAAAATGAGGATAGCGGGAGAAAGAACTTTTTTTGGCGTTTGGCTGTAGCTTTGCGAATTCCGCGAGGAAATTGTTTTTGCGTAAAAATTATTTACCATAAAACAACAAGTTCGAAATGTTTGTCTTTGTTGCCAATTTACGACTTTTTGACTTTTAAAAGGCGCAAGCTAAGAAGCTCGCAGATGTCTACGAAACATTTATTGGGATACTGTCACAACCAACTCACATTTCAGGCACCCCTTTAAATTTGTTCAAGATTAACGAGTGTGTTTATTTAGGTTTATTTTTTAAATAATTATTTTTTTTTGTTATGATAATTTGATGACTAAAATAGTTATATCTTACTAACACTGAAAGTGTTACAGACGCTTGTTTCTTTGCCAATTTTTAGTCGAACCCCGTGAATCTGTCGTCCAAATTGCCTTTAAATCAACTTTCCCTCCTTCCCAAAACACGCGCCCTGCTCCAAAAATCTATTCTTATCCTGGGCAATTTGATTTTTTTGCCTATAAATTTTGACGCCATGCTTTAATGTGAGTATCCCGCTTTCTCTCTTTTCGCTCTTCGTTCGCTCTTTTTCCCCCGAGGCGCTCTTTTTCGTCGGGTTTAGTTGGCCATTGAGTCAAAAAAAGAGAGTGAAGCCGGCTTTCCCTTTTCCCATGGTCTTGGCCAATTTGTGCGCTCGATTTCTGTTTTGGGTGTGTTTCGCGGCAAGGTCATTCTAATTAAACTTTGAGACCTTAAATCATTTTTGCCCGTTATTATCGTTTTACTTACAGTAACTTAAAATGTTTTCACAGCTTTTTCCCTACTTTATGACACTTTCTTGAGTGAAAGGAGACGTTTATTGAGTACTAAGAAGTACTCTCTTTCCTGGCTCACTCCGAGATAACCATCTTATCCAGCTCTCTCTCTTCTAATCCTAATTTGTGTATTGTTTTCTTTTTATTTTCCGTGCAATTTCAGCTTTTCTGGAAATTTGAGAAGGCCAAAAATACAATCCGAGTGCCTAAAAATAGCTAATTCTTTGCATAATTCCCGTTTTCTTTGAATACATTATGGTTTTTATAACAAAAATTAGATTCTGGTCTCAAGAAGGTCAAGTAAAGATCAAAACGACAGAGTAAAAAATAAATCTGCCTGATTTTATGTTTTTGTGACAACCTCAAGTGGAAGATCTTTAAGGAGAAAATTGGCGGACTAAAATAAAATTTTTTTGATGACTATACTTTTAGTTCATCAAAATCTGAGGATCGGCCATCAAACACGCATCCTGGGGATTCGACCGAGCCGAAGCCGCCCTCAATTGAAACCCACAACGGGTCAAAAGTTTTCTTCCATGAACAATGAATGACCCCGGGGATCTTCGGTCGACCGTCCCCCCGGCCCGCTGAACTCTCCCCCTCGATAAAAATAACATGGAATCCGGGCAGCTTAGGGAAAAGAAGACGGAAACGACGGCGTTTTCCTTTTCCGTCCTGAACTTGTTGTTTTCATTCAGTCTTGCCCGTCCTTGGCCACGTTTTCACCCACCGCACTTTTCTGCATCCCCAGGCTTTTTTTATTTAATTTTGGCGGAACTTTAGAGTATATTTGACGCTTTGTTCGAGACTTAGAGCGCATGTCTGATGTGCTTTTGCAGCCCGTCTCTGGATGATTTTCAAGGATTTGTTTTTTTTCTGAGTTTGACTTTTTCAAGATGAGTCGTTGTTTTGGTACTGAATTTTGGGTTGATTCCAAGTTTCAACTAAAGTTTTACTGGGATAAAGTACCGTTCGTCGTATCAACTTGTATTTGTTAAATGCAACTAGACCTGACTCACAGTGTGGTATAAAGTTTTGTACGGGTTTTTGTCGGCTATTATGTAGTAAAAAGGCAAAAGGAACGTTACCTTTTGATCAAATGTACTAGCAAAAGAACGATAGAACACTGACTTTTATGTTTTCTTATGAGCCCAACGTTTGTCAAAAACACTTTTCTGACGTCACAGGTCCCTCGATCAAGCATCTGTCACCATAAAACTCTGGTTTTTAAATTAATATCAATGAATATGCTCGCTCACAACTTCGACCCCAACAAAACCGAATATATTAGGCTAGATTTGGCGGTTAAAACTTGGTCGGCCGCTTAATTGGGTTGGTTGGAGTTACTTGGCGAGAAGAGAGGGGAGAAAGCCTGGCCCTTCCCTATTTTTTGTTCCATTTTTGGCATTTCTTCATCTTGATAGACTTTCTCCTTAGTTTTCGGGGATTCCCGTCATTCTTACAGTTTGAAATGGGCACGCAAATGTTTTACATTTTGTCGAATGTTTAAATTAACGAGAGTTAAATTTTTAGTTAGACGTGAACCGCTTGAGAACTTAAGTCTTGTACTTCGATAATTTGAAAGTTTGGAGGTCTACAAACAAGCTTCATGTTTATTATTAATTTCGAAGAGTCCTGATCAACTCAATTTTTAAGCTATTTTTTAAAATCTTTAACTTTGAAGTCACAGTTTACGTGGAGTTTGTAACATATTGAAATGGCTTCATTAGAGATACTTATACGCATTACAAAGAATTATGTTTGTGCTTTACTCTGAACTATTAGTAATAGAACTGGCTCTCAAAGAGCATTTGAAATACAGTTGGGTATCTCTGTGCAACAAAACAGATCTAAGACGGGAAATTTCAGAGGTCTTAAGACCCAATTTTAGGTCCAAAACGAACTTTGATATAATTTCGAACAAATTTTTCGATACCTTGCTCGTTGTACAGAGACTTGATCATCATAAACATATATATACTTATAAGCGGCTTATCTTGTTGTTCTTCGCAGATGACGTAAATTATTTTCCTTCGATCGTGACTCCACATTTCCTTTGCTCTCTCGTCGCATCTTTCGTTTATAAAATTGTGAGCTAATAGCAAGTACTTACGGAGAACATTACATTACATTACGTTGTCTTTTAAAACTCACCTCAACTCCATCCATCCCCCATATTCCCCTCCAATAATCTTAATGGAATATTAGTTTTCTTACTCCGTGTTTTGACCGTTCAGTTTCCGAGGCAGCTCGACCAACTTGTCGCCCCTTTTCCTCTTGTGTTTGGCACCATTATTTGTCCGGTCGAGGGTTTGTTTATTTTCACCGGATAATACGTTTACTCAGAATATGTTTTCCTCCTCAAATTTGTGTTCGAAATGGCGAGTGCTAAGGAGGTTCGGAATGACAGGGGAATTTAAGGGCGTTACTTAGGCACTTCAGGGGATTACAGTGCAATCTAATTTCGGGGCTTTTTGGATTTGGATCTTGCTGGCTTTCTTTGTTGGAAAAACATTGGCCCCATTTCTCCAGTTTGGACTATAAATTGCAAATTTTTTATTCAAAAATAAGGCCGTATTTGTTTCGAATAAAATATCGCAGACGAAATCGTTTCCTTTCATCTCCTTGTCCAATTTGTCGGCATTCATTTGTTTGGCGGAATGAAATTAAGGATTTTATGGCCATTTCCCGGCCCAAATAATCTCTTTGAAATAATAGGTAGAATTAGGAAAAATCGCAAATCTGGAAAATGAGTCATCTCGGCTTCTGTTGAACTGCCTTTTACATTTTTCATTCAAAATTGAATGCTTTAAGGTGCCGTTTTGTGCATTGGCAATAAATTTATTGAATGTCCTTAACAACTGGTAACAACTGACCTTTCGGGAATTATGTCTTTCTTGTGTTTTCGCTATTTCCGGAACGCTGTTTTGTGGATTTTTTGAATTTGTTTACATGTTTCCAAATGCTTTTTTGAATGATGTGTGATTACATTATGTTATATTATGTGTTAGATGGGGACGTCTTGGGTCGTTTGAGAGCACATGTCATAATTTTTAAAGACGTGTTCATACAGTAAATTATATATTTGTAAAATACGTCAGTGACCCTTAAAATGTCTAAAACATGATGATTTGTATTATGATTGCTTCTTTTCTACCGACGAAACTACCTAACCCAAGCTAGAACATTGTTTTCTGCCCTTAGGCGATGTTTTTTTCGCCGTTGCACCACCTGGTCTTTTATTGAGCTTTTTGTTATCCGAATTGGATCCCCAAACAAAACATTTTCGGTTTCCTTGAGCCTCCACAACGAAACGGAATAAAGACGGGGAATATGGAGAGGGCTCTATAATGAAGGATTAAAGCCAAAAAACGAGGATGCCCCCAGGCCTCGGTGGTTTTTGTAAATGGGACTTGTCTCCAAACGTTTGGACGCGTGGGGGTTTTGAGTTATATTGCACATGTCTCGGCACACTTTCTGCAAAAACCTTCTTTAGGATGTGGGAACTGCATTTTGTTTTTGGGGTTTGAAAGTTTTTTGCGATATTCGACCACAATTTCTTTTATTATTTTTTGATGCCAAGTATAAGATGAGAATTTCAGTGTCATCTCCGGAATCCAAATAAATCTCTACGGACCCAAAGATTCCGGTGAATCGACGCCCAAACAGATCCGCCATGGCGGAAGATGGTGGGACAGAAGAGTTGGGCGAGGACGCAGGGATGCTTCCACATGATGATCCAGCAGAACCAACACGAAGATCGAGTGCAAATCAAAGCAACGGTCTGGGGAATGGAGCCAGCGGCGGGAATGTGGATGTAAGAAAAAAAATCATTATTAACATAAACCAAGTTTTAAAATACGAGGCCGTCCCCTCAAGACGTAAATTTCTGAAGTGTGACGAACATAATTAAGATAACGGTTCGATTTTAAATTATACGATTTTCAGTCCCGCCACTCCGCCAGTCCTCGCCGAATCCCTCTGTTCGAACGAGCCTCTGCCCGCTGGTGGAACCCTCAATTCGCCTCTCCCATTCTCGAAACTCAATATTGGAAGTGCAGTTTCCCCATTCTCAGGGATCGATTTCGTTCCGGGCTGGTCTACATTGCCATGACGTGTCTTTCGTGGATGATTTATTTGAAAGTTTTTGATTTCGATCAGCTTTCGCATTGGGTAATTTTTGTTTTGATTCTTGAGGGCAATTAAGTTGTCTTTGTTTTGCAGCGGAGTCGCAGCTATGAAATGTTTGAGTTTTTAAATTTTCAGGTCACAGCCAGTATCATAGTCATATTATGTTTTACCATGTTTCGTTTCACACAATTTGCTGCCCATTATCAACGCTTCTACTTGCCGACTTCTTTCTTGTGTACATTCTCTATTTGTGTGATTACTTTGTTGATCTTCTCGGGTAACGACTCTTTCATGGGGCCGGTTGCTCGGATCGCTACGAGCATTCAAGTAAGTACCACTTGCTAATACCACAGTACATAAAACATACTTTTACCAACCGAGATTTTAATTTAATTTGCCGAAGGCTTTATTTTTGCATTTATTTCAGGTGATCCTGCTCATCTACACGGTTATTCCCTTGCCATTATATCTGTGTATCGGGATTTGTGGTGTTTATACGTTGATTTTCGAACTTTTGACAACGAATAGCGGGGATCCAACTATTGCAAATGGGAAGATCACCGACGTTTCTTCCGCATACCCCGGCACCAAGCTTGTCCTCCACATATGTGTTCATCTGCTCGGGGTCCATCTGTATATCTTGACCCAAGTCCGACAACGAAAGACCTTTCTGAAGGTGGGCCAAAGTCTGTTGGCCAGAAAGGACTTGGAGCTGGAGACCCAATTCAAAGATCACATGATCCAATCCGTGATGCCGAAGAAGGTATGTTGGTTAAGGAACCTTGTAATATTATGTAAACTTTGTATAATATGTTACCTATGCTGCTTTCAGGTGGCCGACGAACTGCTGCAAGAATCAAGTTGGTTCTCCTACTTTTGCTCATTAGGTAGAGTTTGGTGTTGTCCAAGATTGGCCATTCATTTTATTTCTTTCCCAACGTCTCTTGGACATTCGGCGGGCATCGGCCGAATTGGCATGCCCTGCGGCGGGTTTCTGCTACTATAATTTTGTTTTCATCGAGGGTGTGGCTTCTCTACGGAATCCTCCTGATTATCCACCGACTCTTTTTTCTCGTTTCTGCGCCCTGGTTTTGGACAACACTTTCTCTGCTTTCTCGTGTTTGTGTCGTCTCCCCATTTTTTGTTCGCACTTTCGAAGCGGGTTACATTGTTGTAGGCAACAGTTTCGGGATTTTAATTTTTTGGGGGGATTTTTAATTGAGACCTTTTTATGACACCCTAAGTTACGTAATGGTCCATGGCGCTCTCGGGGTTTAATGAAAAAGCCAAAAAAACGTCATGTTAACAAAATGATGACTAAAATTTTGAATTTTGCCCACTGTTTTGCCTTTCGCATCATATAAGCAAAGAGAACGTTGGTCCAATAATTCTTTGAGCTCTTTAAAAGAAGATAACAAAACTTCATCCCTTTTTGATACAATTTTTGCCTCACATGTCCGTTTTTGTCTCAGCACCAACTGGTCTTATCCTGTTTGTTGGCACTTTTCCATTTCCCACGTTTTCCCTTCGAATCCCCACATTTTAGCGACCCGAAACAGCAATGCCTCCAACAACCAGAATGGGCCCAACCAACCTCGCAATTCGAATCAACTTCAAGCGGGCAACTCGCCCAGTCTGAACCAAAAAACGATGAATACGGAGCAAAGGTTCTCCGGGGATTCTGCGCAGATCTCGGTGCCGAATGTCCGAAAGTTCCGGCCCTTCACCATGAACCTGATGCAAGATGTGAGCATTCTGTTCGCGGATATTGCCGGCTTCACCAAAATGTCGTCAAATAAGACTGCTGATGAGCTGGTGAACCTTTTGAATGATCTGTTCGGTCGATTTGATTACTTGTGTGGTCGGTGTGGGTTGGAGAAGATCAGCACGTTGGGCGATTGTTATTATTGTGTGGCTGGATGTCCGGAGCCAGTGTCGGATCACGCCAAATGTTGTGTGGAAATGGGATTGGCCATGATCATTGCGATCCGACAATTTGATATGGATCGAGGGCAGGAGGTCAACATGAGAGTGGGAATTCATACCGGAAAGGTAAGAAGATGTCATTGATAAAATGCATAAAACATTAACTGTTAATGCTCGTTTTGATATGAAAATTTTATTCAAATCTAAATAATTTTTAGGTTATGTGCGGGATGGTCGGAACCAAGCGCTTCAAATTCGATGTGTTCTCGAATGACGTCACGTTGGCCAATGAGATGGAAAGCACGGGAATTGCGGGTCGAGTGCATATCAGTGAGATTACCGCTCAGTATCTGGACAATCAATATATCCTCGAGCCGGGAGAGGACCATAAAGGTAACTGTAGTCCCACTGAGCCCTGATTTGGATTATTTTTGTAATCATTGTGCCGTTTTAGGTATCAAAACATACTTCATTGCCGGCCGGTCAAAAGAATTCGAATCAGTTAGTAATCGACTGGCTTTGTCGGACTCAGAGTCACGATCAGAACCAATTGTGGATGGACAAAAGGCGAGTAGTTTACGTAAAGTGAGTTGCTTTCGCTTACCAAGGCTCTGACAAATGCTTGCTGCACTGAGTTAATAATATCTAATTAATTTAATTTCACGGTCTTTACATGCTCTTTTAAGTCATCTCAAGTTTTTTCAAGCAAAAACCCCTTAGGGAATTGACCTAAAATGGATGATTTTTAAAGTTCAAATTATAATTTTGTGTGCTTTTCACAGCTTTTGCTTTGCCCACGCATGTCCAGCATAAATCTTGTTCTGTTTCCTCAATTTATACCCAAAAAACCTCTCTACCCTCTAATACTTGCTTATCTAATCCCTTCGTAACAGATCAGCGCCAAACTTGTGGATCGAAAACGGACGGCGGACAGTGCTTCGCTGCCGATCAGCCGAGCCACAACCAACTCAACTTGCGGTGGATCTCTGCGAATGCGGCTGCTTGATCGAAGCAGCTCTCATCGGATGGCATCTAACTCCACTAATCTGCCGGCTAGAGCCATCTCCGTCCAGCAGGACACTCCCAGCTCGGCGGATCTTAACATATCCGGCGATTTGACTGATTCAACTACTAATCTCAAAGTATGTAATGTTTGGTCAGCTTACTGTTTGCGGTTTGACTTACTGTTACTGACTTAATCATTAAGAATTATTCTTAAATCATCTTTACAAATCAATTTTAGTCCCAATCCATGTGCACGATCACAAATCCGAATCTCCAGTTGGCTCCAAAGGACATCAGCGATTCTATGATGGGTCTGGCTGATAATGATGCGGCTAATTCCATCCCTTCAGCCCCAATAAAGCCCGAAGAGTCAGATGATCGAAAGGCATCAACTGCGCCGTGCTCGGCAAGAGAAAATTGGTCAGACGCTGAGAAGATTGGAGGTCAAATCTCGATAGAATTGGCGCAGAATAGCAGTACCAACAACAGTGCGAAAGGGTCCAGGAGCAGTGGTCTCCATGTAAGCGTATGTATTGTTTGCAGTTTTTCTTTCCTGGCAACGTAGAGTGACGTCAACACTTGAATATATTTTTTAATATCAAAAAGATGTTTTACACTTTATTTTAACGCCCTATTTTTTCTGTAAACCTGTTGTGATAACCATTTTTCGGCAAGTCATTGTACGTAACCATGGCCATCTTCGTGACCCCTCAAAAATTTATGCTATGATTTAGGAGCTGGCGTCTGAAACTCATTCGGTTGGTGGTTTGGACACCGCGATCTCTCATCACCACAATGCCGGCTCGCTGACTCGTTTCGATACCGACAATCGAGACTTTGATCAACGATTAGCTCAGATTCTCCAAGGCGGCGAGTCGTCGTTTGCTCAGGGATTCTGGATGCATCAGGACTCGTTAAATCGATGGACATTAACGTTTAACGAGGCTGACATTGAAGACGAATATAGGAAGCATTTTGCCGAGAGCGGAGATCATAATTCCCAAGCTGTTGCACAACGGGCTTTTAAGAATCCGATTGCCAAACATCAGCAGTTGAAAAAGAAGAGGAATCTGGATGATGAGGATGAGGAGACGGGTAAGTCAATTGCAATTGTAAAAGTTAAAGTTGGATGCTTTATATTCAACTAGGAACCGAGTAGCAACTCGCAATAAATCGCCCCTTTTAGGGATTCGAAGCACCGCCGATTCCATGGAACAGCAACTGCTGAAACACCCTCGCTATCGCTATTCGGGCGTCTTTATCGACATTCTGGTAGCCATTGGGTTTTGGTCGATCGTCGTAGGCATTGCATTCGCCACCCTTCGTCAACTCACCATCCCATTTTTGGCTTTTGTGGCCTGTTCGGCTCTGTTCTTTCTGGCCTTCATCATCATCGTTGCACTGCCTTTGATAACGCGAAAAAAGATCAGCGTCTGGTTGAATCGTTGGGGTCCTCGGCATTTCTTCGGTCTTCTGATGATACTCATGCCCTTAGGGGCGGCGGTCTTCAATATGCCCGACTGTGCGGTGGATCTGGACGATCCGGTGACCGCCGATCTTCATCGACTTGGGCTGTGTGCCACTCAAGTCATCCTGGATCAACGACTCGTGTTTTGTTACATGACTTTGATCATCATCTATGCCCATTGCAATTTCAGTCAGCTGAGAGCGTGGCCGAAGAGTGGGCAGGCGATTATTGTGGCGCTTTTGTTCTTGGCCAGCAATTTGTAAGTGGGACATTGATTGAGAAAGCAGCGTATTACAGAAAGGCCCCTGATCTTGGAATTCAATGATTTCGTTTTATTTCATGTGTTTTTAGGCTGTGTCAAGTGGAGATCTCTACACAAATTAAAGACGAAAAATTCACGAATGAGCCGAATTGCACAAAAGTATATAACACTTGGGCCAGTTCCGACTTTGCGGCGCCATTCTTTGTGTACGAACTGATAGTTGACGTGGCCTTGGCAGTGATCCTGGTGGCCTTCTTGAACTACCAGTTCGAAGCGTCGTTTAGAATGAGCTTCTTTGGTGATGTCCAGGTAACTTTTGTCAACACAATACACATTATTACCTTACAAATGTCATCTCTGTCTGACTTTTTCTAGGCTCGTCGCGATACAGCCAAAATGCGGGTAGTCCGAGACCAGGCTGACTGGTTGTTGACCAATATCATCCCTCAGCATGCCGTGGAATCACTCAAGACCAACACCAAATACTCTGAGAATCACCAAATGACCGCTGTTTTGTTTGCTTCGATCACTAATTGGAATGAAATGTATGAGGAGAACTTTGAAGGGGGCCGCGAATTCCTCCGAGTCCTCAACGAAGTTATTGGTGACTTTGATGAACTGCTCGACCGCCCAGAGTTTTGCCATGTGGAGAAAATCAAAACTATCGGTTCGACTTATATGGCTGCCTCAGGGCTTAATCCTGATCGAAGAAGGTTGGCGCTGCACCCATACGAACATATATATCAACTAATCGAATTCGCCGTCGCCTTGCAAAACGCGTTGGACTACTTCAATCAGGACCTTCTGAATTTCGACTTTGTTTGCAAAATCGGAATCAACATTGGCCCGGTAACGGCTGGCGTTATTGGAACGACCAAATTATACTACGACATATGGGGCGACACTGTCAACATTGCCAGTCGAATGTACAGTACGGGTGTTGAGGATCGGATACAAGTGAGTTTTGCTCTCTCGTTTAATTGTGGACCATTTTATGATCAATTTTTTTATTGTACTAGGCATGAGACAATTGTTTCTACAATTAGACGCTAAAATTGTTACAGGTCTCGGAAGAAACCAAGAAACTGCTAGTCGACCGCTATGACTTTGAATACCGTGCTCACATTGATGTAAAGGGAGTTGATGGAGGTATGGACACCTATCTGTTGGTCGGCCGAAAGGGTGAACCTCCAATTAATGGACCGAATGCCATAAAACCAAGCTCATTCTAGATACTGTAGGCGAAATCTGTCCGCTTATATATTAATTTAGTATGTCCTATCACAATCTACGTCTTTAAGAAGCATATTAGTTAGCATTTTTATTTTTTTGTCTTTAAAAATTTTATACTTTACAAAATCTTCCCGACTGTTTGCATACATTACAAAATCTAAGGTTTAATTTCTTCGTATTTTACCCGAAAACTGCCTGTAATATATTGTAAATGGGGAATTGCGGTGAGAAAACAAAGAATTTTACTTAGTTTAACGCCTTTTCTGTTGGATCTCAATTAAGTTTACCTAATTTTATGTTGTCAATAAATGATTGTTACCTATCGAAATATTTATTTCTACTGTTACTGTATACATGCTAAAATTAGGAATCTAATTATGTTCAGTGCTTGGACTTAACATAGTTGATGAGGGCATTTGTGGATTGGTCGTGGCTGGAGACATTGCCTGGGGCTTGAAGCTCGGAGAGGATCACCTTGGCCAATTGTTTGCCCAATTCGACGCTAAAATTATATTCACCATGATGAGTAATATATCAAACGGGCAAAACAAGGATTTGAATGCATGAAACAGAGAATCTTACCCCCATTGATCAAAGGAATTGATGTTCCAGATGACTCCTTGAACAAAGATCTTGTGTTCGTATATCGCGATCAGTGCTCCCAGGACATTGGGGGTAAGTTCGGGGAGGACAATCGAGTTTGTGGGGCGATTTCCCTCAAAGACTTTGTGAGGGAGGATCTTCGAGATCTGTTCAGCCGGAGTTCCCGCGGCTTTCAATTCGGCCTCAGCTTCAGCAGCGGATTTCCCCTTCATCAAGGCCTCAGTTTGGGCGAGGAAATTGGCCAAGAGTATCTGGAACAATCATTTCGGCCGGAAATTAGCTTACTTGATGATGTAGACCATTCTGGACGGGGTTATGGGTTTTGATGGGAGCAATAAAATCGGATGGGATAAGGCGGGTACCCTGATGGATAAGTTGATAGAAGGCGTGCTGCCCATTTGTTCCAGGCTCTCCCCATACAATTGGACCGGTTTGGTAATTCACTCGTCGACCGTCACTAAAATGACATTTTCATTAGCTTTCAGCATGACAAGTTTAGATGAAGAATAAATCCCTTACCGAGTAATATATTTTCCATTGCTTTCCATGTCCCCTTGTTGGAAATAAGCGGCGAATCGATGAAGATACTGATCGTACGGCAACAAGGCCTGAGTCTCCGCCCCATGCAAGTTGATGTACCAGACGCCCAACAAAGCCAATATAACTGGAATGTTCTTTTCCAACGGGGTTTGTGTAAAGTGCTGGTCGACAATGTGAGCTCCATCCAAAAGTTTCTCAAAGTTATCAAATCCAATGTGGACGGCAATGCTGAGACCAATGGCAGACCAAAGAGAGTACCGGCCACCAACCCAGTCCCAGAACTGGAACATGTTGTTGGAGTCGATGCCAAACTCCTCCACCTTCTTGGTGTTGGTGGATAAAGCAACAAAGTGTTTGGCAACGGCTGCTTGATCCTGAAATAAAACGAAAATAATTCCCAGATCAATGCCTTACCTTGGCAGCATCCAGGAACCATTTCTTCGCCGATTCGGCATTGGTGATGGTCTCCTGGGTGGTGAATGTCTTTGAGGCAATGATGAACAAGGTCGTCTCGGGCTTCAGTTTCTTCACGGTCTCAGCCAAATGAGTTCCATCCACATTCGAGACAAAGTGGACATTAGGACCAACTTGGAAGTGCTTCAGGGCTTCGGTTACCATCAATGGCCCGAGATCCGAACCGCCAATTCCAATGTTAACAACGTCCGTGATCTTTTGCCCAGTGTATCCTTTCCATTCTCCGGAAATCACTTGGCTACAGAATTGCTTGATGTGATCCAGGACAGCGTTCACAGCAGGCATGACCTAAACGAGCAATTTCTTCTTTTTGTCAAACCTATACCTAAAAAGTCCAAAAGAATACAAAACTCGACTTACATCCTTCCCATCGACCAGTATTGGCTTGTTGCTTCTATTTCTCAATGCAATATGCAGAACGGCTCGGTTTTCGGTGAAATTTATGGGAGTTCCATTGAACATTTGATCACGGAGACCTTCAACATTTCGGGCACGGGCCTAAAAGATGAATAACACAAATTAAATCCTGTTCACACTGCCCCTGACATAAGATTTAGACAATCGTACACGATCGTGTATTCATCCAAACATTAGTGTTTCTAATTACAAAAGAAACCATAAAAAAGGGCTTACCAAGTCGAGCAGGGCCTTCCAAACAGTGTCGTCAACCAAGTTCTTGGAGTAATCGACCAAAATATCCCCATCCTTGGTGGGAAGAGAAGTATGATACTTCTCGAAACGGTCAGGGTTCTCGGCAAACAGTTTGTTCAGGTTCAGATCTTTGGCGCCCCCATCGAAAAGCTGTTTGAGCTTCTTGAACTCATCGGTCTCGGTCAACAACGACATGATTTCCTGCAAAAACAAAATTAAAATAACTGATCCCTTCGACAATCAAGTTCGGAAATAGACTAATCGCATAGGGGAACCATCTGACACGGAACAAAAAATACATTGTTTTAGGTAACAACTATTCGTCAAATTTCAATCTCTTTCTTCTCTTCAAACGGAACACTGCGGTACAACAGTATAAAACGCCGTAAACTTCCTTTTTACATGAAATTGCATCATGCATTCGCCGTCCAAGGGCTTTTTTCTGCTAATAACAGGCATAAATGGCCCTCTTCGTGGGTTCACGTAATATTTACATAATTTCTCGATAAGAAAGCGTACCAGCAGTCTATTAAACATATAAGGCAATCAAAAACAAGTCGCAAAACACCTTTTGTGTTTATCGAAAGTCCGGGAATCGAGTGTCCCACGTCGTTTTCCATCAAAAAACCAGCCCGAAAAACGGCTCTTCAGGTCAAGAGAAAAAGGTCCAAAAACACTTTCGAACGGGGGAATCGAACGATAAAACCAAACTCTTGTTTGTGTCATGATTATGAGGCGATTACCAATAGTTCCAAACCCCGAGCACATGGAGATTAAATTTGATATAATTACAACGAGAATTCAAAACACTCTCCATTCTTCAAACTGATCAAACCTTATAGCTTGAAGCTGTTTTTTGTGGGAAAAATTTTTGCTTTCGGGCCGTTCGTTCCTTCTTTTGCCGAGAACTCCTCTCAAAACGCGTCGGGACGTTCTCTTCCGCGCGTATCATGGCCAAACTGCACGTTCTGCGGCCAGAAAAGAGAGAGAGGGAGGGCAAAACAAATTGTAAACAATTACTCGGCAAATAAAAATAAAATTTAAAAGCGCGTCAAACATACAATTCGGCTTTAGTTCAAACGATACCCTGAGGGGATTACCCTTATACCGCACGTCAACCCGAAGCGTAGCCCGACGTAAAAAAATAATTCTTTATTTCAAACATCTTGGAGATGCAAAGCACAAAATAAGTTATGTATTTATATGAGATCATTAGTTCGGGAATGACTTAGCGATAGATTTGACTAGCTGCAAGGTGATTAGCTCATTATGTTTCAATAAACAACGAAGACTATGAAATAAATGCGTGAACATTCAAATACATTAACTCTAAATACACATTCTAAACAAGAGAACCATAGACTAGTCATTCGACTACACTCTAACGCCTCCAATTTGTTCCTCTAGACAAATGGGAGCCATTTAACAAAGGCGATGGTGCCGATGAAGCAGTAGCCGAGCAAGTAGATTGTCAACAATTTGCTTGCCGTTCGAACAAAGAAATAGTTAGCGAAGAACGGTAGTACCGGGGGTTCCAGAAGATCCTCAGGGCATTTGATGCGTGGACAATGCTCGGACATGATCCGGGCAATCGTTATATACATAAAGGGAGATGATGAGAACAGGATTCTGGTGACAACCTGCAACGTTTAATAGTAGACTAGGCCATACATACGCTAAAAACACGAAACGAATATCCTACCTCAACGTTATAGAAGAACAGAGCACCAATACCAAGCAGAGTGGAATGAATTGCAAATGGTATCAAATAGGTCGTCTCACTGATGATCACGGCCCCACTTCTTGAATCAAGAGTGATATCCAGTACAATATCCATAACTCCATAAAGGAGAACAATCAAGGTCGGAGCTGCTAAAATGAATAACGGAATCTTCTTGAGTTGCCAGTACTGGAAAAGTCCAACATCCCAATAATGTTTTTGAATTGATGGATAATACACAGGTAGTAGAGAGAATTCACTTCTTTTGGTGCACCACTTTAAATTCGGCACGTCTCCAGGCAAGATTCGATTAGTGTACTCATCATGGAATGGAGGATCTGACTGATCGAAAGAGAATATTGTCGTGGATCGGCAATATCGTTCTTCTTGTGTTGTTGAGAAGGATCGAAGTGGCAGGACGATCAACAATAGACATATCAACAACAAAGGACCGTATTTCATCGCCTAAAAGTTAATGAAAAAAAAAGTTTTAAGCATTCACCTTTACCAAGATGTTACTCTTTCTCTCCCATCTGCTTCCATTGTGAGTTAGAACATCAATCATTGCCGCATAACCGATATAACCAAAGTTGAGCCATCCGTTGGAGCGTGTAAAAAAGGCCAAAGAAAAGCAACAAGAAGAAGCGAGGAATTTGAATAAGAACCCATCTGGAGATTTCTTCTCATCATAGATACAAGTCAATCCGAGCAAAGTGAACATCATGTACAAGGTCTCAGTGTAGACAGCGGAGAAAAATATTGATGCTGGGTTCACACTGTAGACGAAGATGGCCAAAATGGATTCCTTCTCAGATTTGGTGAGTTTTAGGCACAATGAATATAGCAGCAGCCCGTTGATTATAAAAATTGCCTAAAACCGCAATACTAAGTTTGGAAGCGATAACTCACATTGTTCACCAGGACTCCCCCAATAATCATGCAACTATACAAACTAAAAGAAGGTAGAAGAACCTTCAAAACCCCTCCAATAACCCTCAAGCACATCGGAAACAAAGGGAAGAACGCCAGTGTGCTCTCCCATGTGTATCCATGTTCGGCGATATGAAGGAAATGTCTTGCATCCCATCTTGTTAACCCTCCTAAAAGAGGTCGAAGCACCCGGCTCTTGGCAAAATCTAAAGAACAAGATAATTAAAATAATAAAACACTCGTACCTTCAGCCTCAACTCCCTTGAAAGCATCAGTCGGAGCATCTGGAAACACGCCAGCAATGCACTGAATAGCAAAGAGCAGCAATCTTCCAATAATCAGCTGCCGAATTAACTGTGGATATACCAGCTGCTCTGTACTCCCAGGATGGCATTCGATATCACCCTACAGAGAAAATAGAAAGCGTAAGACTACTTACCGTTTCCGAATTGTATGAGGCCACAGATCCATGATCTTGGTCTTCACAATGACCTATCCCATTCGATGTTAAGACTTCCTTTATACTCTCAACCTTCGTGGAGGTGTTAGAGGCATTTGTGTTGAGCCGAGAGCGAATCCTCCGGCTTTTCACCATGCCAGTGGTGCCTGTCTGGAAATACTAGGTAAGACAGAAGTAAAATCTTGAAGAATATCAACCAACAAGAAAAAATTTCAAAAACAACGAAAGTATACGAATGTATCTATGTGTAAATAGAAAGAAAAAAAAGGAAAGATAACTTATTTTTGAGAACCTTAGCCATGTTTGGTCCAATTGGACAAAAAAATAAAGAATTCTCAAAAAAACCATCATTCGGATTTTATGGACGACTTCAGAAGAAATTCTATGCCCCACCACGAAAACAATAAGCCATTTTTTGTTGGCTTATCGATAACACATTGTTTATGCCAGACATATCGAATTCATGAATTTACGTTCAACTCGTGGGCTTATGTGGAAGTAACATTTCATTTCGATGTTCTGTATACTGTAATTTTATGAGCTTGTTGCTTTATATTTTGACCCTCCATTTAACAATATCGGGCGCTGTTCCGTCTTTAGTTGGTCCTCTTGGCACTCTTAATGATCCTTCCAATGAAGGTTTTTATTGTTTTTGTGATAAATTTTAGTTGTCAATCTCATCTTTACGTTTTTTGTTTTCGACTATTTTTCCATTCCCAAATTGCAGTTTGTTGCTATTGATAGCGCATGCAGAGCGAGGCTTGTTTTCATGCGTTCTCCCCGCAAGCGGTCTTGTAGCCGATCAGTTTTGAGGTCTGTTTTACCTGTTTTCAATTGCTCCCATCCCGCAAAATCACATGGTTTTTTGCGAAGACAATTTCCCCTTCCGTAAAAAAAGTCTTCGTTCGCTTCATGGTGTTCATTTCTTCATCAGAAACCTCGCAGCGAGACGTGTGCTAATCACCTTTTGAGCCGTTCTTTTGTCCAATTTCGAGCCGTCTTTTATTCATTGGGTTAATGAGATCTCTGTTATTTTTCAGGTGAACCATGGCGGGATTTGCTTTGAAAAGACTTATGGCCGAATACAAACGTGAGTTTTTTGAGTTTATTGTGTTTGGAACGTTTAGAAATCGATAAAACTGACCATCAAAATTGAGATCAAAGAACATCTGCCATAGAGACAGTGATTCTTTTTTAGTTGTGTGGATGCGTTTCAATTTTACTGAACTGTGACCTCAACAACTTTACCGCAATTTTCAGAGCTGAACGCAAATCCACCAGAGGGAATCATTGCCGGTCCATCAAGTGAGGACAACTTCTTTGAATGGAACTGCTTAATTAGTGGGCCCCCGGACACCTGCTACGAAAATGGAGTATTTCCCGCTAGATTAAGCTTCCCGGAGGTGAGTCATTGAGAAATGGTTTAATTTTGACAACTTAGGTTACTGTAGAAACAAGAGACTATTGCTATTGTTCTTTCAGGATTACCCACTAAGTCCTCCGAAGATGCGGTTTACATGCGATTTATTCCATCCCAACATTTACGCCGATGGAAAAGTTTGTATATCCATCTTGCACACTCCTGGAGATGATCCCACTGGATACGAAAGCTCCTCCGAACGGTGGTCACCGGTGTTATCTGTGGAAAAGGTTCTCATATCAGTGGTGTCAATGTTAGCGGGTAAGTGGCGAGGTCTTCTTTCTTATCGTTTGTTGAATGTTTTTAGAACCCAATGATGCTAGTCCAGCCAACGTGGATGCGGCCAAAATGTGGCGCGAGAATCGGGCGGAATTCGAAAGACTTGGTCGAGATCTGGCTGTCCGAACCCTGGCCCATGCCAATTCAATCCCTCCGAAGGCTTCCACCAGTAAACCCCGTCCCTCCGGCGACAACAGTGCTCCAAAAACGAACCCACAAGAAGTTTCCGAGGCTACCCTTCAACCAAATTCTAATCCGAAGCCAAGCCCTGATTCCTTGAAGTCCCCGTCAAACTTTGTCTTTGTCCTGGGCTCCTTGATAGTTGTTTTCTTCGGGGTGTTTCTGTTTTTCAAGTTCTTCAAGACCTACAAAGTCCCCGCAATCTGATTGGTGAACAGCACAGAGGAAAAGAGAGAGTCTAATATATGTGATTGAATACGAATATTTTCTATGTATCGAATTTACAATAAATATTCCATAGAATTTTGCAGGGGTGGCCACCCGGGCCCGTTTCGGCCCGTCTTACTTATCCCGCGCTTTTTTCTGAGTAACCGGATGGCTTTGAAACTTCGGCTAGCCCTAGGTTTAGAAGGGTGCTGACCCTTCAAAATGTTATCAGATTTTTGATATCTCTTCTCCAAAACGAGATATCGCAATTGCGGGAAAAGTAAGACGGGCCGAAACGGGCCCGGGTGGCCACCCCTGGAATTTTGTATACAAGCAAGTCGGAAAGTTCAATTGTGAGCGGAATAAAGGGTCGAAGAGCAGGGGTGGTCAGTGGGCCGGGCCGGCCCGTCACGGGCCGGCCCAAACGGGCCGGCCGGGCTCAATAATGGAAAATTACAAACGGGCCGGGCCCGTCACGGGCCGGGCCGCGGGCCTGGGGTTTTTCCGGCCCGGCCCGTCTAAATTACAATGCCAAACCGTTGGCATTCATTGTTTTCGCGCCGGGAAAATTAATTGATGTTGTTATAGTTGCTGTTTCTCAAGTTCTAAAACGTTTACAAGTCTATAGTTCCATTATAAAACCATAAAACTATCACATTGATCCTTTACTAGCTATATAAGAGCGAAGGAATAAGAATTTTTTTCGAGCTCGAGAATTTTTGCTGGATTCGCTACCAATTTCAAGAGGTAGCGAAATGATCAATTTGCGACGTGGTCTCGGTAGCGAATCCTTCTTTTTGCGACCTCCGAAAAAAGTCGGTCGCGAATCGGCGTTTTCGCTACCTCCGCGAGAGGAGGTAGCAAAACGGCGTTTTTGCGACGGCGCGGATTTGGGAGGTAGCAAATCCGTGGATTTGCGACGTCCCAAATATAAACTCCGCCCCCTGAGTTTTACAGCCAACCACCGCGTTTTTGGCCTTTTTTGACAGAAAAACACCATTTATGGTGAAAAATTTTGCTTGTAAATCGTACATTTACGAAATTATGAAAGAAAAACGTCTTCTTTGTTAAAATATTTATTAATAAGAGACGTACATTTTCGTATAAAACATGAGTTTTTTTTACAACATTGGCCAAGTCTTGCCGGAGAGTCGATGGATGGAACTGAAGAACATGTTTTGCCAGATATGGCCGAAGAGACGAGGGATGGATTGAAGATCATGGCCGCTAAATGATCTTCCTGGAAATTAAAAGCAATGTAAAATTTCCTTATCATTTTCAGAAAAAAAGACCTTCATTTACCTCATAGTGCATGTGTCTAATCCGAGCATCGAAATGGGCATAGTTTTGGGCAAAAACACGGCCGACGGGAGTGAAAAATAATTCCAGGTAACAATTTATTACCTAAAAACAAAATAAGAATCCTTAAATCCGATCTTACCTCCTTTAGCAACTACCACACGGCCTTTCTCTTGATCGACTTCATGATTTTTGCCTCCTGCAAACGATTTATAAGACTCTTGCCATGAATAATATAAAAAAAATTGGAAATCTCTTCTAAAATCAAAAAATAATAACAAAACAGCTTACCATGGAGTCAAAAAGCCTTGTTTGCCCGCCAATTTCGTCCCCGATGTTTATGGCGATCACCTTGAGTCGGTTTATCTTCTAATTCAGCTTCTCTGCATCTATTTGGCCAATTTCAACAAAAGGAAACAAGAAAAAAGAATTTATGAAGTGGCGAATGTTTTCGCGGCCCGTGAAAACGAAATGCCACGCACTCCAAGAACGGATTTTAGGTTCAATTTTCGTGGGAGTTCTGTTCATTCAATCCGAATTGAAGGCAACTGAAGGCCTAATTCCTGGTTTTTTGGCCATGGTAAATCTGTTTTGTTATTATTTTTTGATTTTAGAAGAGATTTCCAATTTTTTTTTTATATTATTCATGGCAGGAGTCTTATAAATCGTTTGCAGGAGGCAGAAATCATGAAGTCGATCAAGAGAAAGGCCGTGTGGTAATTGCTAAAGGAGGTAAGTGGATTCAAGTATTCTTATTTTGTTTTTAGGTAATAAATTGTTACTTGGAATTCGGTTTCACCTCCGTCGGCCGTAATTTTGTTCAAAACTATGCCCATTTCAATGCTCGGATTAGACACATGCACCATGAGGTAAATGAAGGTCTTTTTTTCTGAAAATGATAAGGAAATTTTACTTTGCTTTTGATTTCCAGGAAGTTCATTTAGCGGCCATGTTCTTCAATCCATCATCCCTCGACTCTTCGGTTATATTTGGCAAAACATGTTCTTCAGCCCCATCCATCGACTCTCCGGCCGTATTTGGACAATATTGTGGAAAAACCGCATATTTTATACGAAAATGTACGTCTTTTATTAATAAATATTATAAAGATGAAGAGGGACGTTTTTTTTCTTCATAATTTCGTAAATGTACGATTTATCAGCTAAATTTTTCACCCTAAACGGTGTTTTTCCGTCAAAAAAGCCAAAACGTGATGGCTGAAAAACTGAGGGGGCGGGGCTTATTTTGGGACGTCGCAAATCCATGGATTTGCTACCTCCCAATTTTGCGCCGTCGCAAAAACGCCGTTTTGCTACCTCCCAATTTTGCGCCCTCGCAAAATGGCCGATTTGCTTCCGACGTCTTTTTTGGAGGTTGCAAATTGATCATTTCGCTACCTCTTGAAATTGGTAGCAAATCCAGCAAAAATTTTCGAGCTCGAAAAAAATTCTTATTCCTTCGCTCTTATATCAACACCTTTTTTGCCTAAGTTTAGATCCCAAGCTTGGGCGCAGTTCGCAGAACCCTCTATAAACGGGCCTGCACGGGCCGGGCCAGGCCCGTCACGGGCCGGGCCGGGACGGGCCTGGAAAAAGACTAGACGGGCCGGGCCGGGCCGCGGGCCGAAAATCGGAAAAATAGGGTCCGCTGACCACCCCTGTCGAAGAGAAACTTCGCAATCACGCATTTTCTGGACGAAATGAACATATTTTTTAGAGATGACGTATTTTATAGAATATCTCACGAAATTGCGAAATTCTCGGGGATTCATCGGAACTCTCCGCCTTCTTGGCCACCCGCAGGCAATACGGCTGCGATCCGTCATCAAAATCGAGGTAACGACCTCGGCTTCGATTACTAGTCAGTTTCAAACTCAACTTTCTCAAAGGATGTCCGCTTCTCGAGTGTCTCTTCTTGTCCTCCTCGCTGTGTTGGTACCGTCCGGCCTCTCCGCCTATGCTCGGCAATGTGCGTGCGATGATCTGAAGCCATGTGCAGACAAGATTTCCACTTCCCTTCCTCAATGTGCAGGGTATTGTTCGGTGAGATTTGGGGATGTGGTTGTAGTTGGGTTGGGATGCACTGTTTTTGGTATGAAAGTTTATTGGTGGATTGCTCGTGTAGTGTCCGAGCTTTCGGTCGTAGATTTACTTTAGGTTTTCTTTTTCGAAGGTCTAAAATCAAGTCGTTTCTGGAATTTTTCGAGTTCTCAAAATGGTCTTGCAAAATTATCTGCGAACTCCTGTTTGTTCTTTACAGTTTTACTGTTATTTATCAGTTGTTTATTTTGCCTATAATTTCAGCCACAACTGACCGCAATTGGAGTCAACCTCACCGAAGCTGACGAATGTCTCCAAGTGTTTGGCCCAGAATTCAACGCCACCGTAACCTGCATCGGCAACGAGTTTGCCAACAGTTGTCTGAAGACCCCTTCCGATCAGAACCCCCTCATTGCGAAGCGCAACCCCGATTCATTGAAGCTGGCCGTACTCGGCGAATTGAACCGTTGGATGTCCAAGAATGGTGGTGTTCAGCTGAAGCAAACCATCTCACAGACGCTCTCCTTCGCCGTGTGCACCAAGAAATGCCTGGACATCCGAACGGCGAAGTGCGCGAGCAAGTTTGATTGTGCTTTGGAGCTGCCTTCCGATCAGGCCATCATCGACACCGCCAAGCGTTGCATCAACAGCTCGTGGGATACCGAGAAAGCTCAGGCCCTCTGCTCCTGCCTTGCTGAATCTGGATTCCAGAAGTTGACGGATGCCTGCCCAAAGATCACCATCGGCAACGGAAAACAATGAAGAGCCTCGAAGAGGACACAACTCACTCTACTCACACTGTATAGGATTTTGAATCCATTTTTTTATCGTTTACATTGCTTGTCAAATACTACTGCCGCTGTAAATACTGTTTAACAGAATAAATATAGATGGACTTATTTGATAGATTATTTGACTTGCACTAGTTGTCTAGAAGAAAGTTCAAGATAGAAGGTTTGACCGTTGCTGAATCGGTTTGTTCTCCCGCTGGCTATGCGCGAATATTCGTCGTATTTACGCAGTTTCAATCAGCCGTTTTCGTCACACTGACGGCAAAAAGGACGTGTAGGAATTCCGTCATCCTGCTCAATTATTCTGTCTTGTCCCCGAATACGACTTTTCAGTAGTTGGTAATTGATCTCACCTCACAAAGCCCTGGTTGTCAAGTGGCCAAACTGTCGGATTTTCTGAATGGTTTATTGTCCCTCCGAAGGTGGCAATATCCTCTCCAAATGCTTCGAAGATGGACTTCAGACGTCAAATTTGTATCTAAACTGATTGTTTTCTTGTTTCTGGTCAGTGCAACAACTGCGGAAGATCTGGAATGCGGAAAGACCAAGTACAGCGACGGTTTCTCTAGAATTCTTCTAGGTGTAAGTTTACTTTACTTGTGAACTGATGTTTATAAACGTAAAAGTTGCCAAGAAGGCATGCATACTTTTGAAAACCCTTCTCGTACCTTTTTCAGCGCTTCGTTTGTTTTTCTTATTTTAGACAACAAGTACGTCTTTCAAACTCGAATTTTGATTCAACCAAATTTACAGCTGCTTTCCTACGATCGCCACGAAATATTGCGCTTGTTATTGCGCTCCTTACTCTTACGTCTGGATTTTATTTATCCCGCGTTGGCTCCGTTGTTTCCCGTTGACCTTCTATTTTCAGAGTTCAAACCATAGAATAGTGGGTGGATTTGAGACGAAAGTGAATGCCTGGCCATGGATGGCGGAGATCTTACGAGGGCGGAACCATCAATGTGGCGGCGCATTGATCGACAGCGAGTTTGTTCTGACTGCAGCTCACTGTTTCTTGAAGGGGTAAGATACGTTCTTTCTTGTCATTGCGTTTTTAGAGAGAATCCTCGGCATTACTCTGTGCTTCTCGGTGGCCATGAAATCTTTGGAGGGAAGCGGTTTCGAGTACTCAACATTACTCTTCACAATTTGTACCACATCCGAGAATCTGCTTATGACATCGCCATTATGAAGTAGGTAATTGCTTGCGTGTTCAAGACATATTTTTTGTAATTTTTATCTGTTGTTTGCTGCAGGATTTGGCCCCCAGTGAGGATGAACCAGACGATAAACAAGGTCTGTCTCCCCAGCTTTGGTCCACCAGCAACCCATACTATGTGTGTGGTGACTGGATGGGGTCGGATGGAAGAAGATGGACCTGCATCGCCAGCTCTGCGAGAGGCTCATGTTCCTATTGTGTCTTCGATCACTTGCAATGACCATCGGCATTATCAAGGACGAATATTTCAGCCGACTATGATATGTGCTGGATATGCGGATGGGAAGATTGACGCTTGCCAGGGGGATTCGGGAGGACCATTGGTTTGCTGGAACAAAAACGCTTGGGAGTTGCAGGTTAGGATTCTTTATAATGTCTGAAGTTTAAGGTTTGTATTTCATCGGGGAGGTTTAATTAATTCTCTTCTAGGGGATTGTCAGCTGGGGAATTGGCTGCGCGGAACCAGGCCATCCAGGCGTTTACACTCGAGTCCACGCTCTAACGTCATGGGTGAAACTACAGATGTTGCTACTGAAATAACGCTTCACAAACTTTCACCTTAACATAAAATGTCTTGTAATTATTTTGGAACTTCATACTTAACCTATTAAAACGGGTAACCTATCTTGTTGAAATATTTTCTCTATCAGTCATGGCTGCAGGTTATTTTTCGTTTGATTTTTGATCCATTGCTTCGTTGTTTTATAGAATTTCGCGACAATTTCGCCTTTTCTGTATGTTTTTTTCAAAGATTTCTGACGTCTTTGTTTTTACCTCACCCGTTAGTGACATCCGATATTGGACTTATTGCTTTTTTTTTGTCGAAAAATGATTGATCCGTCGTTTCATATCTTGTGACTCTATTACTTCACCGTTCCGCTTATCCATATCGATTATCCCGCCAGAGAAGGCGGATCGGTGAACTACATTATTTGACTGATCATCGTTAATGTAGGGGTTGAAAAGATCACGGATTTTGTTGTCTTTCTGGTTTCATATTATTAGAAACGATTAGGTGTCTGATGAACTTAAAAATTTACTTCTAAGCTTTTGAAATCCTGTGGTATTTGATGAATTCAAAAGGGGACTCCCGGAAGTGAGTGGGAGATTTCTGAGTCATAATCAAGTCTGAGGCCGTTTATTATGATTTTGATTTGTTTATGTCTTCCAAATATTTTTTCCGTCATTACCACCACGAAGTTTCCAGTCGGTTGTTCTCTTGTCATTGGGAAATACTGACGGATAACTTTACACTGTAATAACGTTGAGCATCGGTGATCGATGATGACGACTTTCCAAGACCGCCCGGGGCCATAGTGATTTTGCTGAATGGTTTTTTGAACTTTCTTGGAAATAAGTTTAGGTCGGGTTTTGAACTGCTGGATTTTGAAGTTCGAAAATGCAAATCCATCTCTGGTAGCTGTTTTTTTTTTGAATGTTTTCCTGAACCTTTGTTTTGAGTAATTTTACGAGACGATCACACGATCTTTATTAAACATTCATCAAATATTTTAAAGTATTTGGAGAAATAAGACTCGATCAAGTTGACAAAAAATGATGATTTGCGAGACATTCCATCGACGGTCTACTGTAGAAATAAATATCAACGAAATTTTTTATGGAAACCATTACAAATGCCTTTGAAATCCGAACCACTGAAGTATGTTTGAAACGTTTGGATAATCGGAAAGGATCTCATTGTGTAATTGCCGAGGCCTTGTCAATTGCATCACATTTTTCTTACGTTCAGAACAATTGAATTTTTCTTTTTAAATTTCCAGGTGCGATCGAACTCTATGATCTTCTCCGGGATGCCCCGCATTTCTTTTCTTTCTTACCTCCCCGTCTTTTCCAGTGTAATAAACGCACGGTACGGTGCATTTGGAGGTTAGAGGCGGTACAGTTTGAGAGCAGAGGGTTTGTTTGCAGAGGTTATGACCAAAGTATTAATGAAATTGTAAGAAATCGAAGGGCACGCGAGGGATGACTAATAGTTGACTTGTTGGCGAATGGGCGGTTGTTACCGGTATACCGGCTTTTTAGGGAACATGATTTTTGGACACTGTCGTATTTATTTATAGTTTTCAATGCAGAAGTCTCATGTTTCAAAAAAAACGTGAATTCGTCATATAAAACGTCTCTATATTTCATCTAATGGGTAAGATAAAATATTCTGATATCACCGGAATCGGTCATTCGAGTTTCTCTGTGCGTACGAAAATTCGCACGTGAAGGACAACATTACACTGCCTTCTCGCTATGATTTGATCCGATTGCACTGAATGAAGTGCAATGGAAACTTCGGGAAAGTCGGAGAAAACCCATATGATCACTCAAGAGGGATTTGGCAAAAAATATGCAAATTCTGCAGATTTACGATACTTTTTATGCTGTGACGGACCGTAAGGGTATTTAAGGAGCGTTTAACAGCTGTTATATTATATTTCCATTTCAAGTAGCGTACCGCTTTATACTTTAGCTTTAAAGCTCCAAACGAGTAGTACTGTAAATAGTATTGGGAAATAATCCGGCCGAAAACGATTTTCAATGGTCATTTGTCGGGGAACGAGTCGGCCACTCTTTCCTCATCACTCTTTACCCAAAAAACTGATTTGCAAACATCGCAGTTTTAAATACTTTCCGGTTACTCTTTTGTCTATTGTTACTGAGACAAGGGAGCTGAAAGAGATCGGAAAGTGACTTCAAAGAACGCCCACCGGCTCGGAGGTTGTTCGCTGTTGTTATGGGTACAATTTACAGTGTCATTAGGAAAGGCGGGTTTTTACATTAGCTCTGTCCTGAAACATAATCCTATAAATGAGAGATCTTGAACGCCCACTGGTATGTGTATAGTGAAAGTTTGAGCTTTTTTACTGTTTTGGTGGATCGTATCCTCCTTTATAATATATAGGTTAGTTCAATGCTTTTTTAAAACTAATCTTCACTATCCGTCTATATGAGTGCATTGAACTTGCAGGGTTCGCTTGAAAGTTGTAAAAACTCAAGTGGCTAAAAAATTTTATTATCTCGCGAACTTTACCAGTCACTTGCTGGTGCTTTTTGTTTACTCAAACGAAACTTCTGGATGACAAAAACGACTGAACTCGCCGTGCATATGACATGTAGATAGCAATCCCAATGCACTCATTGTTCGATCATACGCTTTGTATGTGTTATCAGAGCAACGGTTTCCGTTTGATCTTCAACTTTAGTTGTGACTAGATGGGAATCGTCATATTCACATGTTTTTGACAAGGAAAGTACTTCTATGGGGTGTGGAATTACCGATCGAGATATATATCAAAAAATTCGCAAAAATTTTCTGATTCAGAATATATATAAATTAGCTGCCTAATTTTGGTCTGATGACATGTTTTTGTCCTCAGAAGTTTTCTCGCGACACAATGCAAGTGTCTTTTTGACCGTGTTTTTACCAATAAAAAAAATTTGTTTTGTGCTAAAATAAATTTTGAGGCCTTGACAAGCCTTAAAATATCAAATTGGATTACAACTACACCTTAAAAGTAGTTCTAATGTAAAAAATGGGTTCTAGTGTGGCAAAAGGAATCGAACCCGTCCCCTTCGGATTCCCAATCTAGCGCTCTAACCACTCGGCCACACCGCTCTCTTCCGAAGGAAGAGACCGAGCGCGCTTTTGTTGCCGTAGATTTTTTTCCTCGAGAAATACATTCATCGATAAAACTCGTTGATAGACCAAAATTAGGCAGCTAATTTTTATATATTCTGAATCAGAAAATTTTTGCGAATTTTTTGATATATATCTTGACCGGTAATTCCACACCCCATAGAAGTACTTTCCTTGTGAGACCAAATATAAATAATACAGTTGTCTTCTGCACAAGTACCAGTAAAAGTTTAGAGCCGTCTATTTTTCCACTGTCCTAATTCTATGGGCAGATTGGTAAGCACTCAGGCAACGAACCTTCGACGTGATTGTAGAAATTGCAAGAATTTATGACTTTGATATTCAAACCTCTGATTTCAGAGCAAAATTTTATTCTGTAAAGGACCTTTGACATTTCTGTTTCTGCTGACATGGACAAGAACTTTACGTCTTTTGTTATTTTTTCAGACATGTCTGCTCAAAATCCCTTTGATCATCAGTCAAAAAGCGCCGGCCAGATTTGAACTCATCTCCTGACCTATCAAGCTTTTATCTGTTTTTGTTTTTGAAAGGAATGGCATGATGATAGGCTTTGTTTTGTCTACAATGCCTTATCGCATCCATTTTTTCGTAATTAGCATTGTTTCTGAGTGCAATGCGCCCTCAGGTTCCGGGTGTGTTATCAGAAGACGGGAAAACATTTGGTGTTTGTTTCTTTGGTGTTTCGGGAATTGATAGCATCTTTGTCAGGGAAAATGATACAGTATAATAGCTATATCGTATTAGAAGTTGAGTTTTTTGGGAGCATTATTGACTCTGGGTTGAGGAGTTTTGGTTGAGTTAGAAACCATCAAGTTTGTTAATCTCACGTACTTCAGCACGAATGGTTTTCACTACTTTTTGATTGGTTTTTAGCCCGTAGACCTTCAATCTACCGTACATTCCTTATTAAACTTTATTACACTCAAATTGCTAGGTCATATGAAGTGTAGTTTAGGTGTAACCAACTTATTCTCGGTGCAGCAGTCTTTCCGGTCCCGGCAATCTTTGATCCCCTTGCCCCGTTACTGTCTCGACATTACACTAAGAAAACCGTTGATTTTGTGTGGCCTGCAATATTAATTTTTTCATTTTGGAAAAACGAACTTTGTTACACCTGAAAATATTGTTTTTGTAGAAGACTAATTTTACGAATTGATCGATAAAACTGTTTATTTTTGCTCAAGGCTTTCGAATTTTCTAGACATTTTCCGCCAAAAAATTATCTTTATCGCTGTTTACAAAATTTTTTCTTTGTATCTTTTTCCTATCAAGCCGTGTTTCCCCATATTCTTGTGACGTCATTTTTTACAAAGCGATTTGACCTTGTCAAATTAAAAAACAGATTCGTTTTTGATGTTACAGTACCACCAAGTAAAACTTTTTCTCGTCAAAACATCGCCTTCCGTGATTTTCAATATTTTTTTGGGAGAGAAAAAGAAGAGGGTGTCGCCTAAATTATGTTCCGCCAAAAAGGGGTGTCGCTTGGGCTCCTCAATTCAAATTTGAAAGCTTTATAAACCGGGGATGGCTTCGTAAGATCATAGACAAGGTCTGGGGATCTGCCAGCGCCTTACAGTTAAAGGAACCGTAGTTGCAAAGTAATCGTCCCTCTAGAAAAATCTTTGGGCGTCTTTTGCTAAATTAGAAGGGTTACAGGGAGTTTAAAGTATGATGCTATACTTCGCAACGTGCATTCTCAAAAGATTTATTATTATTCGTAATTGTCCTTTGAAAATCTAATCTTAAGGTTACCTTTGTAAAAAATGTTGACACTCTTTTCGAGTATTTTTCACGGGTTTACAGTAAGATTCCGGCGGTTTGATGATCTTATGCTTATATGGCCGTATTTTCAGTAAACCGAATCCAAGACGAGAGCCGGCTCGTCTCTAAATCCACCATGCCTCCAGTTGATATCTCCGCCAACTCTCAGGACACTCTGCAAACTCCCCGGATTGGTCAAGGTCTTCCAGTTACAACCACAACAACTCTTCCTGGCTTACAGATAAATTTGGAAGATCCAGAGAAGCCACAGAACAGTGAACCTTCCACACGGAGCACTTCAATCCTAAGCTCGGATAAGTCCCTCAATGAAGCAGAAACGGCAGGATTCTTCTGTTGTGGCAGAACCCGGTATATCGTGATGTTGGTATCGATTCTCTGCTTATCCTCGGTGATTGCAAACTCTTTGGCCTTGAATTTCACAGTAATTTGCATGAAATGCACCGACAGCTCAAATGGAACCGGTAAGTCTTAAACAAAAAGATTATATCCCCGGAATTTCAGAATTGTTGGACATTAGATCACCAATTATGGTGTAAGATTTGAATTTATTTTTTAATCTAACTTTCACCATTTCAGAAATCAAAAGAGACATGTTCACAGACTTTGAGAAGAGTTGGCTCTACTCAGCGATCGCTATGGGAACGATCTTGGGAACATTCCCCATCACCTACTTGACCTCTACTCTTGGTGTGAGGAAAACATTCACCATGTATGGGGGTGTTTCTGCCATCGCCACGCTGTTAACACCATTGGCTGCTGAAGCCGGATTCTTCGCCGTGTTCTTGGCACGATTTATGCAGGTAAGATTGATTAGTAATATTTTTTATAAACAAAATTTTCCAATTACTTTCTCTTCAAGGGCTAACTTTTCAGCAATGCTTCTAGCTTTCGATCGTAAATTTCTATAATAATGTTAATCAATTTAATAATTGCGTTGCATTATGAACGCATGACGAAACGACCTAGTTTTTAGTTTGTGTAATTGATAAGAGCTTATCGAGTATTCACGAAAGGACGTCATAATCGCATTTTTTGGAGTTTAGAGGGCCAGGATTTGCGTGGGGGTTGTAAATTTAGATATATTAAGCATTTCTCTGGATGAAACTAATTAATCCCACATTTTCAGGGCTTTGCTGTGGCGACATCATGGCCAGCAATGGGATCGATCATCGCCGATTGGGCTACCTGGAAGAGAAGTGGGACTTACGTCGCCTATTTGTCATGCCACCTCCAGTTCGGCCCCATGTTATCCATGTTTTTGGGTGGAATGTTCTGTCACAGTGAGGTTGGCTGGGCCGCGTTGTATTACCTACTCGGAGGGCTGACGATTGTGACATTTTCTCTTTTTTACGGGTTCTACAGAGATTCTCCAACTATTCATAAGTAAGTGAAGTGAAGGCTGTTTCTGGCTAGTATTATTATGTTATTTCAACTTATTTTTGAGGTCAATGAACTTTGCTTTTTTACAGAAATGTCTCGTCGAAGGAATTGAAAACAATTACCAAGAACAAAACAACCTACGCTCCTCAACGAAATGGCTCGGTCAAGATTCCTTATAAGGCGATCTTTACGGATTGGACTGTGATCGGAATCTTGATGACCTGCTTCAGCTCCAACCTTGGCTATTTGATCTTCAATCAGTACGGACCCGTCTATCTGAACAAAGTCCTCGGATTCGAAGTCAAAAAGACCGGAATGGCCACAGCCCTCCCTTACATCATCGGAACTTTCGTCAAGATCCTGGCTGGTCCTTGCAGTGACAGCGTTCCTTATTTGGGCAACCGAGGACGAGTCATCCTTTTTGCGACGGTTTCTCAGTTCCTGATGGGCGCTTGCTTCGTGGCCTTGGCTTTCTGTCCAGCCGGAATGCCTGAGCTGGCTCAAGTTTTCTTCACTTCGGCCATGGTTTTCAGCGCTTTGAACTGTGTGGGAGTCTCGAAGTGCACTCAATTGGTAAGAGTTTGATAGTTTTTACTGAGTTGTATGTATTTATAACTAATTACTATTAGTCAAAGATGCATGGGCTCGGTTCTAAATTGAACTGTTGTTGTGTAATATAAATGAATTTCAGATCTCCGGTCGATATGTCCACTTCCTAATGGCCCTCAACTCATTCACTAACAGCACAATTGTACTGATTCTCCCATTTGTGATCGAGTTTTTGGCCCCCGACAACACTCGCGCTCAATGGACTCGCGTTTTGGTCGGGATTACGGTAATTGTTGTCAGCTTTACATTGGTGTTCGATTTCAACGCCAAAGGAGAACCACGGCCTTGGGCAATTGAATCGTCCGTGACCAGTGACCCCATCAAAGTCCCGACCATCTCCAACGCCTGTTTGGTTGAGTTGGATGCAAATCACTTGACCAAGTCAGAAAAGGATGCGGAGTTACAGTAATCCATTTGATTGTTTTGATAGTTGTTAGTTCATAGATTATGGGGTAAGATACCATGCAATGTGACTATGTCTTCATATATTGTTTCTGAATTCTTTGCAATATTACACTGCATCTAGTATAATATGTATACATACAAATATCATCTCATAGACTTCTGTTTTTACTTACCGTTCTTTCACTTTTCTTTTCTCATTTTATAAGGTCTATGTTAGAGTTTACGGACCTCAATTATTCGACTTTTCTACTTGGACAACTGGGTTAATCACCAATAATCGAAATGGGTAACTAAATTAGTTTTATCTTTGTTTGATGTTTAACGCCATATTGTTGTATCGATCCTTCATTGACAACGTCGTTATGATTTTAACGGAATAAACCTTGATTCAGAATGGTTACGATTTGATTGTGATAATGACATGAATAATATAACTTTTGTTAAAAAAATTGATTTAATTTTTTATGACAACTTATACAAAGCTAATTAGAAGTCGTCCTCAGACTATGTTTGCAAGCCAACCCAGCGTAGTCGAAAAGTTATTTCCTGACCAAGATTTAATCAATGTGGCGTTTCGTCACATGCATAACAGAATTCTGGAGAAAATCTGGCTGTTTTTTCTTGGCTAGCTGTGACAAAGCCTTGTTTTTCTGGTCAGAAAGTAACGTTCTAAATTGTTCTTGCTCTTTTTAGATCACTTTTGTCCTCCAAAACTTCTTCCGGAAGAATTTTGATATCTAAAATCTTTGGTCGGCGGATAATGTGGATGAAACGTCTAAAACTTTCAGGAAATGCGCTGGATTAACGTGGTTTGTCCCCTTTCCTTACCGTATTTGGCCGAGCACACCTGTTCCGCAATGCATTATCCTTCTTCTGCCTAGTGTATGGACGCTGCCCTCGATTCATTGTTATTTTTTTATGTGCCGGACTGACCCGAGCCCACCGGAGTTGCGCAACAACCGACGCTCACCGCAAAACCCTGACGCATATGCGACCCGGTGAGGTAATTCGCAACGTCGAGAGATGATGGGATCAGCAGAGAGGGCAGAGAAATTGGGGATGTCCCCAGACGTCCGGGATCAGCCATCGACTTGACCTGATACTTGGCGGTTTCTCCGGTTATCTGCTCATTGCCAGCAAAAGGTACGAAATTTGTCTGCGGTTGGTGATATTGGTTTATTTTTTGTTGCATTAGATGATTTGAATTTTTTTCTCAAACAGGAGTTTTTGGGGAAGATGGAATTTGTCTGTCAAAAAAAAAGTCTTGGGCAGTAACAGATGATTTCACGCTCATTATAGTTAAAATTGATTTAGTTTTTCGACGTTTTATGGACTTCTGGGACATTTGCTGTACTAAATTCACTTTGATTTTTAGGATTTCAACTTTGTAAAGTTCCCCAAAAAAATTTTAATTTAGCATTTTCTTGCCCAAAAGGCATCTCGTTCATAATTTTCCATTTTAATTTGCCTCAAGTCCTCCGCCGTCGCCTTGTTTTGCATCCTCCGGTTATCTGTTATCGAACCCGCTGTGAGCGGTCTTGACCTTATAACCTCTCGGTGTTTGGGCAAATTTGTAATAAGGAGGTTGTGCCTTTTTTGGGGAGTTGCGTAACATTTGGCGCCCTTTCCTCGACGGCGTTGGTTGAAGAATCGCTGAGCTTTGGGGGAGGAGAGGGGCTCGGTCAGTGCGGTCAAAGCCGAACACGAACCGGGGTGAGAGGGTTGTGGATCGAGAGATAAGGTGCTCAGGGCGATGGTATGTTGGTTATCTGACCTTGTTTTACTTTTGGATTAACAGTTGAATCTTGTTGTAGTAGAACATGACTTACTCTGTGAAGTCGTCCAATATTTAAAAAATTTTTTTGATCAAGTTGTAATTGTAATTTTCGAACGATATAAACGATCTAAGTATTATCTTCTATGTCGATAAAATCTCTATTAAAAAGATTTCTCTTCAGGTCATGGATAATGTAGGCGCTCCGGATGGGATTGAACGTCCAACCCCGGTGTATGCTCCCTTTACGCTTCCCAATGTCCTAGGACAACCACAGCAGCCCATTGATCCCACATTATATTCCTTGTTGTTCCAAATGTATCAAAGACAAATGCCCTCCATACCAAACTTAGAGCCAACAATTCCATCGCAGATTGTTGAAGATCAGGGAGTTCCAGAGCAATTGCATAAAGAGGAGTCTAAAATACATCATGATGAGGTTGATTCGGGCAACGAAACAAGTTCCATTGGGACTGGATCGGGTTCAACTTTGTCATCAAGGTAAATAATTGTCGTCATTCCAATTAATAATATTGTTATACTTAATTAATTTGTTTGTTTTAGATCCAATTCAATGTCCAATGACTCGAGTTTGAAACAAAGAGCATTGAAGGCCAAGATGGCCACGATTAAAGAGGACCCCGAGAAATCCATGCCATTAACTCCCAGTTCCAGCACATCTTACGAACATCCACCAACATTATTACCGGCAGATCAGCTGTTGCTAACTCCGGCTACAAATTCCACAACCTCCGAGAAGATGGAGCAAAGGGATGACACTCCAAAGACTACAGTAACCCAAGAGAATTGTCCGTTTCCCGATTTGGCGGCGGTTATGGGATCAGCTGACTTTGGATTCTCTCAAATGATGGCAATGGCCAGCGGAAATGAGGGATCCTTCTCTCAGAATCAAGTTGTGGGATCTCCAGGACCTTCAAGGAGTCGGAATAATGACGCGGATGAAGGAAATGATGAGTCAAAGGAGAACCGGACCGAAATTGTGGGAAATAAGGAAACTGTAGTTGATAATCAGTTGAATGGACAAGGTAGGAAACGGTTTTGATTAATGTTTTTCTCTACCGTAAATGTTATATTAAAAGCTTCTATTCCAGCCAATCATACGACTCCAGTCCGTCCTCGCACAGAGCTCCATCAACCTCAACTCCCACCACACGGCGCATTCGCTCAATTCCCCGCACCTCCATTCCCAATGCCCCCGGGATTCCCGGGATACGGTGTGCCTCCTAATTCACTCCCCAATGGCCAGCTCCCACCTCCACCAGGCTTGCATCCAATGTTATTCCAGCCATATCAGAACTACCCTCCTCCCGGCCCAATGCCAGGATTGTTGAACAATTATTCCCCTTTCCAACAGTTCTTCCCCTATCCGATGGGATACCCGTTGATGTTTCCTGTTAGCGAAACGTGCAAGATTTGTGGAGATCAGTCGAGTGGATACCACTATGGGGTCCAGAGTTGTGAGGGATGCAAGGTAAAACTTTTTTTATTAATTTTTGGAAGACTACGTATCACATTTTGTGACCATTTTCTAATTCCAATATTTTCAGGGATTTTTCCGTCGCTCCGTCCAAAAGAAGACTCAATATCAATGTAATCGCGATAACAATTGCATGATGAACAAGCAGAGCCGAGTTCGTTGTCAGAGTTGTCGATTCAATAGGTGCATTGAGTCTGGAATGAAGCCGGAGTGTGTGAAACAAGACCGTCAACGGAAGAACGAAGCCGACCCGGAGAACACGAAGAATGTGGAGATGAACAGAGCCATTAAAGCCGCGTATGATAATGCGTTCTGTGGACCTCTGGGAACACAAGCAGAAGTGACCAATGCCTTGTTGAATTTTATAAATGGGATTGATCCGTTGAGAAATATGAAAGAAGAGGATAAACTGCAGCTGATCAGGCAAAGGGGAATGGCGGTGCTGGTAAGTTGATAAGGCAAAGATTTATCGAAGATACTTCTAAAATGATATAAAATTTTCTTCAATTTCAGATGCTCCGTGCAATCTACGTTGATCCCTCGCTGAAGCCGCTCTGTGAATCCAAAGTTTTCACAAACTTCATGAACTTGAAGCCCGTTGCTATTGACAAGCAAATCCACGCTTTCTCGGCCTATGTTCTGACCTGCGGCCTCATTTCTGATCTCTCTCCGAATGGTCGTGACATCCTCTCCCCATTCACTGATGCCTTACCAGGATGTCTATACGTCCATGTCGCCAATGTATATACTCTCAGCATGGATGGGTTCACAAAATTACTCTCAGATCTCTCGACTTTGTATGCAAAATAATCAGATGTAATTAGAATAAAAATATTGTTTGATACCTGATCTTGAGACAATGTTTTAATAACCGATAGGCTCTAAACTCAGAAGAAAAGCTGGATGGACAAAGAATGAGATCAAAAATTTGGATATAACCCGAAGAAAGGCGTCATTTACGAGCCTCCGTTTATTCATATCAGCGAAGAAAATGGGCAATGTCCACTCGCGCGCTGACCTCTGCCCCTCTTTTTGTTTTGATTTTCCTTCGAAGTTTACACTAGATAGTTGGTATCCAAGAGCTTGATGATGAGTATTTGAAATTTTTAACCATTGCATTTTACTTTAGATCATGGGCAAAGACCCTGAGGAGAAGATCGCCGGCGTTGTCAAACGAGAAAAGCAGAAGAAACAGAAGGATGCCAAGATCGCAGAACAAGTGACTGAAGCGGCGTCAAGCGCGGAAAAGTTGAAAGATCTGCGCGCTTTGTCGCTCCAAGAGTCAGGACATCCAAAGTTGGATGAACCAGGAACATCGAAGTCATCAAAATTGCTAACCAAAAAGACGGTTCATTTGAAGAAAAAAGTTGGCCAACCAAAACACGGAAAAGCCGGCGGTTTGAAGGCTGGAGTGGAAGATGAACCAATGGAAACGGACCCTGAAGTCCCCCAAAGTTCCAAGTCCAAGAAGGAGCCGCTGGCACCAGAAAGACTAGCCAAACTCCAGACCTGGGTTGGTGAAACTTGGACCGGCACAACGGACTGGTTCAACGTCAAAAATGGCTATGGATTTATTCAATCAACAATGGAGGATGAGGAAAGATCGAAGGAAAAAGTGTTCGTTCATTATTCGAATATTCAGAAGGAAGACTTTCGAAGTCTTGGAGAGAATGAAAGGGTAGAATTTGAGGTGGCATTGACTGACAATGGACTGCAAGCAATCAACGTGAGAGGGCAAGGAGGTGCTGAGATTGAGGGGCATTACGAACGACCAATCATCGGCAAAGACAGAAGAGAGATTTTGAGGTCAGTACTTTGAGAAATGTTAATAATATAAACTTTATTCTGATGACTAAAAAATAAATCTTTCAGATGTTTCAAATGTGGATCCACAGGTCACAAGGCAAACAAATGTAAGAAGAAAATTGAGAAAGGAGCATGTTACAACTGCAACAAAATGGGACACACTTCGAGCAATTGTCCAGAAGAACCCAGATATAAGAGAAAAGGAGGAGGGGAAGGGGGATCAGGACAGGCTGCGACATGATGATAACATGTATATACGAACACTATTGTCTGTAAATTATGATGACTTTTTATTAGACTTTGTTAACTTAAGTTTGAGATATACAAAACTAAAATTAGTTTAAAACTGTTCCGAGACTAGCATATATTGCACTTGGAAACTGTTCCTATACGTTGCCGTGTGATCGAAGCCATGATATTTTATGATATGTCCTCCCACATATTCACTGGGATGAGTTCCGCAAGCATAATATCCAACCAAAGTATCACCTGTGCTCTCGATTACAAATCTCCTTCTTCCCTCGTAGTTCGTTTTTGAGTTGATATCTTGAAGGAAGATGCTATTACACTTCATACCAAAATTCGCATTGCACGCAGCCTCGTCGCTTTTTTCGCAGAAAGCAGCCCCGTGCATCACTCCGACCACTCCGACATAATTGCTGATGATATTGGTGAGTGGTTTTCCGAGATTTTCCCCAGTCTCAACGCACCCTCCGCCCATAATGGCTTTTCTCGAGATAGCCCCGCCCATTGAGACGCCAATCACATTGACCGGTCGATCCGTGTACAGATTTACGGCTACGATCAACCGTCGGACCTAAACAGGGGGCTCAATGACGTCACTTCGAACTTTAGTTATAAAGGCTACAAGGAATGACTAACAGGGTGCCAGATAGATAAAAAAATGTATATCGCCTTACCGCCAACACATATTTGCAAGCCATCCCAGTCTGATTCATCCTCTTGACTGGACCACTCCACTCGCCATAGGTAGTACCATAGAGAGTCGTATCGTCGTATCCCTGCATCTTCATAAAGGCCACTTGATCCGCAAAGTCATCAGCATAACCAGTGTAGCCGTGAACAAAGACTACTGCGTCTTCACTAGCATGAAAAGAACAGATATTAAGGGTCACGAATCCTACTCTGTCCTCCTTTTCGGCTGATGAAATCCTCCACCGAAAGACCCTTCATGTCCAATATCAGTCCTGGCCAGACTCTCAGCAAGGTCTCGGCCATAAAGATCTTCCAAGAAAAATAAAAAATTGGAAGAAAAGGTTGCGGAAGCTACATTCAACAATAATACATGAGATAGAAACTTGGATAGCATCTTGAAATGTATTTCTGAAAAAATTCTCCGGCCTCTAATTGAAAAAAATAACGTGCTTATTAGAAACTACCGATAAAGACAAATTATTAACAGATTATCTGATAAGGTGCGTTTCTTGGTAATGCTGAAAAAAATGAATTAATTAACAAAAAAGAGAACTGAAAGTTGTATCACTCCCTATAAATGATATTAGTTGTGTGTTTTGCCCCAAAATAAACACGTCTTTGACAAGGAGGTTCTGTTAACAACCAGAGAATAAACATAAACCGCATATCGTCATAGCTGAATGTGTGGTAGACTGTAAACTCGTGCTATGTTGCTGCACGTTCAACAAAGTTCTGGGATCCGCCAAGGCTTACAGAAGGCCTTCCGGATTTTTGTTTAACAGGTTCTTGGTTTTCCTTAAGCCAGTGGCTAGGTCGCTAAAAATAAACGGGTAGACCCCAGACATTTCTGTGGCCATGCTGAAGCAAATATATTATTATAATATAAGACTTGCAATTGCTTTGGTTAATTTTTACACATTTCAGGAGCTTGTCTCTAACTTTTTGTTTATTGGAATCTAGTGGGCCCATTTTCGAGACTAAGCTAAGGGGTCAGGTCTAGTCGACCGAATTTGCTTTCCAAGTATTGGTCACCAATAGCTATTATTTTGACGCCAAATCCGGCTAAGCTACTAACCTAAACCAACGCAACTACCTCAGGGGGCCTATGAATATCATAATAGATCCCCTCATTTTATTTATTGAATGTCACCGGAACAACCTTGACAATAAGACATTCAAATGACACATGCAAAACAAACCTATTTACTTTGCTTTCCTAAAGCCAAAACAGGTCTGTCTAGGATTTGACTAATAGGATGACGTTTTTCTTCGCCAAAACCAATGGAACTGTTGCGGCAGTATTTGGAGTCATTTTTAACACAATTTTTGGATACTTGCTGTTAAAGCGGACTCCAAGGATGATGAAGCATTACACAAGGATTATGTTTGTCCATCTGGTCAATGATTACGTCATGACTTTTGCATTTTTCATCATTTTGCCGGTAAGTCAGCAACCTTATCGCTGTGAGAAGTTCACAAAGTGCTACGTTGAGATTTTGGTGAGCCCTGAATATCTCCGCTGCCTCAACAAAGAGCGAGCTCAAATTTGTGCAAAAGTTTTTAAAAAGTCTGAGCGCAGACCCTCAGGCATTTCTCTTAAAAAGTTTTGTCATTTCGATTGCATCTTTCAGGAAATCTTCCCCTTGAATGGCCAAGTCTATCTTCTCATTGGCAATTACGGAGAGAAACTTGAGCTTGAATGGTGCAGGTGGTTAATCTGCATCTATTATTTTGCTGAGATCCTTCAACTCGTTCTTCTACCTGTAGATTTTTACTATCGTTATCGAGTTGTATGCAAGTAAGGCACAGTAAAAATAAATTAATCTTTCAAATTCTCGTTTCCAGACAAGAAATAATGTCAGATCGGAAACTCTACAGTATTATCACCGCACTAACATTGACTGTGTTTTGTCAGACGGTGGTATTAACACAATATACGTTGAAACAGAATCCAGAGTATAATGAAATACTCAAACATGCTCTCAATTCGACGTCTGTGCCGGTGTATCTAGCCACAATAACGGTGAATCTACATACCTTATTGATTAAAGAGTTTTCTCCAATCAGTGTAGAATGAAATAAGACTATTTTAGGACCCAATTCTCGCTCATACCCCTCTTTTGATGAACATTTTCTTCGTATTGTTTTGTTACTCAATGTGTGTTTATGTTTTTTGGGCCATAAATAAGGTCCTGCGGAAGAACACAGCCAATTCCAAAACGATTAAAGCTTTGAAAATCGAGAAACAAGTGACCCGACTGATGATTGTACAGGTAATTCATACATATATGTAACGTTATAAGATAAATTCTTGCATGCAACGCCCAGACTTTACCTGTCTTTTCAGTGCGTTCTCCCCATGTTTGTCATCTCTCTCCCAGTGCTCGTCACTTGTGGCTTTACGTTGTTAAAACTACCGTTATTAGAAATTGGTCCCATTAATCAAATTGTAATTGCTTGGAATGGCGCCATCAAGACTGTAGCGACAATAATTGTGATCCCCAATTACCGAAACTTTATCCTATTCAAATTGGGAGCCAAATCGACCATGGGCGCGTCAGCAAGTGTCGCTGCAACCAGCGATGGACGACATACGAAGTCCGTATTTTAGATAGTAAATTTCATAATCTTAATTTTGACCATGTTACTTGAAAATCTGAGCGTTGCACTTTGCTGACAAAATTTTTTAACAAGGGAAGTACCCGAAGTGCGACGCTCAGATTTTTATAAAAATTGGCATAGATGGAGATTAGAATTTTCTTATTCGATTGCGAACATCCTAGCTCGCGCTTTGCAGAATCCGCCGAGAAAGAAGGGCCGGAACATCGAAAAAATCTTCAAATGCCGGCGAATTTCCTGCAAATTCTCTTGATCTTGGCATTCCGTTCCAGGAGAAAAATATTTTTTTCGCAAGAAATTTTTCTTGATAATGTTCAAGACTATTTTGTTGCTTTTATGTGGAATATGGTGTTATTTTCACTTTTTTACACTTGATTATAGCGCTATTAATTGGATTGTCGCCATCCGAGGGGTAAAATGTTTCGTCCTTTGACGAATTTATACAGTTTTTCCTCTGCAGATGGGCAAACCACTCTAATAGTTGCTTTAAAGCTGTTTAGGAGACATGCAAACGTTCTACGGTCGCGTATGAACATAATCTTAAAGTAAGTGTTACAAAAACTTTATTATTTTTCAGTGAGCAAATTCTGAACAACAACAACAGCGAATGTATACCATCGGAACACTGACGAAACACCTTGGGACCTTTACTTTGTTTCTGAAATGGCATAAACTGAAAAATAGTGAAAAAATAAAATGTTTGTAACACTTACCTTATGACTACGTTCCTACGCGACCGTAGAACGTTTGCATGTCTCCTAAACAAATTTAAAGCAACTATTAGAGTGGTTTGCCCATCAGCAGAGGAAAAACTGTATAAATTCGTCAAAGGACGAAACATTTTACCCCTCGGATGGCGACAATCCAATTAATAGCGCTATAATCAAGTGTAAAAAAGTGAAAATAACACCATATTCCACATAAAAGCAACGAAATAGTCTTGAACATTATCAAGAAAAGGTTTCTTGCGAGAAAAAATATTTTTCTCCTGGAACGGAATGCCAAGATCAAGAGAATTTGCAGGGAAATTCGCCGGCATTTGAAGATTTTTTTCGATGTTCCGGCCCTTCTTTCTCGGCGGATTCTGCAAAGCGCGAGCTAGGATGTTCGCAATCGAATAAGAAAATTCTAATCTCCATCTATGCCAATTTTTATAAAAATCTGAGCGTCGCACTTCGGGTACTTCCCTTGTAAAATAAAAATTGCGTAAAACTCAAAACAACGAACTCTACCCAAATTTCCTCCAATTTGTTTTTTGTGTATTCGCTCGGGCGGTCGTCTCCATCTGATCGGAAGGGCGCTTGGACATTCCGACGTCGGTTGAAGCAACGGCCAAAGTTACGATGAGGAAGAGACCCAGCACCCCGTTGAAGCCCAAAGGGGAAACCAAGGAACCGGCCGCAAAAGGGAATAAAAAACAAGACCAGGCACCAACGAAGGATAGTACTGGACGAGCCAAAACTCCGGTGCGGAAGAGCCGAAAGAAAGGGAATCAGACCAAGGAGGAGGCGGAGACCGTGGAGACCGTCAAGAGTTCCGAGAAGGAGAAGGACAAGGAGAAGGGCGACAAGACCGAGAAGATCGAACTGCCCAAGAAGATTGTGGACAAGGAAACCAAAAATGCGTTGATCAAGAAGTCGAGACGAGCAAGTTCATGATTACACATCATTATTTTTGTTGGTTTATGAAAATTTTTTGTCCTTTTAGAGTATAATTCAAGCCCTTTCCACGAAAAAGAGCACCACCCGGACCTACATGGACAACGTGAAGGAAGACGACGCCAGCGACATTGAGGTCGATCCCAAGAACGAAAAGGAGAAGAAGAAAGAGGATAAAACTGGGGGCAAGACCGAAATTCAGTCCATGTACTACATTGGCGACCCCAGAATCACCTTTGTCAATGCATTTGCCAAGGCGGGGGTCAAGAGATTGATGAAGGAATTTGTTGGCGTAAGTGTAAGAAATTGGATTTACAACCATAAACTTGGTTGTTAAACAAACTTGCCACCTTTATTCTGGTCGTATATAAGTTGTTTTTTTAGCTCCGACGTTTCACTCCAAAGGGCGCGACCACCAAGAACTTTGAGAAGTACATGAATCGCAATCGCTACGCAGACGTCCCTTGCCTCGATTCCACCAGGATTGTCCTCAAAGGCCGCCAGGACAATGACGATTACATTCATGCCAACAAGGTCATGGTCCCGGGGAACAACTCCATCCCTTACATTTGTTGCCAAGGACCGATGAGCGAGACTTGCGAAGACTTTTGGTACATGGTGTTGCAAGAGAAGGCGGCTGTAATCGTCATGTTGTGCGACTTTGTGGAGGATGAGACCGAGAAGTGCGCGAATTATTATCCATTGAACACTGGGGAGGTCGGCACGTATGGGATCCTCAGAGTGAAGAACGAAAAATCGTCGCCGGCGGGCTTGGACACGGCGGTTATATCCCAACTGGAAGTGGAAGGGATGTAAGCGAGTTTGGAATACATTCTAATTGATACTGGATAGGATTACAGATTCTTTGGTTTGACTTTTTTTTGTCATGCTCAGAGTATCGCGTCATCAAACACGTTGTTTTTTGGACCGATAACTTTTAGCAAATTCTGTTTTTCAGTGACGATGCTCTCAGTGTAACTCATCTCCGTTGGTCTGATTGGCAGGATCATACGGCTCCATTAGAGGCAGGCACGGTCATAAAACTGCTGAAAATGGCCAAGAAATACTCGAATGGACGGCCGGTCGTTGTTCATTGCTCTGCAGGTACTGCCTACACTTTTTGCCGTGTAATAATATTTGTTTTAGGTATTGGCCGGACCGGGACTTTTGTTGCCCTCGATTATGTTTATGAGAAGTTGAAGGTCTGCGCAGGGAAAAGCACCATGGTCGATGTAAGTCTATGTAAAGCACATTAGACCCAATGTTTTCTCCAATAAAAAATATTTTCACCTTCTATTTGGATGGCTTACTACAGTATAATCGGCCTATTTTTGCAGGTGGTCAAAGAACTGCGGGGATATCGAATGCACGCCGTCCAATCCGCCCCTCAATACGTCTTCCTCCACTTGGCTACGATGATGTGGATGTTCACCGACAATCCGCATGTTGAAAAGACCCCGGCTCACAATCAATTCATCCAAGATTACTCCAAATATATGAAGAAGTTGAGTCAGAAAATCGCAAAAAAGAAGAAAACTTGAACGACCAATAAATTTGCGATCGAGAAATTGGATTCGGGAATTTTTTAGGCTGGCTAATCAGTTTTTTGAATTTGTTACGATTTCTTCTTTGTGCCAAAACTTTTTCGAGATTGACAAACAATAACTGCTATATCCATGCTTAGTAACTGTCACATAGCCCCTACAAAACCAATGCTGAGCGATGACTTCAGCAGGCATATCAAAGGAGTTAAATAGGATTAAAAGATTTTTTGGAGTCGCTTTTTGGATGTTCAAATGTATTAAAGTTTCTGCCCTGAAGACAGTACGCAAGTTTATGGGACTGATGTCTGTTACACTCGTCGATGCCCAAGCTGTAAAACTGTCGGGGGAAGTGGATCATATTCGAAGTGTTTGGCAACTTTTTACTAACATCTTTGTTTCGCATGGCTTAACGTGTCGTCTCGGTAGCCCAAAAACTGGTTTTCGTTTTGTCCGCTGCCGGCAGCTGACCATTGTAGTATGTATAAACACCATTCGTAACTGTGTTACCATTTAGTAATAACGGCAAGAACGTAGACCTTTGAAAATTCCAAGAGGGACTTAAAAATACCCTCCTGGAGATGGACTGTTGCTTGGATCTGAACTCAGAATCCTGTCAAATCATTGGCTCTTTTATGCGTGGTTATAATACAGAGCGTACGTCTCATAAATCAGCACTAGTTAGGCTACTGAGATATATGTTTGGCTAAAAGGCAGCAATTGTCAGATGAAGCTTTGACCCGTTTTGGAACCGCCCCTTCTTCCAAAAAATCTTTGCGAACATGACTGTAATTTACCATCTGAACTCCCACAACACATATGTACATCAGAACGGGCGGAGTGTCGACAATCAGAGCGATAACTTCGGCTCTGTTAATAAATAAGGCGCGTGCGTTCTACTTCTCTTCGGACTTCCCGCAGAAAACCCGCATTTCTTGTCTGTGGGCCCGCTAGACAAGAAATGCGCAATTCTTGGCTGAGCAGAGAAAAAAAGAAAAAATCTTCACGGGGAGAGAGCAGAAAATTGCGCAATATTGCGCAACGTTACGCAATTTTAGACAAGAATTGCGCGTTTCTTGTCTAGCGGGCCCACAGACAAGAAATGCGGGTTTTCTGCGAGGAAGTCCGAAGAGAAGTAGAACGCACGCGCCTTAAATTGTTGTTGGACAAGTAAGAGGGAATTTATTGATTTAGATGAGGTGATGGGAAAGTTTTGGGAAGGACGGATATTTTCGAGGATGCTATGGAAAAATCAAGGGGTACTCGAAAGGAAAGAGATGGCCTTGGTAGTCCATGAGCGATGCTTCGAGCAAGGGAAGTTACTTTGACGGTAGCGCTGATTTATCCAGACAGGGCCATGCGTCACTCACTCGAAACTCCTTTCCTATCTTTTATCACGTCACTTAATAGTCCTGCCAGAAAGTCACCGGGCTGATTTTTGGCGCTTGCACTGTGCGAAAAAAGTCAGGGCGCGAGCGACAGTCGAAAAAAGCGCACGGTGCAAAAAGCAAGAAATTGCACGGTGCAAAGTGAACCTTCGTTTTCTCATAGTGCGTGTCGCCGATTTCAGTCCGGCGAGTTTCCGGACGGACAGTATTGTGCGATCAATCATCGTAACTGCATTTTACCCTGACCGTATTGGACTGCAATAATTTTCAGTCGTTCAATAGACTGACCAAGACGACAGAACTTACATAGTTACATTACATACACCTGAATTTCTATGGACATAAAAATCGTTATAAAAATTTGCAGTACACAATCGCGCCTACAGTTGTATCTCGAGGACTCCAAATGTCAGTTCGTTGAAAACGCATCAGAAGCAGCAATTTGGCGTTCCACACCGAACGAAGCATTTTATGACCACACACGCAATTTTTTTGTTTCACGGCTCTTTCGATAATAGTTCGTTCGTAAAGCCGCTGGAACGATTTTTGCAACATGCAATGTGAAAAACAAAGGTGCACCTTGCACAGCGCAACAGGATTTTTTGTCTGCCGCCCGCATCCCGCCCTTCCTTGCATTGCACAGTGCACGCCGCCGAAATCACAGCGACTTTACGAAGCATTTTCACAAAGTGCCCGGTCATTTTTTCGCTTTCGCACAGTGCATCTCGAATTTTTGGCTTTTGCGCGCCGTGCAAACCTCAAAAAAAGCCGATCGCACTGTGCAAATTGTCGCGCACCGCGACAAATGTCCAGGCACTTTGTGAAAATGCTAATACTAGTCGCGACATAAAGTCCGTAGAATTTTCTGCACTGTGCATAAACCCGAAAAAGCATTTTGCACTGTGCATTCACCCGAAAACACATTTTGCACTGTGCAATTTTGTTGATTTTGCCTTATTGTCGCGCGCGATTCCCGTTTTTCGCAGCGACAAATCAACATTTCGGAGCGCGACGGAATTTGGGGGCCGCGAAAAATTCTACGGACTTTATGTCGCAACTAGTACTAGTCCTTCCGGAAAGTCGCCGGACGGAAATTGGCGACATGCACTGTGAGAAAAAACTCAGGGTGCGAGCGACAGCTCGAAAAAGCTTATTGCACTGTGCAAAAAGCCAAAAATTGCACAGTGCAAAGTGAACTTTCGATTTCGCAGAGTGCATGTCGCCGATTTCCGTCCGGCGACTTTCCGGAAGGACTAGTACTAACCGCGCTCAAAAGTCCTGACAATTTTCGCACCGTGCATTCTTCTTTCATTTCATCCGCACGGTGCATCTCTTCGCAATTGTCGCCGCGATTTCCCGTTTTTGCACACTTTCGCGCGCGACAAACCCGAATTTGAGGGCGCGAGGTCCCAAACCCGAACTTTCGCACTGTGCATTCTTCTTTCATTTCGCATTTCTCGCCGCGATTTCCCGTTTTTGCACACTTTCGCGAGCGACAAACCCGAATTTGGGGGCGCGACGTCCAAAACCCGAATTTTCGCACGGTGCGAAAATTGTCAGGACTTTTGAGCGCGATTAGTATCAGTCTGGCCGAAAAAGAACCGGCCTCCCCGAACCCTTCCGTCGCACTCACTCCAAAGCCCAATTTGCATCGCGGAGAAATTTGGAGGGCGTCGCCGAAAGAAAGAGCAAAAACAACGCATCGCCAGCGATAAAAGTGGGTTTTGCACAGTGCAAATGCCCTTTTTCTGCTGTTTCGCACTGTGCAATCAAGAAAATTCCCACAAATTCAGCGATCTTTCGATGTCGCGCGCACTTTTGCGATGCATCGCAAAGACATTCAATTTCGAGGTGGCGATTTCGAGGCGCGAGGGGGGCCGGTTCTTTTTCGGCCAGACTGATATCTGTGCGCGCCGAAAAATGCACAGTGCATGCGCGAACAGCACAGTGCAGCCATTCCGCGGACTTTTTTGCTGGACTAGTAATACTAGTCGCGCCATAAAGTCCTGACACATTTTGCACCGTGCGAAAGTTCGGGGTTTGGACGTCGCGCCCCCAAATTCGGGTTCGTCGCGCGCAAAAGTGCATGTCGCTAGTGCAAAAACGGGAAATTGCGGCGACAAATGCGAAATGAAAGAAGAATGCACAGTGCGAAAGTTCGGGTTTGGGATGTCGCGCCCGCAAATTCGGGTTTGTCGCGCGCGAAAGTCCACGTCGCTAGTGCAAAAACGGGAAATCGGGGCGACAAATGCGAAAAGATGCACAGTGCGGATGAAATGAAAGAAGAATGCACGGTGCAAAATGTGTCAGGACTTTATGTCGCGACTAGTAGTCCGTCCGTAAAGTCGCTGGAATGTTTTCGGCGACATGCACTCCGCGAAAACGAAAGTTCACTTTGCACTGTGCAATTTTTGGCTTTTTGCACTGTGCAATAAGCTTTTTCGAGCTGTCGCTCGCACCCTGAGTTTTCTTGCACAGTGCGCGTCGCCGAAATCATTCCAGCGACTTTACGGAAGGACTATTACGCTTTTTCAAAAGTGCAGACACATTTTCCGGCCTTTTTTGCACCGCACAGTGCAAGTTTCGTGTTCCCCGCGCGACGCGATCCGATTCGAAACATTTTTGCACTGTGCAATTTCAAAAAATTCGCGCCGGCTCCGTTGAGAAAAGCTTGCGTCGCAGCGATATCCGGTTGCACAGTGCAAAAGGTCAAAATGCACCCCGCAAAAGGGAGCTTTGTGCACGGTGCGGCCCACGACAAAATGTGTCTGCACTTTTGAAAAAGCGTAATAGTACTAGTCGGGACAAAAAGTCTTGATAATTTTGCACTGTGCGGATTTTTCTCCGTTTCTGTCGCACTCTGAAAAAAACGATTTGTCGCTTCGAAAAATGGGAATCGCGTGCGACAATAAGGCAAAAACAAACAAAATGCACTGTGCAAATGCACTTTTCGGGTCAAATGCACCGTGCAAAACACTTTTTTTCGCGAGTTTTGCAGCGACAACCCAAAACGTTCAAATCCGCACGGTGCAAAATTATCAGGACTTTTTGTCCCGACTAGTACTAGTCCTTCCGTAAAGTCGCTGGAATGATTTCGGCGACGCGCACTGTGCAAGAAAACTCAGGGTGCGAGCGACAGCTCGAAAAGCTTATTGCACAGTGCAAAAAGCCAAAAATTGCACAGTGCAAAGTGAACTTTCGTTTTCGCGGAGTGCATGTCGCCGAAAACATTCCAGCGACTTTACGGAAGGACTAGTATTACGCTTTTTCAAAAGTGCAGACACATTTTCCGGCTTTTTTTGCACCGCACAGTGCAAGTTTCGTGTTCCCCGCGCGACGCGATCCGATTCGAAACATTTTGCACTGTGCAATTTCAAAAAATTCGCGCCGGCTCCGTTGAGAAAAGCTTGCGTCGCAGCGATATCCGGTTGCACAGTGCAAAAGATCAAAATGCACCCCGCAAAAGGGGGTTTTGTGCACAGTGCGGCCCACGACAAAATGTGTCTGCACTTTTGAAAAAGCGTAATAGTACTAGTCGCGGAAAAAAGTCCTGGGATTTTTCTGCGACTCTGCACTGTGCATGAACCCGAAAAGTGCTTTTGCACAGTGCAA